ATCTAGGCGCAACCTTGCTGGCTCGCCAGATGACACTTTTCATCACCTCGCTCTTGTAAAGAATATTCTCGAATTGGGCAGCTTGAGGAGGCAACTCGGGTGCAACACCTTCGAGTTTAGCGTCGCGATTCTTGATATAAGAAGGCAACCACTCCGCAGTAAGGGACACCGGTAAGCGAACGTCCTTAACCCCTTGCTCCGGACTTGAATCTATAAGCTGAGCGGGAAATTCGGTTTCAGACAAGATCAACCATGTTGACGCCATATGTGGCGTTCCTGGGCTCAAATGAAAGGTAAGCTGTAACCCCTCAGGAACCTCCTTCCGAATCTCTGTAAGTGTCTTACGACAAGCAGGAAAGATCTCTTCAAAGTCGGTAGGACTAGATAATTGATGATGGCGTAAATGGATCGGTAAGGATGCCCGCGCTTTCAACCAGTCTTCGACACCCTTCACTTCTCTCTTAGGATAATTCGCCAGCAGATATGCTGAATCGAACTTACGCGCTGCGAGCGCATTAGCTATTGGGCCTAGCCCATCTCCTTCGCCACGGGATGCTCGAATATCAGCGCTTCCTATCCAGCTGACCAACACCATGGGCATTGAGCAATTCCTTGATAATGGAGATTATTTTTCAATAAAGATGATTATGCGCCATGAAGCCGAACATTTGGAGTCTTTCGACATTAGTCAAAGATATATCCGACGGTAGCAATCCTGCCCATCGGTAATGCATCACTTCCAAATTGACTTAAAGCGTTCAGAGGTCAACTGAGTGTACCGAACCGTATGCGTAATGCTTTTATGACCCAGGTAGTCCTGAATCAGGCGCGTATCCAAGCCTTTCTCGGCCAACGCAAAGCCACAGGCATGGCGCAACATGTGGGGGTGGACGGGAAACTCTAGCTCTGCCTTTCTACCGGCGCGTTCTACTAGTTTGTTCACTGTTGAGCGAGTTAACGGACCACCACGCTCACTAATGTACACAAATCGATTCGAACCTTGCTCCCGCTTCAGCCTGCGCAGTGCTCGCAGCTCATCGCCCTCAAGGAAGTGAACTGAGTCGTTCCCATTTTTAATTCGACTTACGTGAATCCTTGCCCTACCAAAATCAATTTGCTCCCATTTCAGATCAACGGCCTCCGATACACGTAACCCATGCCGAAACATCATCAAGATCAAAGTCCGATCACGGTGTTTATGGCGACCAACCTGCCCAGCAACCAAGATCAAGGAATCCACCTCATCGGGCGTCAGGTACTCTCTGGAGCGACGCTCTTTGTTCCGTGGGCGACCTCGAACTTTCCGCAAAACGTTTCCCGGAGCACTCACGTCTTTGCCTTTCAAACGCACAATTTCCGACATTCAACCCAACCGCTCTTTCCACAATACGTACATTTTGCGGAAACTTTGTTGGTCTCGGAAGTACTGATATGTAAAACGCTCTATTGTTGCGCAAATGTTTGCAAAAAAGAGCGGGGTAGGTCCGATTGCGAGCAACCTCGACTTTCGTTTGTACTCGACTTAGCAAAATAGAGCATCGGTTACAGTGTTAACCATTTCAGAGTATCAAATTCGTGATCCAGGTATTCTTGGTGATCTGCGGAAAACGGTGGGACTCATCTAATGATCCATAGCAGTTATGGAACGGGCAACATAATCGGTCCGAGTTTGGATATCTCTAACCTCGAGGATTACTGGAACCAGTACTTCTTGTTCCGAGATCAGGCACCAGATCTACACCAATTGATCGAAATCGAACTGACGCATGAGGTAGGCCAAGCTGAACAGAAAAGCAAACCTTGTATTGATTCACAGCAAACAATTTCTCGGGTGCTGACGAAACTTGGGCCAACCGGCAAATTCCACAGGCAATTCACCGAACAATTCCCAGAGCTTCAACCGAATCAGATTCTGGGGATGCAGCTCTATGCTTTAATGGCAGCACACCCTACCACTTGGATTTACCACAAGACCCAACACCCAGGGCATCAATACTCTCATGCGACGTACTTTATCGGAGGGACCAGCTAATCAGGTGGAAGCCCTCAAACAGCAGCTTCCGAACCTAAGGCCAAGTCGATAGCGCAAAATACTCATAATTATCAAAATTGGATATGCGGAAGCCCTCACCTTGAAAGTCATTTCCCAGGAATTATTGAAAACTCGAACCCAAAGTCGTATTCCCTCGAACCCGCTGATCACAGACTTTTGAAGAAACCTCAGCACAGCAGTGTTTCAGGCCAAAGGAGCGGAACATAAGTCATCGTGACTAGTCTCAACTTGACCCTTCTAGAGTGAGATGAATGGATTGTAAAAAATGCCCGCTAAAGACACCGATTAGCACCGTCGGATAAATGGCTGAAAGCGCAAATATTTACGTAATCACCATTCTCTAGTCGCCAAACAATCCTGAGCCCACATACCAATCAGAATGTGAGGTGAGCTGATCTGGATCACTCGCTTTAATCAGATTGCCCCTGGGATGCACGTAACTATCTATTCGACGTTCGGGCTCTTCTCGCCACCGAATGTTGAAAGCACCAAGGTGAGCAAAAAATTTCAATGAGCTATAGGGCAGATGATCATGAATCCACCATGCAAGCGCCCGCCAGTCGCCTCCTTCTGTCAAAAAGTCGGTAAAGCGAGGAATCAAGATGCATGCCGTGGCACCCATTCGGCCTTGGTCGTCTCGTCTATCCCAAATGTGTGCAGCGAAATTCGTTTCATTCTTTGCACAAGAGTGACCCTGCTGGTTACACACCTTATTCACTTCGGTTGATCGATAGGCAGATCGAATAGCTATCCGGCCAAATTTCTCTTGTAGAGGTTCCAGCAACTCTTCACACAAATTAGACCCCGCTTGTATTGCGAGTTCAGGGTCCGCCGGATAGTTCTGTAGTCCGTAGCGCGAGGCAACTTCAGAATAAAGAAACTCTCGCATGTAGAAAGAATTGGAGAGTCGAACTCGCCCGTATGCTTCCAGAGTCACAACGCTGACCAAACCATGACCTCCACCACTCTAACATCAGCATTATACCGCATTGGATGATCGCATTTGCGCAAACGTTTGCGCATCAAGACCAAAATGAATGTGTAGTTGCGTTTGTCAAAGTCGTTTGCGCAAACATTTGCAAATCTAGATCAAACCACTGCATTGGGAGCATGCAGTTGAATCGGCGCGGATTTCAGATACATCTGCTCTAAGCGTTTAAAGGCTTGTGGATAGCTCTCCCAAATGTCCATTGGGTCCCAAAAGTCGACAGCGCACAATTTCATTCGGCGCTGAACAAACTTTCTCTCCGCCGGTGGTAGAAGCTGTTGAGTGGCAGTCAAACCTCGCTGCTGAACACTATCTAAGAATAGCTTTAGCCAGAATTGGTTGGATTGCTTTACGCTTGAGAATTCACTCCATGCGACTACTTTGAACCTCTGGAATACGTTGGGAATCATGTGTAGCTCACTGAATTTGAGGTGACCTGGCGGTCTGTACCTGACTTCAAATCGTAAAGTAGTCGGTTTTGGAGGCTCCTTCGGAGCATATTGTGGCGGTGCTGCTTCCTGTAGCTTGTCGTAGACGACATAAGTCTTTTGAGCGCCAAAGTATTGCGTCTGAAGATCTCCGCTTGGCCCCCAATATGCTTGAGACACGCGATTTTTGGCAACATCTACTTTGACATCTGCGAACGATATTTGGTTTACATCTACCGCGAGGTCAACTCGAGTAACTCGACAGTCGTTCGCCAAGTATTCACTGAAGGATGGGACGATCGCGGACATGATCTTTGCGACTACCAGCAAATCCGCTTTGGCTGGATTGAGTTCGATTCTGAAATTTCTAGTTCCGGATACCTTAGGGTTCAGATCGACTCGAAACGTTGATGGATGCGTCGATTCAAAAACCTCCGCTGAAAAAAGAGTAGCTGCATACCGATATCTCATTGAGCCTCTACGGAATCCCCAACCTTGGTCAATGGCTTGGCTCAAGTTGTTGGTTGCAACCGCGAGGTCTGCGTCAGAAAGTTCAATCGTAAGGGATAGCTTGTCTATCAAGATGGTACTTGGCGATGGCTGAACGACTAATTTGTCCGGTATGGGTGCTATTAGTAATGGGGTATCGGTTAACACTGTAGTTAGCAACAGACTCTCAGAGTCTGTATGGCCTTCTTGTCTCTTGTTGGATCGCCTCCTATTCCACCGAATGATGCGGAACTTCAAAAGTTGATAATCGGGAAAGTTCTAACAAATCGGGAAAGTGCTTGGCGAACGATCTACTTCACATCCAACTGACAGTTTCTGGTGGCCTTCCGAATGTTCGAACCAGGGTCTTTGACGTTGTTTTTGCTGCTGCCAAATTGGGACGTGAGTTTTTGGTTGGCTTGTCTTCGGGTCAGGCCTTCATCAATTCGATATCGTAGATATAACAGCCGCAATACCGCCCACTTTAACTTTTTGGTTACCCAGCCAACATGACCACCTTTCTGCTGTTTGCTTTTAAGGTGAATAATTCCTTTAGCCTGGAACTTGCGTGCGACTATATCGTTGACAGTCTCCGCTGCCGCAATTCCTTTGATCAGCGCATCTCGGTGAGGCAGCTTATAGCTGTGAAAGTTCTCAGCCAGACGCTGAAGCTCCACCTCGGTCGGTTCTCCCCCCAAGTCTTCAATCGCTTTGCTGACCGTATAAGAATACTTCTCTCCCACAATCCCTCCTAAGCACTTTCCCGATTCTGCTAGAACATTCCCGCTTTAGCACGCGCAATCGCAAAACCTGAAGCTCAACATAGTCAAATGATAGCCATGCCGAGATTTCTGCGACTAAGGGACGCTCCCAGTTACCTGGGAATGGATCGCAATCACTTCAACAAAGAAGTTCGACCGTACGTCACCGAAATACAACTTAGTAAGCAAGGCATTGCATTCGATCGACTTGAACTTGACGCCTGGGCGGACGACTATATCGAACGCAACGGGCGTCCCGGTCAGACCTATGGAGGTAAGACATGGGGCAAAAAAGAACGCCAGGGCTCTTCAAACGCGAAGGCATCTGGCACATCGACAAACAGGTCCGTGGGAAGCGCATTCGAGAAAGCTGCAGCACAGGCAATCTCCAGGAAGCAGAGAAGTACCTAGCATTCCGGCTGGAGGAACTGCGTAACGCAGAAATCTACGGTATTCGCCCAACACGAACCTTTGAACAAGCCGCAACGAAGTTCGTCCAGGAGAACGGACATAAACGTAGCCTGCGCTGCGATATAGGCAACTTACGCAACCTTATGCCATGGATTGGCGACTTGGAGTTGAACAAAGTGAATATGGGCACACTACAACCGTGGTTGGCACACCGGCGCAGCGAAGGCGTGAGCGCGGGTACGATCAACCATGCCTTGAAGATCGTGCGCCGCATACTCAATTTGGCTTCATCTGAGTGGATGGACGAACACGGCCTGACTTGGCTGCAAGCATCTCCGAAGATACCGCTGCTCCCGGACCGAAATAAGCGTCAGCCCTACCCGCTGAACTGGGAAGAGCAAGATCGGCTATTGGCAGAACTGCCGCCACATATGGCGGAGATGGTGCTGTTTAAGGTCAACACGGGATGCCGCGACGGGGAGGTCTGTAATCTGCGCTGGGACTGGGAGTGCCTTGTACCGGAGCTGAACACTTCGGTGTTCATTGTGCCGGGCAGCTTCGTGAAAAACGGTGAGGAGCGTCTGGTGATACTGAACCGAATCGCTCAATCAGTTGTGGAAGCTCGCCGCGGTCAGCACCGTACGCACGTCTTTGCCTACAAAGGCAAGCCGTTCGACCGTATGGGCAACAGTGCCTGGAAGCACGCCAAGCGTCGTGCCGATCTACCAGACCTGCGCATACACGATCTAAAGCACACCTTCGGTAGACGCCTACGGGCAGCCGGTGTGAGCTTTGAGGACCGTCAGGACCTGCTAGGCCACAAGTCGGCACGCATGACGACGCACTACTCCGCACCGGAGTTGGAGCGATTGATCGATGCTGCTGAGTCGGTCTGTGACCGTAACGGTGTGAGGCCTGGATTGGTGATCATGCGCGGGACGCGCAGAATCGCCCCCACAAAATCCCCACATGGGGAATCACGAGGGCAGCTGAAAAGTGTGTAAGTCATTGAAAGATATGGCTCCGTCTGCTGGGCTCGAACCAGCGACCCGCTGATTAACAGTCAGCTGCTCTACCAACTGAGCTAAGACGGAGTAGAAGGTCTACGTCTCGAACACCACCATAAGGGAGAATCAAAACGAGGCCGCAATTCTAATGCGCTGAAGCCGAAATGCAACCCTATCTCTGCCAACAGCATAGCTAGATATCACCCGGCAGAGTCAAAAAAGCCAACTAGACTAAATACACTGGTTTCTATGGGCTCTCTATGCACCCGGTTTCCGCATTTTTCGACATTCCCGCTATCCGGCGCTACCGTTTACTGTGCGCCGTTGGGGCGGGTGCGCTGTACTGCATCCTCATCTCACGCCTGGTGATCGCTGACCTGCCGGGTGGTCGATTTTACCCCCTGGAGCTACTCGCGGCGTCTACCTTTGCTTTCTTTGCCATATCTGCTGAGCGTATAGCTTTTATCCGTCATCGGCCGAACAGCGCCCTGTTCTGGGTGCTTCTGCCCGCCCTTTGCCACTTGCTGCATCTGAACTACGAACGACACATTGACCCTGCTGCGTTGCTGGCCCTGAACCTGGTGATGGTATTTGGTGGCGTGATCGTAGAGTCCAACATCTGGCGTCGAGCTCTCATTCTGACCTGGGGTGGCAGCACAATTTTTATGGCCTGGACCGTACCAGAACCCATCACCGCACCGCTGGGTGTGACCATGGTTTTTACCTGTATCGGAATTCTGCTCTATCTTATTGCCGGTGGTCTCCATGCTGCACGCACGGCCAGTGCAGACGCTTTGTCGCTACTTGACGAAACACAAGGTTTTGCAGGCGTGGGTGGATGGCAGAAAAATTACACCACCGATGAAATCCGATGGACGCCAACCACTTACGAAATATTGGATTTACCCATGGACTCTGATGCCGCGCTGGATGTCAGACCCTATCTGGTGAACGACCCAGAAAACAGTCCTTTGATAAAAGCCACAGAACACATGCTCGCCACGGGTGAGCCTTACGACATTGTAGATCAGCTACGAACCGCCACCGGGCGTTCAATCTGGGTACGCTGCATGGCTAAAATCGTCTACGAAAACGGTCGTCCGCTACGTGCCTTGGGCGTATTTACAGATATTACTGCTCAGGTTGAAAAAGAACATGAACTTACTGCGGCCAAAGAGGCTGCGGAGGCTGCTGCCAAAGCGCGTACCGAATTCCTCGCTAACATGAGCCATGAAATTCGAACCCCTATGAATGGCGTCATTGGCATGGCGTCCCTGCTCAGCCAGCAGGAGTTAGACCCGGTGAGCCGCAACTACGTGGACGTCATTCGCACCAGTGGCGAATCGTTACTGCACATCATCAACGACATTCTGGACTTTTCAAAACTCGACGCGGGCAAAATGTCGATAGAGGAAAAAGAATTTGCTTTGCACAAACTCATGGAAGACACCACCAATCTCGTTCGTCAGAATGCTCAGGATAAAAACCTTATCTTGGAAACAATCAATCAGACAACGCCAGAGGCGCGTTACATTGGTGATGCACACAAGATTAAGCAGGTGTTGGTTAACCTGTTATCCAATGCGGTCAAGTTTACGTCTCAGGGGAAAGTCAAGCTCTCCGTAACGGCTGAACTTGATCAATCGCTTCTCGACAGCCTTACTTTTACGGTCACCGATACGGGCATCGGTATCGATCCACTCAAACTCCCTACCCTGTTCGATGCCTTCATCCAGGAAGACACCTCAATTACGCGCAAATTTGGCGGCACCGGCCTGGGGTTAGCGATTTCCAAGGCACTGGTCGAAGAAATGGGGGGGCATATCACTGTAGACAGTCACAAAGGGCAAGGCACATCCTTTGCGGTGCATCTGGCGCTACCGCGCAGTCTCAATAAAGCAACCGTTGAAAAGCCCAGGGCTCGAGCGGCGCCCGCAAGTTCGGACCTGCGCGTACTTATTGCCGAAGATAACGCCGTCAACCAGCACGTCGCCATATTGATGCTGAAGAAGCTGGGGTATAGCGCAGAGATCGCAGAAGATGGGCTGAAGGCAGTCGCGGCCGTTCGCCTTAACCCCTACGATATTGTGTTCATGGATCTGCAGATGCCGGAAATGGACGGTCTTGAGGCAACACGGCGCATCCGTGCGGACCCTACCCTTCACCAGCCTTATATCATTGCCTTAACGGCAAACGCCATGAACGCAGACAAAGAAGAATGTCTCGCGGCGGGCATGAATCACTTTCTCGCCAAACCCATGCGCATTCGCGACTTACAAGCTGTGTTGGATGACGCCCATATCGCTCAGAAAGACACAATCAGTTGAAAATCAGGTCCTGCGCCTGTGTCTTTTTGTCTGTATGTTTGTGCTGCAAACGGATGCTCTTCTGTTGTAAAGCCAGATCACCAAGTTCCTCAGCCGTAGCTGCCCGCAGAGCATAAAAACGAGCGTTGTCGCGCTGCAGCGAAATGGCCTGCTCAACTGAGCGCAGTGCAATCTCGAAGGCATCATTACGAAATGCCTGCTCAGCCACCGCAAAGTGGTAGTACGGATTTTTCCCCTGATACTTAGCTGCCAAAGCCTCGTACCGATCCGCTTGTTCGTGCTTGCCCTGCTGACGCAGGGTTTTCGCAAGGCCCGAGATCGCTGTTGCATTGCGCATGCTCAGTGACATTGCCGTTTCGTAGGCCCGTTGACCAAGTTCCGGGCGATCCATCATTGAGTACAACGCGCCCAGATTATTCCAGGCATCCGTATTAGCAGGCTCGGTCAGGACCGCCCGTTTCAGATAGCTGAAAGCCGTGCGATGATCCCCTTTGTGTAACTGTTCTACTGCGAGGTTGCCATAGAACATGGATTCAGCGTACGCATCTCCAATGGTTGTGCGCGGTACGTCATCCGCTACGCGCACGATATTAAAATCTACCGTAATGTCGCTGACGTTGTTGCCCGGCGACTTCAGACCCTCAAGAATCACGTTGACGTGGTTATAGCGAACCAGAAAACCAGATTCCACATCCCAGGTTGGCTGGGTTTCAACCAGCTGGTACTTTGCGTTCAAGCCGGCTTCACGCGCCAGCGCGACGAACATATTGGTATAAGCCAGGCAGTTACCTTTGCGTTCAGCAAAAGTTTTTGCGGCAGAATAGCTTGCGTCACGATCGTACTGGTCAATGAAAAAGCCATCCTGCACCAGCTTCCGCATGAGCCTCCGGAACCGCAGCGACTCAAAGTGACCTTCCCCCCGGATACTGGCCACAAACTCAGTCATTGCGGTGCTTACGGACAATAGATCCTGTGGTGGGGCCGGTTCAATAGCCTCACCAAACACTCTGGAACCGTCTAAAAGCTCAGCTGGGTAACTTTGCACAGACTGCATGCCTGTCTGGGTGACACACCCGGCAAGCAGCAACACAACGGCAAACGCTGCAGAGAATTGATGCACTCCAGCTCCCAAATAAACTCTCTAGGTTGGAATATAGACAGACCAGCCAGCTGGCTCAAGCAGGTGTCGGACGAGGTTACGGCTGGCGGTTGAAGACACGCAGAAACTCCAGCTGCTCACCGTCAGCGTCAATGTTGACCCGCACTTCCAGGAGATCCGGGCTGACCAGCTGCAGACGCTCCTCAACGCGCATATTGCGAGCTTTGGAGATGATGACAAGCTGCTGTTCTTCCCATCCCGCGTGCACCTCCCACAAGCCGCGCTGCCGCTCTCCCCAGCTGACGTCGCGGTAGACACCCGGCTGATAATCCAGACCCATTGAGTCACGGTTCTGTTCGATGGTCAGCTTATCTGCTCGCAGCACCTGAAAATCGTGGGCAATAAACGCAAGCGCTGAGCCGTCAGCAACGCGTAGCGCTTCCCGATTGACGGAACCCTGTACACGACGGCTGGGCCGGCCCTGGGGTCGGTTGCGCAGGTCCGGGACAAGATCGGAATCACCAAAGTCGACCAACCATTGGCCACTTAAACTGACCCCCACAGGATTTACCGTATCGAGGTCGATACCCGAGCAACCCGTTACTGCAACTGCAAAACAGGTAACAGCAAGGGCTCTGCTTAGTTTTGAAAGAGAGTTACGGTGCAACATCAACTAGGTCTTTAAAAACTGCGTTTGCGACTGAAGCGTTGTACACGCTTCGTTTACCAGTTCACGCATGATTGCGGCAACCGGTTTTACTTCGTTGAAGTAAGCCACACTCTGACCCGCGCCGGAGTGGATCAGCGGTTCGATGTCATGTTCTTCGATTGCACCTAATAAATCGCCGACCAGCACATCCTGGTAAGGCATTTTCAGCGGGGCTGGTGCGTCCTCCGCTTCCCAGGCCTGGCTCCAGCCGGTACGTATCTGCCGGAAAGTTTTGCCACTTTCAGAACGGGTAATCACCGTGTCTGCGCTGCCCGCTTCAATCAGTTTGCGCGTATTGACCGGGTGCATGTGGCCCTGATGCTCACTGGACAGCAGCCAGGCGGTACCCAACCAGACACCCTGCGCGCCCATAGCCAGAGCCGCAGCAATGTGCCGGCCAGTGGCCACGCCACCCGCCACAAGCACCGGGATATCACCGGCGGCGTCTACGATCTGCGGCACCAGTGAATAGGTTCCAATCGGGCCGGTATGCGCACCGGCGTCGTATCCTTGCGCCACCAGAAAATCTACACCGGCGCGAATACTGCGCTCAACGTGATGGGGACTACCTATCAGGGCCAGGGTTGTTTTCCCACCCGCTTTGGCTTCTGCCACCGCATCCGGAGGGGCACCAATACCACAGGCAAACATATCAACATCTGAATCGAGCACCGCACGCAATTGTGCATCTTCGATTTCTTTGGAACGGATAAACCGGGTCCGCATGCCAGGCTCGGTGGCTTGCGGCACCGCAAATTTTTCTATCAACCCCTGCACAAACGCTTTGTGGGCATCTGGTATTTCAGCCTCAATGGCTTCACGGGAATTATGTTCAGGCATGCCGGGCGGCAGCACCAGATCAACACCAAAAGGTTTGTTGCCGACCAGCTTGCGAATGGCCGCCAGCTCCTCGGTTATTTCATGCGGAAAACGGCGGGTTGCACCGTAGACACCAAAGCCACCGGCATTGGTGATAGCTGCCACTGTAGACACATCGTGCGCAAAGCCAAAAATCGGATAGTTGATTCCCAAGCGATCACATAATGGCGACCATAGGGAGGCCATGTCAGGCGGAGTCCGCACGGTCAGCAGCGTCTGGCAAGTCCCTTTCAGACGGAGAATTTGCCGGCAGATCAACCTCCGCCACCCGCGCTGCGGCAGGTTTTGCAGGCGCACCAACCCCGGAGGTCTCCGGCGCCCGCACCTGGTTCAGGGTGACATCAATGACTTCAAAGACATTTAAGGTTTTTAAGGAAGGGTGTCCACGTACCACTTCAAGATAAAAATCTTTGTAGGTCTGGCTCGGAATAACATCAAAAACAGGATCATAACCCTGGGGTTTCACCTGTAGCGATTCATGACCAAACTGCTCTGGCCAGAGGCGGCACCAATCCCGCCACAAACGCAAAATCATCTGTTCCTGTTGCCGTGTCACGGCGCCCCCCAAAAGCTTTGGTATCAACACTACACCGGCGCGAATCGGGTGTTCTCCACCTCTCGCTGGGCCGCCAGTTTGTGCACTGGGCCTCACTATAACAAAACACGCAGCAGGCACACAGAGACGTTCCTAGACTTGATTTATGACAAGGAAGCTGGCGTTTACAGCGCTTATTGCCATTGCAATAGCGTATGGGTCCGTAAACGACCGCCTGCTCATGCAGGAACGGTTCATGAACAAAAACCAGCCACCGCGCCAGTTTATTGACGCCAATCAGGCAAAACAGCAACCCACCACCAAATCCGAATCCGAGATTTCACCTGTTTTGAACACCGAGCCCGTCATTACAGCCGCGCCAGACCTCGCTTTCGATACAGATATTCCTGTGCTGACCAGTTCACTGGACCTGGCTGCCATCGACACACTGATAGACACAGGTCATGTGACATTAGACTTACCCGACGGCAGCCATGCCACACTAAAACGGACAGGTACACAGGTGCAGTTCGGTATCACGCACCTGCAGGCAGAGAGTGACGGTTACGTCGCCACCATTACCCGTCGTGGCGAGGAGTTTTTTGCCACGCTGGCCAACTCTACCGGCAGCTACCGCATAGAAGGCAATGCTGCCCAGAGCCGCGTGTTTCCACACCAGTTAATCGCGCAACGACGCCTCCAACATGAGACTGATTACCGCCATGTACACAGCAGTTTTTAGAATTCTGACGACAAGTGCCATCCTCGTGGCCGCCGCGTGTGGTGGCGGTGGTGGTGGTGGCGGTGGTGGCTCGGCCAGCACCGCAAACGCACCGCCGGCGGCAACCGCGGATACACCCCTGCCAGCGCCCCCAGCGCCGGAGCCAGAGATCGAACCGGAACCAGACCCACCGGCCACGGAGATAAAGCTGCTGGCCTTATACAGCCCCGGTGTGGAAGAGCAATTCAACAGTCCGGACCTGCGTATATCGCACCTGGTCAACGTCGCCAACGACGTGGTCACCAGCAGCGGCGTTGAGCTGACTTTTTCATTGACGCACATTGAATGGGTCGACTACCCGGATTTCACCCCAGCACCGCAGGCCCTGGATGATTTAACCTTTGCAAACCACAGTGCATTCGCAGCGGTTGAACAATTGCGGACCACACACGAAGCGGACCTGGTTGTACTGTTTCGCAGCTACGCTAATGACGGGCATTGTGGCTACGCATGGATCGGCGGATTTCAAACCCAAGGGGATTTCAGCAATCCTGCGGAAGCGGATTTTGGCTACTCGGTAGTGGCTGCTAACTGCTCGGACTACACGCTGTTACATGAGCTGGGCCACAACCTCGGCCTGGCACACTCACGCAGGGAATCTTCAGCAGGCGGCACTTTTGATTACGCAACCGGCTACGGTATGGATGACAGCTTTGCAACCATCATGGCCTCGCCTGACGTTTTCAGCGCACCACAACTGCCCCGCCTTTCCTCTCCGGCTCTATCCTGCAACGATACGCCCTGCGGGGTTGTACACACGGATTCTTCCACGGGAAGCGATGCGGTGCGGGCTTTGAATATCAGCAAAGACCAGGTGGCCGGTTATCGCCAGTAGTGTCAGGTTTTTTTGGCAGGATCGTCCGTAGCACGAGGTTTTATTTCAACAACCGCGGCGCGCGGCGTTAGATCACCCAGCTGAGATTCAAGATCTGCGCCTTCCACCAACCCCTCAATGAAAGTTTTCACCGCATCATAGTCATAGGTATCACAAGCCTGTTCTAACGTATTTAATGCGCCGCGAAGTTCAGTCCAGGGTGGATGACCTTCCTGAGCACGCATGATTTTACGATGAGCAGTGCCCACCACATCACCACTGACCAGCAATTCCTCATGCAGTTTTTCACCGGGCTTCAAGCCGGTAAATTGAATCTCAATATCGCCTTCAGGATTCTCTTCGTTTTTTATCGAATAGCCTTTGAGATGCACCATCCGGTGGGCAAGGTCCAGTATTTTGACTGGTGAGCCCATGTCCAACAGGAAGATATCACCGCCTTCGGACATGCTTGCAGCCTGCAATACCAACTGAGCGGCCTCCGGAATCGACATGAAATAACGGGTGACATCAGGATGAGTCACCGTTAACGGACCACCTTTGTCGATCTGTTCGCTGAACAGAGGTACCACAGAACCCGAGGAGCCCAATACGTTACCAAATCGCACCATGGAGAAGCACGTGTGGCTACTGTGAGACTGCAAGGCCTGCAAAACCATCTCTGCAAGGCGTTTGCTGGCACCCATGACTGAAGAAGTGCGCACCGCTTTGTCGGTAGAAATGAGTATAAAGTGATTAACGCCGGCATCCATTGCCGCCTGGGCACAGTACAACGTGCCGAAAGTGTTGTTTTTCAAGCCTTGGATAACATTGTTTTCCACCAGACTGACGTGTTTATATGCCGCCGCATGGTATACCGTTTCAATCTGGTATTGCTCAAAGACTCGCTTTAACAGGGCATTGTTCGTCACAGAACCCAATACGGCGACGAGGGTTGGCGGATTCTCAACCTGCAACACAAGCCCTGTCAGCTCGCGTTGAATTTCGTAAAGCCCGTACTCAGACTGATCGAGCAAGACCAGCAGCTGGGGTTGCTGATGTAATATCTGGCGGCATAACTCGGACCCGATGGACCCCCCCGCCCCGGTGACCAACACGGCTTTACCCGCCACTGATTTTGATAACAGGTGTGGTAAACCTTCGACTTCAGTGCGACCCAACAGATCTTCTATGCCAACGTCGCGCAGGTTAGCCAGCGATTCTCGACCATTGACGAGATCCGCGATGTCAGGAATCAAACGCACACGGATAGAAAATTCAGACAGAAAATCCAAAATGTCCCGGCGTATTTTAGAATCCTGGGTGATGGCCACAAAAACCTGCCGCGCCTTGGTATCGCGCAACAGCTGGGTCAGATCCTTGGGCGCGTATACGTAAACGCCATCAATCGAACTGCGTTGCAGTTTGCGGTTGTCATCCAGGAAGGCGATCGCCTGATACTCACCCTGCTGTTTAAGCAGTCGAGACAACTCAACACCATTGCTGCCTGCCCCATAAATAATGACCGGCTGACGCGCAGGCCCTTTACCCTGGCGTTGAATAAACGCGCGCACCGCAAAACGCGAGCCACTCACATAAACCAGCGCCAGCAGCCAGAAAATGGCCGGCACAGAGCGTGGAAACCCTTTCAGCTGCAACATAAACGGCACAACGGCTACTGCCAGCGCCGCCAGAAAGGTACCCACGCCAACGGCAACCATGGCGTGATTGCCCATATATCTGATGACCTGACGATATAGACCCAAGCGGCCAAACACCGGTATCGCAACACAGACACAGACCACAAACGCCGGCCAATAGGAAACAACTTGTGGGTTCCATTCCCCCAGGCGCAGAGCAAAGGCGCTCCACAGGGCAACCGGCAGCATCACCGCGTCAGTGATGACCGCGATGGCCTGTTTCCGGCGTCTGGATAATTCGTCTAACAGACTTTCCATGGCGTTTATCTTAACCGTCGCTGGATGTTGGATGGGAGTGCGGTGCAACGCCGGCGCGCAGACACCAGCACAGGATCGCCAGAGGCAATACCGCTAGCAGCAGGATACCCGCCTGAGACAACAACGTGTCGGCAAATTCCACTGCCAGCCAGGCCATCGGCAGCAGCCAGCACAGAGAAAAAATCAGAAAGGCGGATGTCGTCCATAAATGGCCCTGACGCTGCGCAAGCTGCTGATACATATGTGATCGATGCGCCTGCGTGAACTCCTGTTGCGTAGCTATTCTCACACAGAGGGTATAGGTGGCGTCAAACCAGAAAACGGCCAGAAGTATCAAACTCGCGACCAGCGGCACTGCAAAACTCTGCCAGACATAGAGTGCAACCACGCCCAGGAGCAGGCCCAGAAAGCCGCTACCCACGTCACCCATGAATATTTTCGCCGGCGGCCAGTTAAACCCACAGAATGCCAGCGTCACGCCACCCAGCAGCCACAGTAAATCACCACTCCAGCCAGGCACACCTACAGCGAGCCACTGTATGCCCAGGCAGAACACCAGTGCCTGGCAGGCCGCCAGGCCATCTATGCCATCCATAAAATTGTACAGGTTGATGAACCACATCAAGCCCAGCCAGATACAGGCCAGCCATAACCAGGCAAGGTCAAGCTGCAGCCCCCATAAGGCCAGAGAGGCGGCCCCTGCGTGGACCAGCAAACGCAGTCGTGCACTCAAACCAGCGAGATCATCCCATAGGCCGACCAACGCAAGCGCAGCAAGCGCACCAAACATACTCCACGCCAGCTGGGGTTGCGAACCGGCAACCCAGGCGAGATACGCCAGCACCAGAACCACAATCACCACACCACCCATGGTCGGCGTTGGCTGTGAGTGTGAACTGCGATTATTGGGCTGAGCCAAAAGCTTTGGCTGACTGACCAGATGCAACAGCCCCCACATCAGCAGACCTCCGACTGACATTGCAGAAAGGAAAATTATCGCTGCTGATACCACGTATGGACCTTTTCAAGTTGTTGCTGCTGGGTGAACGGTGGCGTCCAGGACAGCAATCGACGGCTTTGCGAATCATCCACTGGCAAGGGATCAAATAGACGGCTCACCAACCCCTGCTTACCGACCAGCGAGGCCACAGCTTTTATCAACGCTACCGGCACAGACCAGAGGTTTGCATTGCGCTTTACCAGTGCGCGCAGATGAATAATCCATTCGCTGACGCTGCTCTGCTCGTCATCACAAACATGCCAGAGTGTCGCAGGCATCTCCACCTTGGTCGCCACGCGCGCCTGTAAAAAGCTCACAAGGTTGTCGACACCTAGCCAGGCGCGCGGCGCTTTTGCGGCACCCAGAGGCAGCGGCCAGGGACTCATGGCTGCGCGCCAGAGACTGAGAAAATTTGCACTGACACCCGGGCCATAGACCAGCGGTGGGCGCACGATAGACAGTTGGGGAAGTCGCGCCACCTGCCCGTCACTAACTGCTGCCAACAGCAGCTCTTCACCGCGCACTTTACTGCGCGCATAACTGTCACCCGGCGCATACGGGTCGTCTGTTGTCAAAGGCCTGGCACTGGTATCACCCAACACTTTAATGCTGCTCAACCAGACAAAATGACCCACACCAGCACGACAAGCCTGCTCATAGCGGCGCAGAGTTTGCTCAGCATTGACGGTCATCATCATGGCTTCATCAGCATTCTGCGCACCAGCGTGAGCCAGAGCAGCGAGATGAAACACCACATCGTGGCGGGAAAGCTCATATTGATCGAGCGGTGTGTGTCTATCTACTTTGTGCACCTGCCAACCCTGTTGCTCAAGTGCCTGCACCAGATGTGTGCCGACAAAGCCGCTTGCGCCGGTCACTAAAGCGACTGGCATGTTGCTAACAGCTCGTCATAGACACGAAAGGTGTGGTCAACAACATCTTCAACCGCAAACACTGCTTCTGCCTTCTCACGAGCCGCACGCGCCAGTCGCTGACGCAGTTCTGCATCGCTGCCAAGCTGCAGCATGGCCTGGGCCAGCGGTTCAACCGTACGCGGCGGCACCAACAAGCCGTTCACACCCTGGGTGATGACTTCTCTGCAACCGGCAATATCCGTAGCAATCATGGCGCGCTGCGCAGCTGATGCTTCCAGCAGAGTTTTCGGCAGCCCCTCTCTATAGGTCGGCAGACAGACCACATGAGAATTAGCCATTAAGCCGGGCATGTCGGACTGGTATCCAATCCACTCCACACCATGTTCGTCCTGCAGGTTATACAACTGCGCATGCGACAATGCCGCCGGGTTACCCGGGTCAACGTCTCCTGCGAGCAGAAAGCGCCAATCCGGGTGCTGGCGCTTGACCAAGTCTGCTGCCTGAGCGAATTCAACCACGCCTTTATCGCTCAACATACGCGCAACAAGGACAAATATCGGTGGTAGATCCGGCTCACTGCCTGGCTGATAAGCAGCCAGATCAACACCGGATCCACGAATCAATATCGTTTGTTCACGCCGCACAATACCATGACTGACAAACTCCCGCTGATCTTCGCTGTTCTGAAAAATGACCCGCATATTGGCGTTGGCAAATGCAAATCGATACAAGGTGTTCACCAGCATGCGTAACACCACAGCGCGCAATCCGCGACGGGAAAACACAAAACCCAAGCCTGGTACGGCATTGACCACCGCGGCTACCTTTGCTGCACGCGCGGCCAGTGACCCATAGATAACTGGCTTGATCGTGACATGGTGCACCAGATCAGGGTTTTCCTGACGATAGATCCGTTTCAGCGCCCGATAGGCTGCAATTTCCTGCAGGAGTGTAAAACCGCTTCGGGTCAGCGGTACGCTGACATGTTTGAAACCATATTGAGCCAGTTCACTTTCACCGGTGTTCGGTGCGGTGATCACCCAGACATCGTCCCCACGGGCTATCGCCGTCAGACCAAGCGCCAGCCGGTGTGAGATGAAGAAGCGCGCTTCATTGACCACAAAAAACAGTTTCATGCAGACAATCTACGCATTTGGTGACTGGTTAAAAAGGTCTTCATAGTGGTCGCAATACGCCTGCATACAAGTGGCAGCGCTATAATTGGCTGTCAGGAAAGCCCGCTCCTCCTTTACTCTAGCCTCGCGCTGTTGATCTGTCTCTACTATCGCCGTGGATATTTTTGTTACCAAATCCTGAACATTCCCCGGAATGACGAGCCTCTCCGGAGATTGAATAATTCGAGCAGAATCTCCCACCGTTGTCGCTACAGTTTTGACGCCACACGCCATCGCCTCCAAAAGTATATTCGGGGTACCTTCGCGCAAAGATGGGAGGACCAGCAGATCAACCGCGGGTAAAAAGCTGGCCACATTCTCTATCGGGCCAAGCAAATCTATTTCAGAAGCCTGTAGACCCGAATCTTTCAACATTTCTGCAAATTCGGGATGGTCAACGGTCAAGCCATTACCTGCTAAAAAAAACTGGGCTGGCACTTTTCTTTGTCTCAACAGTTTGACCGCATCCAGGTACTCGCGGATGCCTTTTCCTTTGTGGAATCTTGCCACAACGCCAACCCAAACATCGGCCGTCCTCTGATAACTTGCGCGAATGTGGTTGCGCACTTCAGCATCAGGAATAAACTCCCCTAAGCTGATTCCGTTGGGAATGACAGTTTGACGGCCATGTAAACTCATGGCTCGATGCGCATTCTGACCCGAAAAAGAATTGTAGATGACAAGATCTGGGTGACACCATCGTGACAGACTTAGCGCGAAACGGGTCATCCTATTATCATTCGCCGGCCCTACAATTGCGTTGCGCACATTCCAGGCGACCTTTACCTTCGCGGAAGTGGTCTTCTGCACACACCAGGCCAGCCCAGACGCCAGAACGTTTCCGTAATACATCCAACCCTGCAGAATATCTGGCGGATGTTGTCGCAACAGCGTTAACGCCTGCCACAGTACCCATGGACCGCTGCGCCGATAATCAAGCCAGCTGACCTGGACACCGAGGCTTTCTATTTTCTGACCAAGGGCGGTCGGAGGACCAAAACAGATCACGTGATGTGCAAGCTTTTCCCGGGTGCCGGCAATCAATCTGAGCAAGCTGGTTTCGGCACCACCGGTATCCAGACGGACGATGAGATGGGTAATGCGGCGGGTAGTGGACATGGCTGAGCATTGTCCACCACCCCGGCAAAAAAGCCAGCCCGCAGGCGCAGGTTAATCTACAAAAGCAATTTTATCTTTGTTCACTTCGATGACAGCGGGTCCGACACCACGCACATCCAGCAGGTCGTCAACGCTCAGAAAATCACCAAACTTCTCGCGATATTCAACTATGGCCTGAGCCCGCGCGACACCGATGCCGTCTAACATCTCGGCCAATACTTCAGCCGACGCGGTATTTACATTGATACTGCCTTGCGGCAAAGCAAACGAAACCTGGCTGATGATTAATAAACTGATCGCCAGTAGCTGCTGCAGATAGGTCATGTGTCCTTCCTTTTTCGAATTGGGAGGACAAGCATGCCCTAAGCGACTATTCAGAGGCTGCCAGCGAGCGCCGGCACCCGCTGTAGGTATTTGTCAGGGCTTACTGGTAGTACTAAACCTGCCGGCAGCACCAAAAGATCCCCAGGCCCGGCAGCCTGGACAGTGCCACAACACCTGCGCACTGGTAAATCCACAATTGCCGCACTGGTATCCCGCCTGACTATTTACAATCTGCGCCACCGTGAGGCGGATGTCTTCCGCTTCTGGTTTGCGTTGGCCCAGTTCCATCAACAGAGGCAGATGCCCGAAGCTGGGCGCGCGGGTAATTTCTTCAATCAGTTCATCAGCACCCAGTTCCCTGCCATTTTTACGCCGAAAATTGATTAAATCCTGCAACAGGAGCGGGTCAGGATAAAGCCGCAAGCTATGCCGCACAAAACGCTCAAATTCATCATCACGACCCATACTTTCGCAGGCTGCGCGATACACTTCCACATAATGACCAACCAGTTCCGGTGCCAGCTCCACCGCTTTCTGAATATGACGTAACACCGGCTTATAGTGTTTTCGGGCATATTCGACTTTAGCCAACAGCCAATGACTCCGAGCTTCAGCGGGTGCCAGTGACTCAGCCTTTCCAGCCAGCGCGAGTGCCTTACGCACATCGCCAGCCTCTAAACTCAACTCCGCCAGCTCACAATAAAAGTGCGCCACCCGGGTACGCAGCTCTGGTTTCGTTTTGAGCAGCTTTGTGCTGATGTCTATACCCTGTTGCCATTCGCGCTCCTGCTCAAAGAGATCTAACAGAAGTTCCAATGCAGGTAACTCCTGCGAGCCTTTGCGTTGGGCAATCTGTTGTAAGAGGTTTTCAGAGCGATCAAACAGGCCGGCTGTGTGGTAGTCGCGGGCCAGCTCCATTTCCACAAGCTGTTTGTTGATTTGGTTCAAAACCGGGGAGGCCAGCAGATTCTGGTGAATACGTATGGCCTTATCCACTTCGCCGCGTCGGCGCACAACACCTGCCATTGCCAGATGGACATCTATGGTTTGATCTGACACCTCCATGCCATCAATAAACCGATCCACACCCAGTTCCGGGCGGTCTCCCAATAGAAAATTCAGTCCCTGATAGTAATCTTTGATCACCGCCTGCTGCGGCCTCTGCGCTTTCCGCTCGCGACGACCCAGCAGGAAGCCGGTGCCCACTGCAACCAGTAAAAGAAGGTACAACAGAATATTGTGGGGAAGATCCACGATTAAACCCGGTTAGTGTTCTGTAGGTGTTAGCTCTGCACAGTCAGCGAGCGCAAACGCTCTAGTTCGGATTCAGCCTGGGCCAGAGATTGTTTCAGCTTGCGCGCCTGCATGCGGGCTTTAACGTTCATCCAGAGCGCATTGGACAAACCAAAGGTCAGGCCGATCAGGAAGGCGGCCAGCATCCACCAGAACATAGACAGCTTAAAAGGTGTCTCCCACACGGCAAAAGTGAGCGACATCTCAGGCTGATCCACTGCCAGTGCAGCGAATAGAAAAAAAATCAACATCGCTACGATGAGAGCGATGGTTTTTAACCACTTCATTGAAATTTATCCCTCTAAGACAACGCTGTCAGAACCCGGCTTAAGATAGCAGAGGACTATATGTTTGACACCAGGTCAAGTGCGAGCAGTGCTAAAGATCACGATGCCGGGTCGTTGGACTGGTTAAAACTATCCAATACCTGTTGATCACCAACACCATCATGCATTTTGCGCTGCTCAAGCTCCGCATGCAGAGCACTGTTCACTCGGTCTCGCAGTTCCTTGCCAGGCTTAAAATGAGGGACATGTTTACCCGCGAGACCGACGGATTCGCCGGTCTTGGGGTTACGGCCGATTCGCGGTGCTCGATAATGCAGCGAAAAGCTGCCGAACCCGCGAATCTCTATACGTTCTCCACTTGCCAAAGTGAGGGACATCTGCTCGATCATGGTCTTCACTGCCAGCTCTACATCTTTGCTGGACAGTAACGAGCCGGATTGCTGCACTTGTGCTGCCACAATGCGTTCAATCAGCTCCGACTTGGTCATGCTTTCTTCCGTCATAAGCAAAAGAACCTTTTAACCGTTTCGTCTACTAAAGACGTGTTCAGATCAGTCGTCTTTCTGTTCCATCTGCGCCTTGATCAGATCACCCAGGGTTGCTGCCCCAGGACGCTCTGTTTCAGAACGCTGATGTTCTCGAACAGCTGTTCGCTCTTCTTCAATGTCTTTCGCTTTGATCGACAGGCCAATGGTGCGATTTTTGCGATCGACACTGATGATTTTCACTTCAATCGGATCACCCACGTTCAACACGTTGCGCGCGTCTTCAACCCGATCAATGCTGATCTCAGAAGCTTTCAGAACACCGGTGACCTCTTCAGCCAGCTCAATCACAGCTTCTTTGGGTTCCACCTCGATAATGGTGCCGTTCACAATGGTGCCGCGATCGTTGACAGCGGTGTAATCCGAGAAGGGATCCTGGTCCAGCTGCTTGATGCCTAAGGAGATACGTTCACGCTCAGGATCAACAGACAGAATCAGTGTCTCTATCTCTTCACCTTTGGAGTAACGACGCACGGCTGTTTCACCGGTTTCGTTCCAGGAGATATCAGACAAGTGAACAAGACCGTCGATACCACCGTCCAGACCAATGAAAATACCAAAGTCGGTAATTGACTTGATGTTGCCGCTGATCCGATCGCCTTTTGCATGGCTGAGGCTGAACTCTTCCCATGGGTTGGGACGACACTGTTTCACACCTAAGGAGATGCGACGACGATCTTCATCGATATCCAGAACCATCACTTCACACTGATCACCGACCGAAACAACTTTTGACGGGTGAATGTTCTTGTTGGTCCAATCCATTTCAGAGACGTGTACCAGACCTTCAACACCCTCTTCGATTTCAGCAAAACAGCCGTAGTCGGTGAGGTTGGTGACGGTTGCCAGAACGCGTGATCCTTCAGGATAGCGGCGAATGATGTTGATCCATGGATCATCACCCAGCTGCTTCATACCCAGGCTGACGCGGTTCTTTTCGCGGTCGAACTTGAGGATACGAACGTCAACTTCATCGCCGACGTTAACCATTTCAGACGGATGACGAATACGCTTCCACGCCATGTCGGTGATGTGCAACAGACCGTCAACGCCGCCAAGGTCAACAAACGCACCATAATCGGTGAGGTTTTTGACAATACCTTTAACGTCCTGACCTTCCTGCAGAGAACCAAGCAGCGCTTCACGCTCATGACTGTTTTCTTCTTCCAGAACCGCACGACGTGATACCACAACGTTGTTGCGCTTCTGATCTAATTTGATGACTTTAAATTCGAGGGGCTTACCTTCCAGATGCGCGGTTTCACGCAATGGGCGGATGTCGACCAATGAGCCGGGCAGGAACGCGCGGATGTCATTGATATCAACTGTAAAGCCACCTTTGACTTTGCCGTTGATAATACCGGTGACCACCTCATTGCCTTCGTGGGCGGCTTCAAGGTGCATCCAGGACTCGGCGCGGCGCGCTTTCTCACGGGACAGGCGGGTTTCACCCCAACCATCGTCGACCACTTCCATGGCCACTTTAACCTGGTCACCTATAGCCAGGGTGAATTCACCCTGCTCATTTAAAAACTGGCTTCTTGGAATAACGCCTTCAGACTTCAGACCTGCGTGGACAACCACCCAGTCAGCGTCAATATCAACCACCGTGCCGGTAACGATGGACCCTGGGGCCATCTCGATGGACTGTAAACTTTCTTCAAATAGGTCGGCAAAAGATTCGCTCATAAATGTCGCTCTAACTTGTCACCTGCCGAACGGCCGGTGTGAACAAGCAGTGCTCTCCGTTGGTTAGTTAAAAAAAACGCGCAAGCGCCTTACTTCGGCTGCCACAAACCCAGTTTTTGAGCATGAGACAGGACCTGCTGCACCACCATTTCGATAGTCATATTTGTACTATCAAGGACGATGGCATCTGCGGCTGGTTTCAGCGGGGCGATCGTGCGACCTCGATCCCGGGCATCACGTTCTTGGATCTGCTCGAGAAGGCCGCGCAAACTAACACTTAAGCCTTTGTTTTTCAACTGTTTATAGCGACGCTCAGCACGCACCTCAGCGCTGGCATCAAGGAAGATTTTCAGCGCTGCGTCGGTAAAAACCACGGTACCCATATCCCTGCCATCGGCGACCAGGCCCGGCGCTTGCCGGAAACTGCGCTGCAGATCAAATACAGCAGCGCGAACCGCGGGCAGATGGGCGACTTTCGAGGCGTTTTCACCGGCATCTTCAGTGCGGATTTCATCGGTGAGGTCCAGGTCTTCCACCTTAACGCGATCATCCGCAAAACTGATGTGCAGCGCACCCGCCAATTCAGCCACGGAGGTTTCATCTGCGAGATCGATACCCCGACGCACGCTCATGGCACCAACAATGCGATATAGCGCACCAGAATCCAGCAGGTGCCAGCCCAGCGTGTCCGCAACCAGTCTGGCCAGGGTGCCTTTACCTGATCCGGACGGACCATCAATAGTGATAACGGGAATGTCTGTCATATCCGGCAGTACCTGCATTTATTCTTCAAGCTGGCCCCGCCGCTCAGCAGCGGCACGCAGGGCAGCCAAACCTGTGACCTCGTCATTTTTCTCTAATGCTTCAGTGAAGCTCTGCAGATGCGCCGTAAAGTCAGCTGCCGCATCCAACACCTGCTGACGATTCATGCACAAAATACGCCACCACAGCTCGGGGTTAGCCGCTGCAATACGCGTGAAATCGCGGAAACCTCCTCCACTGTAAGCCAGTTGATCCGGGTCTACCTGCTGCATGAACACATAAGCCAGGAGGTGAGGTAGATGGCTGGTGACCGCCAGCATTTCATCATGCGCCTGTGGCGATAAACGGGTCACTTCGCTGCCACAGGCACGCCAGGCTGATTCAACCCGCTGTAAAGCATTGTTGTCGGTTGAAACCAACGGTGTCAGGACCGTTGTTGCGCCGGCAAACAGATGGGCGTCAGCCGCCTGGGGACCGCTGCGATCAGAGCCTGCGATAGGATGACTGGGAACAAAATTTGGTGAAACACCCCCGCCCGCAAGGAGCGCTTCGATGATCGGTGCCTTCACACTACCCACGTCAAACATCGGCACCCGCAGCGATGCCAGAGCTTTCACCTGCTCTGCGACACGGTCACTAGGGGTACATATCGCAATCAGTTCAGCATCCGGGGGTACGTTTGCGCATATTTCATCAACCAGTCCGAGCTCCAGAGCAAGCTTCGCTGCTACGGGGTTCGTTTCAACACCGACGATATGACGTGCAAATGATGCAGCACGCCAGGCCGCACCCAGCGACCCGCCTATAAGTCCAACGCCGACAATGGCAACTTTCTCAAGGGACATAGGTTTAAGCGTCACAGCCACTCACTTGCTTGCTTGCTTGCGCTTGTGTACACGGACGAGCGCTTCAGATAACTGAGGGCAGCACATCTAAAAACCGCTGATTCTCTTCAGGCAAACCAATGCTGACACGCACATGGCTCGGCAGGCCATATTCGGCGATAGACCTAACAATAACACCCTGCTGCAGAAGCGCCTGAAAGACTTCTGTACCGCTGCGGCCGGCATCAAAACTCACAAAATTCCCCATGGATGGAATGTATGACAGGCCCAGTGCGCTCAAACCCTGTGTTATCTGTGTCATACCCTGCCTGTTAAGATCAACGCTGACACTGACAAATTCCTGGTCTTCCAGCGCAGCTGCTGCTGCCGCCAGACCAATGCTGCCAACATTGAACGGTTGCCTGGCTCTGTTTAACAGGTCTGCAAACGCTTCCGAAGACAAACCGTAGCCGACACGCAGAGCCGCAAGCCCATGAATTTTTGAGAACGTTCGGGTGACAATGAGGTTCGGATGAGCCTGCAGCAACGCCAGGGCATCAGGATATTCCGGATGGTCAGCGTACTCCAGGTAAGCTTCATCGAGCACCACCCAGACATGCTCGGGCACACTATCAAGGAAGGCTTTGAATGCATTATGGGTAACCCAGGTACCGGTTGGGTTGTTCGGATTGGCAACAAAAACCACCGTTGTCTGAGGTGTGATCGCCGCCGCCATCGCTTCCAGATCGGTACCAAAATCTTTTGCCGGCACTTCAATCAAACCACCTCCGGCAATTGTTACCGCCAGCCGGTAGACCACAAAACTGTGTTCAGAAATGACCGCCTGGCACCCTGGCTCAACGGTAACCCGGGCAATCAGATCGAGAACATCGTTAGAACCATTACCGAGGGTAATCTGACCAGATCTAACGCCCGTATGTTTCACCAACGCCTGCTTTAAGACGTAACCATTACCGTCAGGGTAGCGCGACAGCGTTGCCGTTTCGCGTTGAATAGCTTGTTGCACCAGCTCACCCGGACCACGAGGGTTTTCGTTACTTGCAAGTTTGATAATACTGTCCAGACCAAGCTCACGTGCCAGCTCGTCTATCGGTTTGCCAGGCTGGTAGGGGCGAAGACCTGCGATGCCCTGGTGAATATGAGGCTTTTGTGTCATTTCTAAATTTTCTCGCCGCTAAATCACTGATTGAGGGTATGAACCCAGAGAGCGGACTTCAAATGCCACCGCTTTGATCGCTTCAATAACCTGTTTCGCCTGCGGGTCGCTCTGATGGCCATCAAAGTCTATGAAAAACACATAGGACCAGTCACCGGAGCGTGCCGGCCGGGTTTCAATCCGAGTCAGGCTGATACCGAAGCGCTCAAATGGCTCAAGTACACGCAACAGCGCGCCCGGTTCATTACGAACGGACACCAACAGCGAAGATTTATCTTTGCCACTGGGGCCTACATCCTCCTGGCCCAGCACAATAAAACGCGTTTTGTTATCAGGCTGATCTTCAATTCGGGCACTCAATACGCGCAGGCCGTAACGATCTGCAGCAATTTCTCCTGCAATCGCGGCAATATGCGGGTGAGTCAGTGCCTGTTTGGCCGCTTCCGCATTACTGGCCACAGCGATACGCGGAATACCAGGATAATTGCGGTCCAGCCAGCCCCGGCACTGGGCCAGGCTCTGGGCATGGGAACGAATTTCGGTGATTTCGCCTTCTGCATCCTCGCCCCGCAACAGCGCATGATGAATGGCCAGCTCAACCTCAGCACAGATCTTCACTTTGGAACCCATGAAACAGTCGAGGGTGTGATTCACCATGCCTTCAGTGCTGTTCTCTACAGGCACAACGCCATAGTGGGCCGCCTGGGACTCCACTTCGCGGAACACCTCATCAATAGAGGCCAGCGGCTTGGTAGTCGCAAAGTGACCAAACTGTTTGATCGTAGCTGCTTCAGTGTAGGTACCCTCGGGGCCAAAATAGGCCACGGTAAGAGGGAGCTCCAGGTTCAAGCAGCAGGAGATCACTTCGCGGAACAACCCTGCAACATCTGTATCTTTAAGAGGTCCGGGGTTTTTCTGCATCAGGGAAGTCAGTATCTGAGCTTCACGCTCCGGGCGATAAAAAACCGGCGGTTCAGCCGACGTCTGGCCCTGTTTGATTTCACCCACTTCCAGCGCGCACTGGGCACGATCATTCAGCAGGCGCAGCAGCTCGACGTCTATGCGATCGATGCGCTCACGCAACGGCTTAAGCTTGTCGTCATCCGTGTTCATTCTCAAACTCGTGCATGTAGGTAATCAGGGCATCCACTGCATCTTCGGGTACCGCATTATAAATACTGGCCCGCATGCCGCCGACACTGCGATGCCCTTTCAAGCCAGACATTCCACGATCCAGAGCGCCGCTGACAAATTGCGCATCGAGCGCCTCGTCGGGCATGGTAAACGGTACATTCATCGTGGAGCGCACATCCGGCTGCACAGGAGATTGATAGAAATTACTGTTATCGATCACTGCATAAAGTTTGTCTGCTTTGCGTTGATTTGTTGCCGCGATGGCATCTAAACCACCCTGCTGCTTCAACCATTCAAACACCAGACCCGCCAGATACCACGCGTAGGTGGGCGGCGTATTCGACATGGAGTCCGCATCCGCCTGCACGGCGTAATCCAGCGTTCCAGGTGTTTCGTGGCGCGCCTGACCACACAGGTCTTTACGTACAACCACCATCGTTAGACCCGCGGGACCCAGATTCTTCTGCGCGCCACCGTAAATCAGCGCAAACTGCTCAACATCCACCGGTCGGGATAGAAAGTCTGACGACATATCCGCCACTAAAGGCGCTGATACCTTAGGAAATTCTTTGAACTGCACCCCACCAATGGTTTCGTTGGAGCAGAGGTGCAGATAGCTGGCATTGTCACTGAGCCGCCAGGTGTCCACTTCAGGAATGTAGCTGTAGTGACCACTCTTACTACTGGCTGCAACATTAACCAGGCAATATTTGCCGGCTTCTTTTATCGCTTTGGCTGACCATGAACCTGTATCGATGTAGTCAACTACGTCACCAGATGCAGTTAAATTCAGGGGGATCGCTGCAAACTGAGTAGTTGCACCACCCTGCAGAAACAGCACATGATAATCGTCAGACACACCCAGCAGAGAACGAAAATCAGCTTCTGCCTTGGCTGCAACTGCAACAAATTCTTTACTTCGGTGACTCATCTCCATCACCGACATGCCGCTACCTTGAAAGTCCAGCATCTCCGCCTGGGCTCGCTCCAGCACAGACAATGGCAGCGCAGCAGGTCCGGCGGAAAAGTTAAATATCCTCGCCAACTTAAGGTTCTCCGTATGAGTTTTGTAGTTTAGGTTTGCGGGTCAGCGTCTGTATCGGTTTCGCTGTCACCTGAAGATGCTGCGTTTAAAGCCGCTTCAGCGGCTGCATCCGCTTCGTGGACCACCGCCTCTGCGATACGCTCCACACTGTTGAGCAGCTCACCGTCTTTCACATTGATAAGACGTACACCCTGGGTATTGCGACCCAGTTCTGAAACCTGATCCGCAGCTGTGCGCACGAGGGTGCCCATGTTGCTGATCAGCATCAGTTCATCACCGGGAAACACCTGTACAGCACCCACCATGGCGCCGTTGCGATCGCTGGTTTGCATGGCAATAACACCCTGGCCACCCCGTCCTTTGACTGGATACTCCTCGATAGGCGTGCGTTTGCCGTAGCCATTTTCACTGGCCGTCAAAACGGTACCGCCTTCGGCAGGAATAATCAGAGAGATGACACGTTGGCCACTCTGCAGGCGGATACCACGTACGCCTTTAGCCGTGCGACCCATCGCCCGTACGTCGGATTCCTTAAATCGCACGGCTTTGCCTGCGCTGCTGCACAACATCACGTCACTGGAACCATTGGTGATGGCAACACCGACCAGAGTGTTGCCCTCTTCCAGATCCAGTGCAATCAGACCACTGGGACGCGGCCGTGAAAACTGTTCTAACGGCGTTTTCTTTACAGTGCCGTTAGCAGTTGCCATAAACACAAAATGATCCGATGCGTACTCCTTGACGGGCATGATCGCTGTGATGCGCTCTTCGGCGGCCAGCGGCAGAATGTTAATCATAGGACGGCCTTTTGCGCCCCGACTGCCCTGGGGAATCTGAAACGCTTTCAGCCAGTAAACCTTTCCTACATCAGAGAAACACAGGAGCTGATCGTGTGAGTTTGCGATAACCAGGTGTTCCACAAAATCTTCGTCTTTGACAGAGGTCGCGGCTTTACCAACACCACCACGGCGCTGCGCCTGGTACACATCCAGTGGCTGTGTTTTGCCATAGCCCTGGTGGGAAATAGTGACCACCAGCTCTTCTTCGTTGATTAGATCTTCTACCGAAAGATCCTGCTGGGTAGCGACGATCTCTGTCCGTCGCTCATCGCCGTAATTCTTTTTGATTTCATTCAGCTCATCACGGATAACCGACAGTAATCTTTCATGAGAACCGAGAATATCCATCAGATCAGCAATTTCATCCAGCACGCCTTTGTAATCTGCCATGAGCTTGTCTTGCTCCATGGCCGTTAAACGGTGCAGTCGAATCTCCAGAATGGCCTGAGCCTGTTCTTCGGTCAGACGATAAAGGTTATCGGTAAAACCGAAATCCTCGCTGAGACCGTCGGGGCGACAAGCGTCCGAGCCCACTTCCGCAAGCAGATCAAACAGAGCCTCGGCGACCCAACGTCGCTCCATCAGCGCTACCCTGGCGTCTGCTGCAGACGCGGAGCTTTTGATCAGCTCAATAACATCATCAATATTGGCAAGCGCTACCGCCTGACCTTCGAGGATATGACCCCGCTGACGCGCGCGACGCAAAAGATACAGGGTTCTGCGGGTCACCACTTCCTGGCGGTGCTGCAGGAACGCTTCAAGCATCTGTTTCAGATTCAGCAGCTTCGGCTGACCATCGACCAGCGCTACACAGTTGATGCCAAACACCTGTTGTAATTGGGTCTGGGTATAAAGGTTGTTCAAAACCACCTCACCGGAATCGCCGCGGCGAATTTCGATGACTACGCGTAAGCCGTCTTTATCTGACTCGTCACGCAGCTCGGTGATGCCTTCAATCTTTTTATCTTTGACCAGCTCAGCAATTTTCTCAATGAGCCTGGACTTGTTCAGCTGGTATGGAATCTCATGAATAATGATGCGGTCGCGGCCATTTTTCAGCTCCACGACTTCCGCACGTGCGCGCACGTAAATACGGCCACGACCTGTGCGATAGGCCTGCACAATACCTGCGCGGCCATTGATGATACCGGCGGTTGGAAAATCCGGCCCGGTGATGTGCTGCATCAGATCATCAATACTGGTGGCACTATCATCCAGCAGTACCAGCGTGGCATTGATCACTTCCGTAAGGTTGTGTGGCGGAATATTGGTGGCCATACCTACCGCAATACCGGAACTACCATTGACCAACAGGTTGGGTACACGGGTAGGCAAGACGACCGGCATCGTCAGGGTTTCGTCGTAGTTGGGCACAAAATCGACAGTGTCTTTGTCGAGATCCGCAAGCAGCTCGGAGGCCATTTTTGACATGCGGATTTCGGTGTAACGCATTGCCGCAGGCGGATCACCGTCTATTGAACCAAAATTACCCTGCCCGTCGACCAGCAGATAACGCATGGAAAAATCCTGCGCCATGCGTACCGCTGTCTCATACACAGCGCTGTCGCCATGGGGGTGATACTTACCGATGACCTCACCGACCACACGTGCAGACTTCACGTAGGGACGGTTATAGGTGTTATTGAGCTCACTCATGGCAAACAGAACACGTTTGTGAACCGGCTTCAAACCATCGCGAACGTCTGGTAAAGCGCGACCAACAATGACGCTCATTGCATAGGCCAGATAGGACTGGCGCAACTCGTCTTCGATGTTTACCGGGTGGATATCTTTATTGTTTTCTGAACCGATTTCCGACATGCAAAACTAGCGTGAATAAAAGGACGCGATTTTATCACGATTCACCGAAATGGGCTGTTTTTTATGAGATTTTTGGATGTCAGGAAAGTACCGCTATACTCCGTCGATGAAATCATGTGACCTCATCATCAGCGCCCCGTGGGTACTACCTGTTGCACCGGAAAATACCGCGTTAACCGACCATAGCGTGGCCATCAGCGGCAGCCGGATCGGCGATATCGGGCCCACCGACACCTTGCTGCAGAAATACCCGGATGCACAACACCTGGCACTGGATCACCACATCCTCCTGCCTGGCCTGATCAATACACATTGTCACAGCGCTATGACGCTGCTGCGCGGCGCTGGCGAAGACCAGCCGCTGAAAGCCTGGCTGGAAGAAACAATCTGGCCGCTGGAAGCTGCAGTGATGAATGACAACTACGTCACCCTGGGTACCCAGCTGGCGGTCGCGGAAATGCTGCTGAGCGGCACCACCACCTTCTCCGATATGTATTTCCTCCCTGAGAAAGTTGCCGAGGTCTGTGTCGACATCGGTATTCGCGCGCAACTTGCCTTTCCAATCATTGAATTTGCCAATGCCTGGAGCAAAAATGCTGATGACGCGCTGGACAAAGGTCTGGCACTGCACGAACAGCTTAAAGGTAACGGCCTGGTTCACGTGGCGCTTGGTCCACATTCCGGCTACAGCCTGAGCGCATCCGAACTTGAGCACGTCGCCCGGGTCGGGTTGGACCAGAATCTGCCGATCCAGATGCATATCCACGAGACAGCACAGGAAGTTGCTGACGCCCATCAATTGATGGGGCAAAGCTGGATTGAGCGCTGCGCCGATATAGGCATGCTGGGACCGCACGTGCAGGCAGTACACATGACACAAATCAGCGATACCGATCTCAAGCTGGTTGCAGATACCAATACACGTATTGTGCATTGCCCGACCTCCAACCTGAAACTGGCCTCAGGTTATTGCCCCACAACCGAGTTACGGCATGCAGGTGTCACCGTTTCCCTGGGTACAGACGGAGCCGCTTCGAACAATCGACTCAACCTGTTTGCGGAAGCGCGTATGGCCAGCCTGCTGGCGAAACACACAAACCAGAATGCTGCCGCTGCCAACGCCCAGGACATGTTGCACATGGCCACTCTGGGTGGTGCTCGCGCGCTGGGCATAGCAGACGTTACCGGCTCTCTTGAAGTGGGCAAAGCCGCAGACCTGATTGCAGTGGATATCAACAGCCTCGGCATGTTGCCGATGTACAATCCGTTTGCAGCGCTTATTCATGGCGATGCCGGAAATGCAATCAGCCATACCTACGTCGCAGGTAAAGCACTGGTCAAAGACGGCCAACTCACACAAAATTCCCTTACCAATTTGGCGCAACAGGTGCAGACCTGGCACTCTACACATCGCCCGATTTAACTGACAGTGACCCCATGAGTGAAAATGAAAACGTCGATCGTGACGAAATAGAGAAATTTGACGCCCTGGCTCACCGCTGGTGGGATCCCAACGGTGATTTTAAGCCGCTACATGATATCAACCCGAGTCGCGTACAGTACATCAGCGAGCGGAGCGATCTGCAGAGCGGTCCCGTTGTGGATATTGGCTGTGGTGGTGGCATTCTGACTGAATCCCTGGCTAATCTGGGCGCAGACGTCACCGGCGTTGATATGGCGGGCAAAGCCCTCAGCGTGGCGCGCCTGCACGCACTGGAAAGCGGCGTCGATGTCACTTACATAGAGGGTACAGCCGAGGCCCTGGCTCAGACCCACGCGGAACACTTCCATACGGTGACCTGTCTGGAAATGCTGGAACACGTGACCAGTTATGCATCCACAGTGGCGGCCTGTGCGGCGGTGACACAGCCCGGCGGCAACGTATTCTTCTCCACCATCAATCGCAATCCAAAAGCATACGCACTGCTGATTCTAGGCGCGGAATATGTACTGAACCTGTTGCCTCGAGGCACCCACGAATACGCTAAATTTATCAAACCGTCAGAGCTGTCATCAGCCATACGCGCTGCTGGCCTGGAAGTTGTGGACATCAGTGGCATGAGCTACAACCCGTTTACCCGGGCCTGCAATATCGGCCGCGATGTGGATGCAAATTATATTGTGCACGCCAGAAAGCCCCTGACCGACAACCCGTAACAGAAACTCGATATGAATGAATTGTTAGATAAACTGGGGGCGAGCTACCCGGCATTGGTGGCTGCTGCAGCCAGCTGGCGCTACCAGCCGGAACCGGAAATATTAGCCGGATGCAACATTCTGGTAACCGGCGCTGGCGCAGGGATCGGCGCGGCCGCGGCAAAATGTTTTGCCTGTTATGGCGCAAATGTGATTCTGCTGGGTCGCAGCCGCAACCACCTGGAAAGCGTGTTCGACTGGATTGAGACCCATACCAACACGCAACCTGTGATTGTGCCTTGTGATCTCGAACAGCTGGATGCCAGCGCAACCCACGCCCTGCACAGTGCTATTTCTGAAACCTACGGCGTGCTGCATGGCCTGCTGCACAACGCATCAAGACTCGGGCCTAAGGTACCGCTGGCCCATTACCCCATAGAGGAATGGCTGCGCGTCATGCAAACTAATGTAAATGCGCCTTTTATCCTGACCCATACGCTATTTGATCTGCTTGATGCCGCAGACGATGCCTGCGTTATCAACACTTCTTCTTCAGTGGGGCGGCAAGGTCGTGCCTACTGGGGTGCCTACGCGGTAAGCAAGTTTGCCACCGAGGGGTTCAGCCAGGTATTGGCTGACGAAACCGAGTCTGCTGGGCGTATCCGCGTCTACAGCGTCAATCCAGGCGGCACCCGCACCGCCATGCGCAAAGCCGCCTATCCGCTGGAAGACCCGGCGTCGCTACCCAGCCCGGAACAGCACATGGATCTATATCTGTATCTGATGGCCGGCAGACGCAGCGGCAAAACCTTGCCGGACACTGGCGCACAACTCGACGCACGAACCTGGAAGTGCCAATAAACCGTCTGGAAAACGTCAAAACGTTGACATGTTTTTTTGGCGCAAGCTCCTAACTCATTGATTTTATTGGCCACCAAAGCTGGCACAGTATTTGTACTGCGGTATTGAAAAAGCGTTTAACAGCAGCCTTACCCAAACCAGTAGTATGAGTTTTAAGAAGCGGATATGAGCAAAAATATTTCATCCAGATCAGCACGACTGAACGCACCCGGCAAACACCCGGAGTTTTTCGATGACCGCACCGCACTGCAGCTGACCCAGGCTTTCGGCCAGGAGGCAGAACTCGAACCGCTGCTTGCACTGCTTTTTGCACAGCAGCGGGCAACCGCTGAAGTGCGCGGACTACGCTATGTCTATCGACCTCTCGGGATAGATCTGAATTACGGCGAACGCGCCGACTACGAAGGTGAGTACAACCTGACTTTTCGCGACCTGCCGCTGGGCACGCTGACCCTGTATTTTGCCAATGGGCAGAATGAGCAGAGCATTCAAACCTGCGAAGATCTGGTGTCGCTCGCATTCACTTCCATCCGCAATGCGGTCACCACCCTGGAACTGCGCAACAAGCCCCAGGGTATCAATTCTGCCGAACGGGCAGCTCTGGCTACGGTCAACACGCCGCGCGAAAAGCACGACACAGCGCCGGGTTCATCGCAGAGCGGCGAGGCCAGACATGATGCGCTGATTCTGCTGGGTCTGGATCACTTTCCAACTATCCAGAGTCGAGACGGTGAAGAATGGGCGCAGGTGTTGATGTCCAGCGTGCACGAACAGATTCGCGAGGGGCTGCGCAGCGCAGACGGTGTATACCACATTGGTGATGATCTTATTGCGGTGCTGTTACCCAACACCAGTTCAGAACAGGCGGAACAGGTAGCCAAAAAGATACGTACGCTGGTTGCCAGCCTGCATCTGCGTGGAGATCCTAAAACGGAACAGCTGACAGCGTGTATGGGGTTGGCTGACGCTACCCACGCAAAAACGGCAGAAGATGTGATGAGCCACGCCCAATGTGCCCTGGCGGCGGCCCGAGCACAGGGCAGTAATCAGATTCTCTATTATCAGCCAGAACTGGCGGAGACTCAGCCTTTTAAGTCCGGGTAAGGCAACAGGCAGGTGGTTTTAGCTACGCGGGCGCGCCTTGTCTGAGACTGCCCTTTCTGCGGACCGCGATACTTGAGACCCAACATCTTGTATAAGGTTCGAAGATCTTCCGGCTGCAACAAAGCCCACTGACGGTTACGTAACCAGGACGGCAGAACAACAGGTCCGTAGCGCACCCGCTTGAGCCTGCTGACCACACAGCCGACACTTTCAAACAGACGTCGTACTTCGCGGTTTTTGCCTTCCATCAGTACCACGTGGTACCAATGATTGCGATTGCCTCCATTAAAATAGCGTATATCGCTGAAGCGCATCAGCTCACCATCAACTTCGACGCCTGCGCGCAATCGAGCCAGAACATCATCCTCGAGTTCGGCGTTAATACGCACAGCGTATTCCCGGTCAAGGCCGGTCGAAGGGTGCATGAGCTTATGCGCCAGAGATCCATCGTTGGTCAACAACAGCAAACCCGTGGTTTGCATATCAAGGCGACCTATGCTGATCCAGCGACTACCGCGCAGATTAGGCAGACTGTCAAAAACCGTGGGGCGACCCTCTTCATCTCGGCGCGAGCAAACCACACCTGACGCCTTGTTCATGATGATGACTTCCGGATTGGTCTGCGCATTCAAGCTTACCAACGCCCCATCAAACATGATGCGATCCGCTGTTGTGACACGCTGGCCAACATGGGCTATCTCATCATTAACGGATACACGCCCCGCTTCGATCCAACCTTCAATCTGACGACGCGAACCGATACCAGCGGCCGCTAGAATCTTATGTATTTTTTCAGGCACCAGGGGCGCTTGATCGGGTTGTTGCGGTTTACGTGACACCTATGCAGCCTTATTAGTTAGAAGGGCCGACGCCGGAGTGTAACTGCACCACATCAGCAGACTCAGGATCGCTTGCCGCCTGGTCACTTGTCTCAACATCTCCAGCTTCATCACTGTTGCTGGCTGCATCAACATCCGCCACCGAATCACCAGTCTCAGCATCTTCCGTTGCCTGCACCGCGACCGTAATGGTTTCGTCTTCCACCACCAGCGCAGGTTCTATCAGCGCGCGAATTTCCGCCAACGGTGGCAGGTCTGTCAGCGATTGCAGATTAAAATAATCCAAAAACGTTTTTGTTGTGCCGTACAACGATGGTCGGCCAGGGACTTCCCGCTGACCCACAACGCGGATCCAATCGCGCTCGACCAGGGTGCGCATAATATTCTGACTGACGCTGACGCCACGCACCTGCTCTATGTCACCTCGTGTGACGGGTTGCTTATAAGCCACCAGTGCAAGCGTCTCCAGCAAAGCCCGGGTATACCGAGGAGGCTTCTCATCCCACAGACGGCGCACCCAGTCACTTAAATCCTGGCGTACCTGATAACGATAACCGGATGCGACGCGTTTCAGTTCTACACCTCGTTCAGCGCTCTCTTCCTGCAGTGCCTTCAGCGCATCGCGCACCTGTTTTGTGGCATTTTCCTCATCCAGTTCGCCAGGCGCGAACAGCTTGGTTAAGTTGGCAACCGTCAATGGTCCATCTGAAGCCAGCAGAGCCGCTTCTATAATGCGTTGTATTTGCGCCTCATCCATTTAGCTGTCCTCGTCGCTGTCTTCATCTTGGTCGACTTCAATAGCTTCGTCCGAATCTGCTTCGCCGCCATAATTAGTATTGAACACCGGAGCGTGATCAACCACTCCGGATGCGCCACGCACATGAATCGGCGCAAACGCTTCAGTTTGAACAAATTCAACCAACGCCTCACGCACCAGCTCCATGATGGCAAGGAAGGTCACGATCACACCCATGCGACCTTCAGAAGGCTTAAATAATTCGCCGAAATCTACAAAACCATCCTGAGAGTTAACCAGTGCCAGCACATCACCCATACGTTCACGGACGGATAATGGTTCGAACTTCACTTCGTGCTTCTGGAACATCTCTGCCCGACGCAGCACAGCTGCCAGCGCGGTCAGAACCTCTTTGAGATCAACTTCCGGGTCTGCATGTTGTCTTACCAGGTCAGGTTTGCTCGCCGCCACATCAAAGATGTCCCGCTCTATGCGCGGCAATTCATCAATACCTTCTGCAGCGGTTTTAATCTGCTCGTATTCCTGCAGACGGCGTATCAGCTCCGCGCGTGGGTCACCTTCCTCTTCTTCAAGGGATTCCGGACGAGGCAGCAACATGCGGGATTTGATTTCAGCAAGCATCGCGGCCATGAGCAGGTATTCGCCTGCAAGTTCGAGCTGCAACGCCTGCATGAGATCAATATAACCCATGTACTGACGGGTGATCTCTGCGACCTTGATATTCAGGATATCCAGATTCTGCCGGCGAATCAGGTACAACAGCAGATCCAACGGTCCTTCGAAGGTTTCCAGAAAAACTTCTAACGCTTCGGGCGGAATATATAAATCGGTAGGCAGTTGCGTAACTGCCTCTCCTCGAACAAGCGCTATTGTCGCGCTGTCTGCGGAGCGTGCCTGTTCCAACTGACCAACGGTTTCGTTCATATGGTTCTCACTGTCGCCAACACTATCCGTTGGATTAACGATGACTGATGCCTATCGCTTCTTTGACGTCGTCCAGCGTTTCACGAGCAAGGTTACGTGCTTTCTCAGAGCCTTCCGCAAGAATCGCATGCACCAGATCAGGTTCTTCTTCAAATTGCTGGGCACGTTGTCGGTAGATGAGCTGTTCTTCATTAATCGCATCAATCAGCGGTTTTTTACAGTCGACGCAGCCAATACCTGCACTGCGACAACCTTGCGTGGCCCACTTGCGCACTTCCTCAGTCGAATAGACTTCGTGCAGCGCAAACACCGGACAATTTTCCGGCTCACCCGGATCCGAGCGGCGTACACGTGCAGGGTCTGTCTGCATAGTGCGAATTTTTGCTTCAACCGAGTCAGGCTCTTCCCGCAACGAAATATAATTGTTGTAAGACTTGGACATCTTTTCACCATCCAGGCCAGGCATCTTTGCCGTCTTCGTCAGCAAGGACTGTGGTTCCGGCAGAATGATGCGACCACCGCCTTCCAGATAGCCAAACAAACGCTCGCGATCACCGATAGACAGATTCTGTTGCTCAGCCAGCAATGCACGCGCGCGCTCCAGGGCTTCGCCATCACCTTTTTCCAGGTACTCTTTGCGCAAGTTGCCATACATGCGAGCAGCTTTTTTGCTCATTTTTTTGACCGCAGCTTCCGCGGCATCTTCAAAGCCAGGTTCACGACCGTAAATATGGTTAAACCGCCGCGCCACTTCCCGGGTAAGCTCCACATGTGCCACCTGATCCGCGCCGACAGGCACCCAACCGGCCCGGTACACCAGAATATCTGCAGCCTGTAACAGCGGATAACCAAGGAAACCGTAGGTGGCCAGATCCCGGTCAGAGAGTTTCTGCTGCTGATCTTTAAAGCTGGGTACGCGCTCAAGCCAGGAGATGGGTGTGATCATCGACAACAGCAGATGCAGTTCCGCATGTTCCGGCACCCGACTCTGCACAAATATCGTGGCCGTGCCGGGATTAACACCTGCAGCCAACCAATCGACAACAGTGTCGAATGTGTACTGCTCGATGTTCTGCGACTCTTCGTAATCTGTGGTCAGCGCGTGGAAGTCAGCCACAAAAAAGAAGCACTCGTATTCGTGCTGCAGTTGAACCCAGTTTTTTAACACACCGTGCAGGTGCCCTAAGTGAAGACGTCCCGTGGGACGCATGCCAGAGAGCACCCTCTGGTTAGAATCATTACTGCTCAAGCGAGCCCTTTATATTTGTGTAAGTATTGTCGGGCGCCATTATAGGCGTGTGATGAGCAAGTGTCCTCTAATGAATAAAACGTTACGTTGAGCATGACGGTTTATTCATTAGAGGACACTATATTGCATCCAACTCTCCCTTTCCCTGACGCACTAATTGCGGCACATCTTCAGTGAGATCGATAACGGTGCTTTCTTCCAGGCCACAGGCGCCGGCGTCAATGATGACATCAAGCTGTTTGCCCAGCCGTTCTGCGATGTCTTCACCATCCATAAACAGGGCTTGTTCCTCTCCATCATCATCGGGCAGGCGCAGCGTTGTGGTCATAATCGGCTCACCCATAAGTTCCAGCAGCATCTGCGCAACCGGATGATCCGGCACGCGAATGCCGATGGTACGCCGCTTCTCATGCACCAGACGCTTGGGGACTTCTTTTGAAGCGCGCAGAATAAAGGTGAACGGCCCCGGGGTAGCCCGCTTCAGCAGCCGGTAACTGGAATTGTCGACACGAGCATAAACGCCAAGCTCACTGAGATCGCGACAGGCCAGCGTAAACTGATGATTCTTGCGCAGCCGTCGCAATGCAATAATCCGATCCAGCGCCCGTTTGTCGCCGATATGGCACGCCAGCGCATACGATGTATCGGTGGGATACGCTACCAGGCCACCATCAGCAAGGGCTTGGGCTGCAACTTGCAGCAATCGACGTTGCGGATTTTCAGGGTGTACGTGCAGCAGTTGGCTCAACGGTGTCTCTTCTTACGCTATTCTTTTATTATCCGCGCCAAACCCAGGTTTCAACGCACGGCTCGAAACGAACCGCCAAGGATAAACTTTTTTTATGCAACAGCTACTTGATTACGCCGCGATCCTTGCCTTTGTGGTGGTTTATTTTATCACCCGGGACATTTTCCTGGCCACCGCGGTGCTGATGGGTGGCGTCACCCTGCAGGTTGTGGGCTATCTGCTGATGAAAAAACCCATTGGCAATGAGCTGAAAGTGACCTTTGTAGCCAGCATGTTGCTCGGTGGGATGACACTGATTCTACGCGACGAAACCTTTATTCAATGGAAACCCAGCATCGTCAACGCCATTCTGGCGCTGACACTGGTGGGTGGCCACCTGATCGGCAAGACCTTTTTCATCAAGAAAATGCTCGGCCAGGTCCTCCATCTGCCTGACAGTGCCTGGTTTACCCTGACTTACGGCTGGGCATTGGGCTTCACCCTCGCCGGTGCGCTGAATTTGTGGGTGGCTTATAACTTCGACATGGATACCTGGGTGACTTTTCGCTTCGCTGGACTGCTGATGATCAACATCAGCATGTTGATCGCCACCTTCACCTATCTGTACGCTAAAGGTCTGCTTAATGAAGACAATCTGCCGGACCCGAAAGCGCCAAAAAGCGAAGACAAACCTTGATCATCCCAGTAGCTGCACCTTGCGTGTCACTTTCATAACGGATCTTTTATGCAAGACTCACAGACTCCAATGACCACTCTGTTCCTTGTGGCGTTCAGCACCATCATGCTGTTCACCGCGTCAGCGGCTCAGGCCCGTACCGTCTATATCTCTGATGAACTGACCGTGCCGTTACGCAGCGGACCATCAAGCGGACACCGGATCCTGCACCGCGGTTTACCCAGCGGCACCCAGATGGAAGTACTGGAAGTTGATGAAGGCGCCGGCTTCAGCCGCATCAGAACCAGCCGCGGCACCGAAGGTTGGATCCGCAGCCAGTATCTGGTCAGCGAACCCATCGCAAAACTGAAACTGGCCGCGGCACAACGCGCCATGAACAATGCCCAGGCCGCTCTGGCAGCTGAACAGGCTAAAGTAAAAGAATTGACCGCCAGCAACCGTGAACGCGGCAGCACCAATTCAGCCTACGAAAAGCGCATCGCTGAGCTGGAAACCGAGTTAGCTGAAATCACACGCATCTCCGCTGGCGCGATAGAAACCAACGCAGAAAACATCAAACTGCAGGAAGTGAACGCCCGTCTGCAGGATGAACTGGATGACATCGCCCAGAGCCGCGCTCAGCTGGAGGACAATACCTTTAACGAAGCCCTGATGATTGGCGGAGGCCTGTTGTTTCTCGGCCTGATCGCCGGGGTTCTGATCAAAGCCCGGCCACACCGCAGCGCCTGGAGCTAAGGCCAATCCGATGACAGTACTGAGCGTCAACCTGAACAAAATCGCGCTTTTACGCAACGCCCGGGAAGGCGCAAGGCCCAGTGTGGTTGAAGCCGCAAGAGTAGCCCTGGCAGCGGGTGCAAAAGGCATTACGGTGCATCCCCGACCTGACCAGCGACACATACGCACCACTGACGTGTATGCCCTGGCTGAGCTGCTGGCCAGCGAATATCCGGGCATTGAATTCAATATTGAAGGCAACCCCATGGCGAATGCCAATGCGGGCGGTTATCCTGGCCTGGATGCACTGATAGAGAGGACCAGACCCGCGCAGGCGACTCTGGTGCCCGACAGCGACAACCAGCTCACTTCGGACCACGGCTGGAACCTGACCACATTCAACAGCAAATTGGCGGACAAAATCGCGCTGTACCAGTCTTATGGTGCGCGTGTCAGCCTGTTTATGGATCCCGATATCCCGCAGATTCAGCAGGCCCAGGCACATGGTGCGCAGCGTATTGAGCTGTATACGGGTCCATTTGCTGACCTGTACAGCGAACACGGCGCAGACAGTGAGGCGGTACAGAACAGCTTTCAGAGTTATCTCGGCGCCGCCCGCTATGCCAATCAGATTGGCCTCGGCGTCAACGCAGGCCATGATCTGGACTTACACAATCTGACGCTGTTCAAACAGATTACCGAAGTAGCAGAAGTGTCAATTGGCCACGCTTTAATTTGTGATGCGCTTGAAATGGGGCTGTCCGCCAGTGTAACGGCCTATGTCAAAGCACTCGCCTAACACCAAACCCTCCGCTAACATGCGCGCCATGAATATCTATCACTACTGCAGAACTTTAATCATTGCACTGGTTGTCAGCACCGCAACGCTGGGCGCCTACGCAGAAAATCCACGCGTCGCCATCGATACCAACTTCGGCGTCATTGAAGTTGAACTGACACCTACTCTGGCACCACGCACCGTCGAGAACTTCCTTGCTCTGGTAGACGACGAATTTTATACCGGCCTGGTGTTTCATCGCGTGATAGCGAACTTCATGATTCAGGGGGGTGGCTACAATGCAGACCTGCAATATAAATCAACCACAAAAACAGTACCCAACGAATCTTTTAACGGCGTTAAAAACACCCGTGGCACCATCGCCATGGCACGGTTAAACGATCCGGATTCTGCAAATTCACAGTTTTTCATCAACGTTGCTGATAATCCGAACCTGAATGCTGACGGTACCAAGGCCGGTTATACCGTATTTGGCAAGGTATCAGCTGGTATGGATGTGGTGGACGCCATTGAATTAGTGAATACCCACCTGCGCCGGGGTATGGCCGCAGTTCCCGAAGAACCAGTTATCATTAACACCATTACGCGCGTTGAGTAAATTCTGATTTTCTAAGCTGGATTTACAAACCCCACGGCGCATCTTTTATGGGGTAGAATGCGGCGCTTTTTCATCCATAAGATCTAACATGCCTACATTACTTATCGCCGCAGCCAGCGCGGCTCTGCTGGCTGCTCTCGTCACAGAATTGTCTCAACGTTTCTGGTCCGACAGCTACATCGCTCTGCTTGTCATTACTTTTATCGCGTTATTGATCAACGGCTTGTTCAACGCGCGACTGCGCCAGAACGCCAGTCAATCAACATCCGCCCGAGCGCAACCCCAACGCCAGAATGAGCGCAAAAAACCCACCAATGACAGGGATAAGCGTAGCGCCAGCGAGCGGCCGTCCGGTGAACGTAAAAAACCCGCACGTGACCCCAAGCCACAGCGCAACGACAGCAATCGACAGGCTAACCGCGGTGATCGCGATAGCGGCGAACCTGCCCGGGAAGTCAGCCAGGCCACAGGGCCGGTGGAAAACGGCACGGTTAAGTGGTTCAACCGTTCCAAGGGATACGGTTTTATCGTTCGCGAGAATGGCGAGGAAATCTTCGTGCACCAGCGCTCAATTGCCAGCGATGGTGATCGCAATCAACGTCCTGTACTGAATGACGGCCAGCAAGTCAGTTTTGTAGTCTCACATCAGGAAAAAGGCGCCCAGGCTGAACAGGTTAAAACCCTCGACTAGAGCCGCATCCATATGCAGATAAAAGCCCAGCTCAGCCATGCAATTGAGGCCGCCTTCAACACTCTGGGGCTGGTCGGGCCTGCACTGGTGCAGACTTCCAGCAGACCGGAGTTGGGCGATTATCAGGCCAACGGGGTGATGGCGGCAGCCAAGCGAGCGCAGCGTAATCCGCGCGAAGTGGCTGCTGAGGTTATTGAAGTCCTGGATCTGAAAGGTATTGCCAGCACTGTCGATATCGCCGGTCCCGGTTTTCTCAACATTACCCTGGCCGCAGATTTTCTTGCCGGTGTTACCGCCGGCGAAATCACAGCCAGCCCGGCGCCACAGCGGGTTGTTGTTGATTACTCTGCCCCGAACCTGGCCAAAGAAATGCATGTCGGTCACTTGCGCTCAACCATCATCGGCGATTGTATCGTTCGCGTGCTGGAAGCTCAGGGCCACACCGTTTTACGACAGAATCACGTTGGCGATTGGGGTACCCAGTTCGGCATGTTGCTGACCTACCTGCAGGACACAGGCGCAAATTCTGATTCCCTGGCCTACCTCGAAGACTTCTACCGCGCAGCAAAAACGCGTTTCGATGAAGATGAGGATTTTCAACAACGCGCGCGCCAGGCTGTGGTGGACCTGCAGGCAGGCGATGCCCACGCGTTGGACATGTGGCAGCATTTCATCACCGTATCCATGTCTCACTGTCAGGAAATTTACGACCGGCTCGACGTGACGCTCAACCCGACTCACATCCAGGGTGAAAGTGCGTACAACGATGCGCTGCCCGGCATCATCCAACAGCTTAATGACAAAGGCCTTTTGACGCAGTCCGAAGGTGCGCAGTGTGTGTTCCTGGAGGAATTCAAAACCAAGAAAGGCGAGACCCTGCCGGTTATCGTGCAGAAAACCGATGGTGGATACCTCTACGCCACCACCGACCTGGCAGCGATCGCGTATCGTAACAAAGAACTCAACGCAGAGCGGGTGCTGTATTTCACCGACGCACGCCAGGCACTACACTTCAAACAGATATTTGCCGTTGCCCGGGCGGCTGGATTTGCCGATTCGAGTATCAGCCTGGAACACATGCCGTTTGGCGCCATGCTGGGCGACGATGGCAAACCGTTTAAAACCCGCGCGGGCACCGTGGTGAAGCTGGCTGAATTACTCGACGAGGCAGAACTACGCGCCACCCGACTGGTAAGCAGCAAAAACCCTGACCTTGACGACAAAACCGCGGCGGAGCTGGGTCATGTCATTGGCATAGGTGCAGTGAAATATGCTGACCTGTCGAAAAATCGTACCAGTGACTACGTGTTCAACTGGGAACAGATGATCAGTTTCGAAGGCAACACTTCACCTTATCTGCAATATGCCTATACCCGCATTGCCAGCATCTTTGCCAAGGGTCAGATTGATCTCAGCACCCTGCCCATGCAGGCAATCGCGGTTGAAGAACCGGAGCGGCGGCTGGCGGTAATGATTGCGAGTTTCAACGATACCCTCGATGCCGTGGCAAGCGAAGGCATGCCACATCTGTTGTGTGGTTATCTGTATGAACTGGCAACGCGTTTCACCAGCTTCTACGAAGCCTGCCCGATTCTTACCAGCAGTGCTGATGTACGCGAACGACGCCTGGTGCTGGCAAAACAGACCGCCGACACGCTGCGGAACGGCCTTGATCTGCTGGGTATTGGTGTTGTCGAACAGATGTGAGGCGCTAACCGCCTGACGAACACTGACGACATGGGTTGCTGGAGAGCGGCTTTGATCTGAAGCGCCGCAGAAACCACCACAGCGGTTTCGACGACACTCTGATCAGATTTCAGCAGGGGCGGATTACGCAGTCGCAGCCTGCGGGGTAGCGTAAGACTTCAGCGTCTGGGCAAAATTTTCCAGACTCTGCAAGCCGGACGCTTCTGCCTCTTTACACCATTCGCTGAGCGCATGAATCACTTCATCCATGTTGCCACCACGCTTGGCCCAGATCTCCTGGAGACGTTGATGCAGGTCATGAATGACTCTGATCTCCGGACTGGTTTCGACAACGGCGGAAATGCGATCGCGCCCGCTATCATTAACCAGCAGAGGCTGACGCACCATCAGACGGCGCGCTCGTTTGATCAACTTGCGCGAAGCGGTGTCCGCTTTGCGGTATTCCTGCGCCATGACAGGTTTAACCACTTCTTTAGAGTAACGGGCCATGACGTGGAAGCGGTCGTTCAACAAAGCCAGGACTGCGTCTTTATCCAGTACATTTTTCTCTGGCACACGTTCTACAACAGGACCGGTGCTGATGACCTTGGCAAGACCTAACATCTCAAATAAGCGGATCCACATCCAGCCGATGTCAAACTCGTACCACTTCGCTGAAAGCTTGGCTGAGTTTGGATAGGTGTGGTGATTATTATGCAACTCTTCTCCTCCAATCAGGATGCCCCAGGGTGAGATGTTGCGGGCTGCGTCGGGACATTCAAAGTTACGATAGCCCCACCAGTGGCCAATGCCATTAATCACGCCTGCAGCAAACAACGGAATCCACACCATCTGCACGGCCCAGATGGTTAAACCCAGCGCACCAAACAGAGAGATATTGATAATCGCCAGTGCGGTGATACCGCCGGTGGTATATTTTTCATAAACATTGCGCTCGATCCAATCGTCAGGACAACCGCGGCCATATTTGGCCAGAGTTTCTTCGTTGGTCGCTTCGATACGGTAGTTCTCAACCCCGCGCCAGAAGATTTCGCCGATGCCTTTAACAACAGGGCTGTGTGGATCTTCCTCTGTTTCACATTTGGCGTGGTGTTTACGATGCACCGCCGTCCACTGGCGAGTACCCATGCCTGTGGTGAACCACAGCCAGGCACGGAAAAAATGTTTCAGCACAGGGTGCAATTCCAGCGCGCGGTGCGCGGAGTGGCGGTGCAGAAATACGGTGACCGCAACAATCGTAATGTGTGTCACAACCAGTGTGTAAATGACTAACTCGGTGACAGACAGGTTGAGTAAGCCATGACTCAGGAAATCCAGAATGCTCAAAGCAAATGCTCCTTACAGGTGCGCAGATGGTGATCAGAGTTCCGCATTGTAGGCATTGCGTAACCGTTAAGCCACCTTGCGAAAACAGTCAACAATAGTGTAGACGGCATCGCCAGATGACAGTGTGTCCTAGTACTATGTTGTGAACTCTGGCCAAGCCCAACGGACACCATGCCTCAATACACAACTCTTATAACATCAGCGGAATTGGCCGAAGTTGAAAATCATTGCCTGGTGTTCGATTGTCGGGCTCAACTTGGAGATGTTAATTGGGGCAGGCAGGCTTATTTGCAAGGCCATATTACCGGCGCGTATTACCTCAACCTGGATGAAGACCTGGCGGATCCGCCAAACGAGGCTGGCCGACATCCACTCCCGGATATTGCGCGCTGGCGCGCCCGTGTCGGTCAACTGGGCCTGCAGCCTGAGCAACAGGTGGTGGTTTACGACGACGCCACAGGTGCTTACGCTGCCCGGGCCTGGTGGATGTTTCGCTGGCTTGGGCACAGCAACGTAGCCGTGCTGGATGGTGGTCTTAAACATTGGCAACAAACTCTCGAGCAAGCCCTGCCGGCACCCCTGGCGCCCACGGTCTACCCTGTCCTGGCACCACTGACGCGCCTTATTGCAACCGGTGAATTGCACCAAAGACTGGACACACTTAAACCGGGCCAGTTGATTGATGCCCGCACCCGGGCGCGCTGGGCGGGTCTGGAAGAGCCCATTGACCCCGTCGCAGGTCATATCCCAAAAGCCATCTGCCTGCCATTCCAGGACAATCTCAGCCCAGATGGCTGCTTCAAGTCCTCCGCAGATCTGGCAGCCCGTTTTGCCAACATTGCTGACAATCCCATCTGCTACTGTGGTTCTGGCGTCACCGCTGCACACAACCTGCTGGCGATGCGGGTTGCTGGCCTGGCCGAACCTGCGTTGTACGCAGACTCCTGGAGTGGCTGGATCACGGATACTGCAAGGCCTGTGGCAACAGACATTTGATGATCATCCCCGCTGCCGAGATCCGCTGGCACGGCGCCCAGGCGGAAGCCACCGGTTATAACGACATCTATTTCCGCGATGACGCTCTCGCCGAGGCTGAACAGATCTTCATCCAGCCGGGCCGGATCGTGCCCAAGGCTGCGGCTGCCGAAACAATCTGCATCGGTGAGCTTGGCTTTGGCATGGGGACAAATTTTATCGCCGCGGCCACCGCAGTACTGCAGCACAGTAGTGCCCATCTGCGGTACGTTGCCATTGAGAAACACCCGTTAAGTCCCGCGGACTGGCAACAGGTCGCGATCCGCGCTCAACACCACAAACCACTCTATCGCGCACTCACCGAGCCGGTGTTGCCGCTCCTGGCTGGTTGGCACGAACGGGTTTTTGCTGCGGGCCGAATCACTTTGACGGTGTTTCACGGCGATGTTGTTGACGGTTTAGAGGCGCTTGTCCAACAACAACACAACCCGGTGGATGCATGGTTTCTTGATGGCTTTACACCCGCCAAGAACCCACAAATGTGGACCCCGCAGATTTACTCAGCACTTGCGCAATTATCAGCCCGGAACACCTCGGTCGCCTCGTTTACAGCTGCCGGGCACGTCCGGCGGGGCCTGCAGGCAGCGGGCTTTGAGATCGAACGACTGGATCAGAGCCCACACAAACATCACAGCCTGGCCGGTTACTACCTACATGACGGCCGTCAGCGTCTTCCCGCGCCGAGCCAGGTCACCGTTCATGGCCAGGGCATAGGTGGCGCCAGCGTTGCACGCAGGCTGGCAGAATCAGGTATATCCGTGCGCGTTCTGGACCCCGCACCGCAAAACAGCGCATCCGCGCGGATCAAAGCCGCGGTGATGCATGCCCGCCTGCTCGGCGATGGCAGTCCAAGTGCTGTATTTCGACACTCAAGTTTTCACTACACCACGGCCTATCTGCAGGCTTTCAGCGGGTTTGCACGCACCGGTGTCCTGCAACTGCAGGGTCCCAACATGAATGCAAAGAAACTGCAGCGCATCACCGCCGCTTATGGTGACAACCATGAACATCAGCAGCACTGGCTACAGCAACTGTCTGCTACACAAGCCGCGCAATTAAGTGGCGCGGCTATCGATGCCGATGCACTGTACTTTCCCAGCGCCGGGGTTGTTGACCTGCCAACACTGTGCCAGGCACTGCTGCACCACCCAAATATCCGTCAGGACAGCTCAGAAGGGTCAGCAAAACCTGGCCCGTTTGATCCCAAGCGCATAAATATTCTTTGCAGCGCCGGCGGCACCCGTGCTTTTCCAGGCTGTGATCATCTTGAAATCAGCGAAGTTTACGGTCAGCTGGATCAGTTCAAAACCGCTGCCCGGCTCAGCAATGTACCTGTCGTCGGCAATGGTTATCTGGTGCCCGATGACGAGGGTGTTGTACTTGGTGCGTCTTATGAATACAGCCCATGGTCCCAGGACAAAGCGCGCAGTCACAATCTGCAGGCCAATCAACACCTCATGCCGGATGCCGAGCTCACCTGGCAACACAGTCAACGCGCAGCACGTGCCACAAGCAGCGACAGAATGCCGATTATCGGTCGCCTGTCAGGTCCAACAGAGATGTGGCTGGCAACGGCTTTCGGATCCATGGGCACCACCGCCGCTCCACTGGCAGCGGCCATGGTAACCAATCAGATTCTAGGCTGGAGCAGCGGTGTGAGTATTGAGGTGGAAGAACTCACTGACCCCAATCGTTTTGCCCGGCGCCAGGCGCGCCGGGGTATCAGACACCGCTGAGCATAAGCTGCAACGAACGCTCAGCTGTCTGCGGTGAGCACACGCACATTAATGACAGAGTCAATGGCACTGATTGCATTGATCAAACCCTGATCGGGTTGCGCGGCTAAATCGATCAGGTTGTAGGCGACGTCGTCCCGGCTTTTGTTGATCAGATCGATAACATTGATGTCACGTTCTGCCAGCACGGAGGTCATTTTACCCAGCGTGCCGGTAACATTCCGGTTAGTCACCGCGATGCGATAACCGTCCACCCGTTCAAGACTGACTGGCGGGAAATTCACTGAGTTAGTGATACTGCCGGTTTCCAGAAAACGCATCAGCTGATCTGCTGCCATGACAGCGCAGTTTTCTTCCGCTTCAGCGGTACTGGCGCCCAGGTGTGGGGTCAACATGACGCGGTCGTGGTCAATCAATCCCGGTACCGGGAAATCAGCCACATAGCGACCGATCTGACCGTTCTCCAGGCCTTTCGCCAAAGCCTGGGTATCGACAATGGGTTGGCGGGCAAAATTGAGCAGCACGCTGCCGGGTTTGAATGCCTCCAAAGCTGCAGCATTGATCATGCCTTCGGTGGCGGGCAACAACGGCACGTGCAGGGTGACGTAATCTGCCTGAGCAAACAGGCTGGGCAGATTTTCCATCCGCTCAACTTCAGCAGGCACACGCCATGCGGCGTCTACCGACAGCGCCGGATCATAGCCCAGCACTCGCATGCCCAGATCCAAAGCAGCCCGTGCAACCATGCTGCCGATGGCACCCAGACCCACTACGCCGAGGCTTTTGCCAATCAGTTCACGGCCTTTAAAACGCTTCTTTTCCGCTTCGACCAGCTTATTGAGCTCGACTTCATCGGTGACTGACGCCAGAGAGCGTACATAGCTGATGCCACCGTATACATCGCGAGAAGCCAGCAGCAACGCTGTCAGCACCAGCTCTTTTACCGAGTTGGCGTTCGCGCCAGGTGTGTTGAAAACAACAATACCGCGATCAGAACACGCCTCTACAGGCACATTGTTCACGCCAGCCCCGGCACGGGCAATGGCCAACAAACCATCGCTGAGTTCATCTACTGCCAGCTTATGGCTGCGCAGCAACAATGCGTCAGGCGAAGTAATATCAGCGCCGACACTGTATTTGTCGGTGTTAAAGCGATCCAGACCGGTGGCGGCAATGGCGTTGTAGGTGCGAACGTTGTACATGATAAAGTGGGTTTGTGAGAGAGGCGCGCAAGGTAGGCATGCAGCCATAGAAAGTCAAGAAGCGGACTGTAAGCCTATTGCAGAAGTGATCTCCCGGGCAATTGCCGGCGCCGCCTGTGGATGTTCAAAGCGTGCCAGCGACGCTGCAAACGCATCGCGATTTTCCTCTATCTGATTCAACGCCGTCAGCAGCGTCTGCGGGTTCAGATCTGCCTCCGACAGGACAACGCTATAGCCCGCCTCGGCCGCAACACGTGCATTGTCGATCTGGTCTCCGCGAGAGGCCTTAGCCGACAGGGGCACCAGCACGTTCAACTTGCGCAGCGACAACAGTTCAAACAGCGCATTGGCTCCCGCCCTGGACAGGACCACAGCTGCAGCCGCAAGCAGATCACCCCAGCCTTCATCGATATATTCGCGCTGAACATAACCTGGCATGTCCAAAGCTTGCCGCTTACCCGGACCACACACATGCAGTACCACATAACGCTGGGTTAACTCGGACAGGGCCGCGCGTATGACAGCGTTGAGCGCATCAGCGCCAAGACTGCCTCCGGTGACAATCAGCAGAGGCTTATCGGCATCGGTCAGGCCGAGCAACTGACGTCCTCGACTGGCTTCACCTGAGGTGATTTCATCGCGCAGCGGCGTTCCTGTAACCACCACCTGAGTGCTGCCCAGCTGGTCACCACTGACCTTTTTGGTCTGTGCAAAACTAACGCACAGGGTTTTCACAAAGGGCAGCACCAATCGATTCGCCAGACCAGGGGTCAGATCCGATTCATGGGCTACCACCGGCACGCGCCAGAGCCAGGCCGCCAGCGCCACCGGGAACGATACAAAGCCGCCTTTCGAAAACACCACATCGGGTTTCAACCGTCGGATCAAGAGCAGCGCCTGGACGATGCCCAGCGCAATACGAAACAAATCAGTAAAGTTCTGCCACGACCAGTAACGACGCAGCTTGCCTGCAGAGACGGCATAAAATGCCACCCCACTGGACCCGGTGAGCTGTTCTTCAAGCCCGGAATCTGTCCCCACAAACGAGACCTGTAAACCTTGCTGCTGCAGAAGTTCAATGACCGGTAGCGCGGGGATGACATGCCCTGCCGAGCCACCACCAACCACCAGCACGTGGCGAGGCAAAGAAGGATCCGGGTTGACCATCAATACCCCAGCACCTGTTTCAACAGGGGGATGGTTACCGGCGATTTTTTCACCAGGCTGGCTTTGTCGAGGGTCTCCAGGTCGGTTAACAGCGCGCCCAGACTGCGCGGCCCGCGTGCCAGCCAGTAGTCCAGCACCGGCTGCTGCAGCGCATAGCCGCGTTGATGCGCGCGCTGTTTTAAAAGGTGCACCTTGGCCGCATCATCCAATGGCACAATCTGATAGTGCTGCAGACTGCGCATCCGCGACGTCAGGTCCGGCGTGAGAAAGTCAACCTGGGCTGAACTTGTAGTGTGTGTCACGAGCAGGACCCCGCGCTCGTTGAGTACCCGCTGATAGATCACCATCACCGCATCGTGCATCTCCTGCTGGCGCGGCAGATGATGCAGATCATCCAGCGCAACAACCTGGCCGTGAACACCCGCATACTCAAGGGCGGCCAACAGGCCACCGGGGTTATGTTCGTAATCAGCACAATTGACGTAACAGGCTGATTCACCGAACTCTATGGCGCGCAGACAACGCCCGCGCAGAAGGTGGCTGCGACCGGAACTCGCCTCCCCGTAGACCCACAGCCCCACAAACCCCCGTGCAGAGGCACGTAAAACCTGCAGCAGCTCTTCGTTATCGCCAACGACAAAATTATCCAGACGCTGCTCAAGAGGATGCTCAATCGCCAGCGTAAACTGCTGCGGCACAGGCATAGAACTAATCGACCCGGCGAAAGCCTGAGGGGCCGTGTTTATACAGCTTACGTTTCTTGCCTTCCCGATAAGCTTTCGAACCCCAGGTAATGACGTAGTCGATGCCGGAGCTGACACCCAGCACCGCCAGCACATAAAAACAGGGCTGCGCAGAGCTGGCTGCAATCTCTGCCACCACACCCAGAGGCAGGAAGCTGGCCATCAACAGACACACGGTAAAGATCTGCATCGCCGTGTTGGCCTTGCTTAAAAAAGTAGGTGATATGTCTACTTCTTCGTACAACAATTTATATACACCGGCGCCCGCGATGATAGTGAAATCGCGAATCAGCACAATCAAAGCGACCCACAGCGGAATATGGCCCTGCAAAGTGAAAATGATAAACATCGCTGCAACCAGCAGTTTATCTGCTAAGGGATCAAGGGTTGCACCAAGCTTGCTCATCCAGTTAAAGCGGCGGGCCAGAAATCCGTCAAACGCATCAGATAACCCGGCGATCAACATCAGCACAAAGGCCTCCATAAATCGCTCATGCCAGAGCATCCAACCGGTGGGCAACACCAGCAGGATTCGCAGCACAGTAATAATGTTGGGAATCTGTGACATCTCTAACCCTGCCAGATGAGCTGCATCTCAAACCCGCGCGCCAACAGATCTTCACGCAGCTTGCCTTGTGCTGTGAGCAGCGCCAGCAGCTGCTCAGGTTCGGCGCGACTGACCAGAGACAGACTCAAACGACGATCATCTATGGCTTCAACATCCAGCCCGTCGACAAACTCTAAACTGTTGAGATACGTCATCAGCTCGGCATAACCCAACACATCTGACAGGCCGCTGATATAGATTCGCTGAGCGCGCTGAGCACGGGGTAATACCGCATACTTTTCCGCCAGACGTTCGGTGAGCATATCAATGCCACCACGCACAGCCTCTGCCAGATCAGGGGTAGTGAAATTGGTTGCCAGGGGCTGTCCTTCCAGCCAGATTTCCCAGTCACCACGATAGATTTCACCATCAAACGTCTGATCCTGACTCAGCCGTCCAACCAGCACCAGATCAGCATCATAACGCTCGGCCGCCTGCTCCAGCGACGCGGTGACCTTACCCCAGACATCTGCCGGACTCACCGCCAGCGAATCGTCGAGATCAAGCAGCGGCAGAGTGAGCGTTACGCCACGGTCAGCGGCGTATTTGCGTAACTCCGCCACCAGCGGATGCGGGCTGGAACTGGCAAGGATTTCCCGGCTGGAACCGTCATCAACCACCAGCCAGGCCAGTACATTAGGCCGCTTCGACCACCACACCGGCAGATTTGCCGCTTTGACCAGTTGCAGCATGACATTCGATTGGAAAGTGATCCGTATATGCGTTTGCGGCTCGCCACTGGCTTCCCGGGTAGTAAAAAATACAAACCGATTGTAGTAGTTCTGCGGCTGCTCAAGCGCTGCAGCGATGGCCGGTGTGCGTGGAACCGAGACCAGACCTGTCAGACGGGACAACACCACCAACAACCCTTCCTGGGCGACTCGATCCCGCTCTTCGTTACTCTGTGCAGCAACGGGTCGATCCACGGCATATAGCCAATCAGCATCACGCAACGCCTGTGCAGAAGCAGGCGCAAGCAGACCGACCACAAAAAACAGGGTCACGATAAACACTGATCTGATTATTAGGTACACACGCAAACCCACTCTGAGAGGAACGTTTCAAGGCACTGTTCGAGCCAAACAGTTTAGCGAAAAACCAGCCGCCGCGAGAGAGATTATCGCATCAGGTTAATTTGACCGTTTGCTCCGCAAGCCGCTCTGCTAAACTCTCTGCTCTAATCCGGATTACATCCGGATTAGAGCCCCTAGACCCCACCCGGCCACATTGGCCTGTATCGGAGAGACACTTTTGTCAGATGCCAGCACACCCCCCACCCAGTCAGGGCTGAGTTACAAAGACGCCGGCGTCGATATCGAAGCGGGCGCGGAACTGATTCGGCGGATTGCGCCCGCCTGCAAAGCCACGCATCGTCCGGAGATGCTCTCCACCCTGGGCGGGTTTGCGGCAATGACCGAGATACCCGAGGGTTACAAACAACCGGTGCTGGTGTCAGGCACCGATGGGGTCGGCACAAAACTCAAACTGGCCATTGATCACAACCGACATGAAACCGTGGGTCAGGATCTGGTGGCAATGTGCGCCAACGATGTGCTGGTTACCGGTGCGGAACCCTTCCTGTTTCTGGATTACTACGCCACCGGCGGACTGGATGTCGACACGGCCAGCACGGTCATTAAAGGTGTTGCCCATGGCTGCGAACTAGCGGGTTGTTCCCTAGCAGGTGGCGAAACAGCTGAAATGCCCGGCTTCTACGCGGAAGGTGAATACGACCTGGCGGGCTTCTGTGTAGGCGTGGCCGAGAAGACCAGGATCGTCTCCGGCGATAAGCTGGACATTGATGACGTCATCATAGGACTGCCCAGTTCCGGCGCGCACAGCAACGGTTACTCGCTGATCCGCAAAGTGATATCCAATCTTGGGGTAGAACCCAATGTAGACCTGCTCGATGACCTGCTTGCACCCACCCGTATTTACGTCAAATCCGTACTGGCAACCCTGCAGGTAATCAGTCCACACGCCATGGTGCACATCACCGGGGGCGGTTTTTACGAAAACGTGCCTAGGGTGTTGAACAACCCGCAACATGCTGCGCTGATCAACACTGACGCCTGGCAGCGCCCGGAGGTGTTTGCCTGGCTGCAGCAGGCAGGCAATATCGACGAACGCGAAATGCTCACAACATTCAACTGTGGCATCGGGTTCATGCTGGTTGTTGACCGGCAGGATGCAGAGCGCTGTATGGCGGTACTGCGCGAACAGGGCGAGCTACCCGTCGTAATCGGCGCCATTGTCAGTGCCGAACATACACCCGCGGCGGGTCAGATACTGATCCGCTGATGCCTCAGGATCGAGGCAGCGTGACGCCGGTCTGACCCTGATATTTGCCACCCCGGTCCTTGTAAGTCACCTGACAACGCTCATCGGACTGGAAGAACAACATCTGCGCCACCCCTTCATTGGCGTAAATTTTAGCGGGCAAAGTGGTGGTGTTAGAAAACTCCAGCGTCACATGCCCTTCCCACTCGGGCTCCAACGGTGTGACGTTGACAATAATGCCACAGCGCGCGTAGGTGGATTTCCCCAGGCAGATGGTCAACACGTCCTCAGGAATGCGGAAATATTCCACCGTGCTGGCTAATGCAAATGAGTTGGGCGGAATAATGCAGACATCACCTTCAATATCGACAAAGCTTTTCTCATCAAAAGCTTTCGGGTCTACCGTGGCAGAGTGAATATTGGTAAACACCTTAAACTGAGGTGCACAGCGTACGTCGTAGCCGTAACTGGAAGTGCCGTATGAGATCAGTTTTTTACCGCCCGACTCACGCACCTGACCCGGTTCAAACGGCTCAATCATGCCGCGCTGTGCTTGTTCAATAATCCAACGGTCAGACTTGATGGTCATATTTATCCTGTTCCAGCTATCGTCAAAAGGTCTTTAAAGGACGGCGTTTAAAAAAGAAGACGGCAAACTCAATCATCCACCATTGTGATGGTGGGAGCAGCCTGCTCACCTTGCCAGAGGCGCGCTGCCATATGTCTGGCTGCACGGCGATAGGTTGCACTGATGGCAGAATCGGGTTCCGCACGGACCGTTGGCTTACCGCCATCGGCCTGTTCACGTATCGACAGCGCCAGCGGTAACTCCGCCAGCAGGGGCACACCCAGCTGCGACGCTACCCGCGCCCCGCCACCTTCACCAAACAGGTGACTGACGTGACCACATTCGGGGCATTGATGCACACTCATATTTTCGATAATGCCCAGTACTGGAATATCGACTTTGGCAAACATTTCGATACCTTTGGTGGCGTCGAGCAAGGCGATATCCTGAGGAGTGGTCACAATCACCGCACCGGCAACCGGCACTTTCTGTGACAGGGTCAGCTGGATATCACCGGTACCCGGCGGCATGTCCACAATCAGATAATCCAGATCTTCCCATAACGTCTGCAACAGGATCTGTTGTAAGGCGCCGGATGCCATGGGCCCTCGCCAGACCATCGGCGTGTTATCGGTGACCATAAAGCTCATCGACATGGCTTTGATACCGTGTGCGCGAATCGGCTCGAAATATTTCCCGTCTTTAATGGTTGGACGACTGCCGTCAGCCACGCCAAGCATCATGCCCTGGCTTGGACCATAAATGTCCGCATCCAGCAGGCCGACTTTTGCGCCTTCGGCGTCCAGGGCAAGTGCCAGATTGACCGCTGTTGTCGATTTACCCACACCCCCCTTTCCTGAAGCCACCGCAATGATGTGTTTCACATGTTCAAAACCGCGGCCTTTTGGTGCCTGGAAGTGCAGTTCCAACTCAACGTCATCACTGCCCAGAAATTCACGCAGTGCCGCGGTCAACTCTTCAACCATGCCGGCTGCCGGGTAACCCAGCGTCGCCGAAATCCGATTGCCGCTGGTCAGTATGCGCGCGCCCAGTTCACCCCAGGTTTTACCCAGGAAAGGATCTACAAATTCTTCAATCTTCATGGCGGCCAGACTACCAGGCAATTTTTTGGGGGGCCAAGTATATGCATGCACCGGGCGCGCCGAAACCTTCAACTGAGCCATTGCCGCTTTTAAGGGCTATTCAGCTCTTGTCGCCTACACCTTTGGCCTTTGCTCCTGGTACGGGTAGAATTAGCGCCCATTTTTTCAGCGGTAACCCCATGTCACGTCGAATACTGGTGACCAGCGCACTACCCAACGCCAATGGGCCTATCCATCTTGGCCATATGCTGGAGCATGTCCAGACCGATATCTGGGTACGCTTCCAGCGCATGCGCGGCCATGAAGTCATTTATGTGTGTGCGGACGATACCCACGGCACTGCCACTATGATCCGCGCCGAGGAAGAAGGTGTGGATGCCGAAACGCTGATCGAAAAGATGCGCCTGGATCATCTGCAGGACTTTAATGGTTTCAACATCAGCTACGACAACTACTACAGTACGCATTCGGATGAGAACCGCTATTTTTCCGAGCTGATCTACAATCGTCTGAAAGACAAGGATCTGATTTTCACCCGAAGCGTCGAGCAGTTGTACGATCCGGAGAAGCAATTGTTCCTGGCAGACCGTTTTGTGGTCGGCGAATGTCCCAAGTGTGGTGAACCGGGTCAGTACGGCGACAACTGTGAAAAGTGCGCCGCAACCTATGATGCCACCGACCTGAAAAATCCCCGCTCAGTGTATTCCGGCGCCACGCCGGAACTGCGCGCCAGCGACCATTATTTCTTTGACCTGCCGCAATACACCGACTTCCTGAAAAAGTGGACCCGGTCAGGGGCTGTACAACCTGAAGTCGCCAACAAACTGTCTGAGTGGCTCGATGCCGGCCTGAAAGCCTGGGATATTTCTCGCGATGCACCGTATTTCGGCTTTGTTATTCCGGGCACCACCGACAAATACTTTTACGTCTGGATGGATGCACCCATCGGTTACATGGCCAGCTTCAAAAACTATTGCGACAGCAGCAACGAAGTTGTGTTTGACGATTTCTGGTCGCCGGACAGCACCTGCGAGGTACATCACTTTATCGGCAAAGACATCATTAACTTTCATGCGCTGTTCTGGCCTGCGGTTCTGGATGGTGCAGGTTTCCGCCCGCCGACGCGCATTCACACCCACGGCTTCATTACGGTAAATGGCACCAAGATGTCGAAGTCACGCGGGACCTTCATCAATGCAGCCGATTACCTTAAGTTTCTTGATCCGGAATACCTGCGCTACTACTACGCCACCAAACTGAATGGTTCGTCCGACGACCTGGACATCAATCTGGAAGACTTTGTGCAACGGGTGAATTCAGACCTGGTCGGCAAAGTTATCAACATTGCCAGCCGTTGCGCCGGGTTCATCAACAAGCAATTCGATGGCGTGTTATCCGAACGCATACACGATGAAGATTTGTGGCAGCAGTTTGTGGATGCTGAAAAAGCCATTGCCGGCTTCTACGAAGGTGACGATACCAGCAAGGCGGTCCGGGAAATCACCCGCCTTGCAGACCTTGCTAACCAGTACATTGCCCAGCATGAACCCTGGAAGCTCAACAAAGACCCCGAACGGCATGAGGACCTGCAGCTGATCTGCAGTCAGGCCATCAACATGTTCCGCAGCCTGGCTGTTTATCTGAAGCCAATCCTGCCGCAAATGGCGCTGAAATCTGAGGCTTTCCTCAACGTTGCGGCATTGCAGTGGTCCGACCACAGTACCCCGCTGCTCGGCCATAACATCGGTGCTTTTAAATCGATGCTGACGCGCATGGAGATGAAAACCGTTGACCAACTTGTTGCAGCCTCCGCACAGGCAAGCCCGAATGATGAAAAATCGCCCGAGGAGACACCTGTTGCCGAGCGTGAGGAAGATGCACACATCAGCATTGATGATTTCACCAAAGTGAAGCTGAAAGTGGCCAAAGTGATTGCTGCCGAACCGGTGGAAGGCGCCGACAAGCTTCTGCAGCTGACACTGGATGTTGGGGATCACCAGCGTCAGGTCTTCTCTGGCATCAAAGCAGCCTATAACCCAGAGGACCTGGTAGGCCGACTCACCGTTGTGGTGGCCAACCTGGCGCCACGGAAGATGCGCTTTGGTGTATCTGAAGGCATGGTGTTAGCCGCTGGACCCGGCGGTGAGGAGATCTTTCTGCTGTCCCCGGATAGTGGCGCCACCCCTGGCATGGATGTCAGCTAACGAACCCAGGAGCACCTAGATCGTGGCTGAGCTCGGGCTTCTGCTGATAGGCGCACTGTTGGTCAACAACTTTGTGCTGGCTCAATTTCTAGGCCTCTGCCCTTTCATGGGCATTACCCGGGGGTACGACACCGCCCTGGCAACAGGCCTGGCCACCACCTTTGTGCTGACCCTGGCAGCCACGTTGTCCTACCTGCTTTATCACGGCATTCTGGTGCCGTTAGAAGTGACCTATCTGCGCATCATCCTGTTTATCGTTGTCATTGCCGGCGTTGTGCAACTGGTCAAATACTACCTTGAAGCCACGTCGCCAATTCTGCACCAGCTGCTGGGTATCTATCTGCCCCTGATCACCAGCAACTGTGCGGTGCTGGGAGTTGCCCTGCTGGCAGTGAATCAATCCCTGACGCTACTGCAGACTATGGTCTACAGCGTGGGTGCCGCTGGCGGCTTTACCCTGGTGATGGTGCTGTTTGGTGCCATGCGCGAACGACTGCAGCACGAGGGCATTCCGCAACCTTTCCAGGGTGTGCCGATTGCACTGCTCAGTGCCGGCATCATGAGTCTGGCATTCATGGGCTTTCAGGGACTGGCAGGGTGAGCTGGTTAACGCCTTTATTACTGATAACCGCCCTGCTGCTGTTTGCCGGTGCGCACCTGCTCTTACAACGGCGCTATCCACGTAATCCGCAAACGCTGGTGGATCGAATTGATGCCATGCTGCCTCAAACCCAGTGCGCGCAATGTGGCTATCCCGGGTGTCGCCCGTACGCGCAGGCCATTGCGCAAGGGGCCAGCTTGAATCTCTGCCCCCCTGGCGGACGTTCAGTACACCTGCAACTGATTGAGCTGATGGGTGGCACAGATGAACCGCCCCCACAACAGAATCCACCTGCGGTTGCCGTGATTGATGAAAGCCGATGTATCGGCTGCACCCTGTGTCTGCCACCTTGCCCGGTGGACGCCATTGTCGGTGCAGGCAATCTCATGCATACGGTCATTGAAGCGGAATGTACAGGCTGTGAACTGTGTATACCGGCCTGTCCTGTTGACTGTATTTCTCTACAGCCCATTACTGGCGAACCAGCCGTGCAACCCAGACCACGCAGGCGACCTGCTCGTCAGCCCACTACCGTGGCCAGACCCCGGGCCTGCATCAACTGCAGCCGCTGCAATCCGGTCTGTCCGGTGGATTTACCGGCGCAGGAGCTATTTCAGCTTGTCTCTCATCAACAGCTGGACCGCGCCGTCGAATTTGGTTTAAACGAGTGTATTGAATGCGGTTTGTGTGACCGCGCCTGCCCCAGCGACATTCCGATGGCCCGACTGTTCGCCGGCGCCAAACAAACACTGTTAGTCCAGGAGACAGCAGAAGCGGCAAAATCTCACTACAAAAAGCGCTATGAGGCTCATCAGCTACGCGAACAACAGACGCTTGCAGCAGCTGCTGACAAGCGCGCGGAACGTCTGAAAAAAGCTGGAAGATGGTCATGAAAACCCATCAGATCATGCTCTGGGTGATGATCGCCCTGATACCAGGAACGGTTGCCATGACCTATGTCCTGGGTCTTGGCGTATTGTGGAATCTCACCATTTTAAGTCTGGCTTGCGTGCTGTGCGAGGGTCTCATCGGATTTGCGCGGGGCAAAACTACTGCCGACGTCCTGCACCAGCTGCAGGATTGCAGCGCCCTGGTCACTGCCTGGCTGATCGCCATCTGCCTGCCGCCTTTCTGCGACATAAGCATCCTGCTTATCGCTGCGGTTTCTGCCATTGGTCTCGCCAAACAGGCATATGGGGGCCTCGGGCATAACCTTTTTAATCCGGCGATGGTGGGCTACGCTGTTGTCCTGGTGTCATTCCCCCAGGACCTCGCCAACTGGCCCGGGCTTGCTCAGGCCAGCCCTGATGCCTTGAGTGGCGCCACCTTGTTAACCGAATTTCGCTATCGCCAGGGATTAACCACCGAAGAATTTGTATTTGCCTTTGGCCAGGCGATCGGCGATCAGAAACTGATTGTATTCAGCTTTCTTATCGGTGGCCTGCTACTTACTTTTCGTCGGCTCCTGGCCTGGCGGATTCCAGCAGGTATGTTTGCCGGGTTGCTGTTAGCCAGCTTGTTTGGATATGACGCAGGCTCTTCGGCGAGCCTGGGCTCGCCATGGTTTCACTGGACGACCGGCGGATTTATGGCAGCCGCTTTTTTCATTGCCACAGATCCGGTCACCCATCCTCGCGGAGACCGTCAGCAGATCATCTTCGGGCTCACAGTCGGCGCTCTCATCTATTTAATCAGAGGATTTGGCGTTTATCCGGACGGCATCGCGTTTGCCATTCTATTTGCCAACTGTTTAACCCCCCTGCTGAACCGCCTTAATCTAAGTAAAGCGAAGACAGAAAATGATCGTCAGGCAGATCATGTCTAAAGTCATGGTCCTGAAAGTATTCACGCCCCTGCTGATCATCGGCGGTCTTTGCGGGGTTTTGCTCATTCTGACCAATCAATTCACAGCGGCAGATATTCAGGCCAATCGCGAGGCGCGGACGCGGGCATTGCTAGAAGAAATGCTGGGACAACCGCTGCCTGCGAAAACCAATATCGAGGCGGACGTTTTTGGCACTTGTACAACCTGGTTGTTCACCCGCGCCGAAACTGCGGGCTACGCTGGTCCAATTTACCTTACAGCTCTGTGGCGCGTGGGCAAGGCATCTGCGGATACGCAAGGCCTCAGCATGCGCGTCATCGCTCATCGGGAGACGCCAGGCATTGGCGACTTTATAGATCACACACGCAGTCCATGGATGACAGAATTAGACAACACAAGTGCACAGGCATACGCGCAGTTGGATGCCGTCAGTGGCGCCACTATCACCAGCAACGCCATTAAGCGGGCTGCCAGCGAGATATTCAACAGACTGGAGATTTACTGTGGGGGATAATACTCAGGTGTTACGCAGCGCGGTGTTGACCCACAATCCTGCATGGGCACAGCTGCTGGGCCTGTGCCCGTTAATGGCTGTAAGCACAACCGTGGTAAACGCATTGGGATTAGCGGCTGCCAGCAGTTTTGTTGTGATCGGTAGCAACGTGATGATTTCTAGCCTGCGCCATCACATTCCAGAGCAGGCTCGACTGCCCTGTTTTGTATTGATCATTGCAACGTTTACAACCGTGACCACAATGGTCCTGGAAGCTTTCAGCTACGAGCTTTACCTGAAAATTGCCTTGTTTGTGCAGATCATTGTCACCAACTGTATGATTCTGGGGCGCGCCGAAGCGTTTGCCAGCCGCCAACCCGTCGGCCCAGCCTGTCTGGACGCACTAGGCACCGCGGTGGGCTTTGCCATCGCACTCATCGCTCTGGGCAGTGTCAGAGAGTTACTCGCGTATGGTTCGCTGTTACGGGATGCCGACCTGCTTTTTGGCCCAAACGCCCAGCAGTGGAGTCTGCAGCTCATGGATATCGGCCCACTGCCGCTGGCGGCTTACGCACCCGGCGCGTTTATCGTAGCTGGCCTGATGTTTGCCCTGATAAAAGCTCTGGGCCGACGAAACCCCACCGCCAGCGAACCCGAAATTGAAGGATCTCAAACATGAATGCGGCTAAGCGCGAACAGATTTTTGCACGCCTGCAGGCGGAAAACCCGAACCCGACCACTGAACTGAGTTACAACAGCGCCTTTGAGTTGCTGATTGCGGTGATATTGTCCGCGCAGGCCACCGATGTCAGCGTGAACAAAGCCACCGGTCCTTTATTCAGCGTTGCCAATACCCCTGAAGCCATCTACAGATTGGGCGTAGGCAAATTGAAGACGTACATCAAAACCATCGGGTTGTTTAATACCAAGGCAGCCAACGTCATCAAAACCTGCAAAATCCTGATGGACGAATTCAACAGCGAAGTGCCCGAGGATCGCGAAAGCCTGGAAAAACTCCCCGGCGTCGGTCGCAAAACCGCAAATGTCATTCTGAACACAGCATTTGGTCACCCCACCATCGCTGTCGACACACACATTTTTCGAGTGTCCAACCGCACTAAAATTGCCATGGGCAGCAACGTTCTGCAGGTGGAGAAAAAACTGCTGAAAGTAGTGCCCGAGGCGTACAAACGCGATGCTCACCACTGGATGATCCTGCATGGTCGCTACGTGTGCATCGCTCGTAAGCCACGCTGCGGCGCCTGTAGCATCGAAGATCTGTGTGAATACAAAGATAAAACCGACATTGCCTGAATACGCAGAGTTACAGGTCGACCAGTTCTACTGCATCAATGGGTGAGCCAAGAAAGTAACCGCCCACAGATTTGAAGCGTGGCACACCATCGGTTGCCAGGTATTCAACTTCGCCGCGGGCATGGGTAGGCAGCACCAGATCCTGTGTATGCAATTGATTCACCACCCATCTGGCGGTGGTATCAGCAGAATCCACGATAATTACGGCTCCATCTCGCTCGCCCGAGGCCGTGACCTCATCGAACAACGTCTGTAACAAGGGTTGGAAAACCGGAAAATGGGTACAACCCAGCAGGACCGTACTGGGCCCGGAAATGGTAAAGCCGCGCAATGAATGCGCCAGCACGGTTTGCACAAATTGCCTATCGACGGGCCCCTGTTCTGCCAGCGTGACCCACAATGGGCAGGCTCTGCCGTAAACAGGTTGCCCGGCGAGCATTGTCATCAGCGCCCGCTGATAAGCCCCTCCATTAATTGTACTTTCGGTAGCTAATACCAGCACGCCGCTGCCATCAGCTGCCTGGCGGGCGGCCAACGCCGCGGCCTGGGCGCCAGGTTCAACCACGCCAAAAACGGGTAAGGGTGCAAACTGCTTCTGTAGGGCCTGCAATGCAAACGCGGATGCCGTGTTGCACGCAATCACCAGCGCTTTCACTCCTCGATCCACCAGGGTTGTGGCGGCAGCGCTTGCGTATCTGGTTACTGTCGCAGGAGATTTGGTGCCGTAAGGCAGGCGGGCGGTATCACCAAGATAAACAAAGTTTTCCGCCGGCAGGTGTTTGCGTAACGCAGCGAGCACGGTTAATCCGCCCATGCCGGAATCAAATACGCCTATAGGCAAAGAAGCAGAATTAGTCAGCGTAGAGCACTCATCAAAGGCACGTCTTCATGGTAGCCCGAGCGCGACAAGAAGTAACGGCTCTCGCTGAATGGAGAAGCCGTAAACGCGTCGGGGACTATTTATTCAACCAGCGCAGCACACCTTTTTTGACCTTACTGGCCGCGTTGTCACCACTTGCTTGGGCCGAACCGAAATCAGGTCTGGCGTGGCCTTGAGCAGCAGCACGTGGTGCCTGACCCGGGCTGACTTCTTTTTTGGCACGCAGCTCGCGGAGCTTCTTTTCAATCAGCAGGTCTTCTTTCCGCTTCAGCTTAAACGCCTGCTCCAGATCAACACCACAACGGGCGCAGTGACTGGAATCCAGTTGCATGTGACCACAACGCGGGCATTCAAGGTGTGCTGCAGTGATGTCACGTAAGGTCTGCTCGGCGTCTTTGCCTTCTTTATAGTGTACAGATTTACCTTTGGGGGAGAGGTCTTTGATTCTGCAGATGGCGCCAAACTGCGCAAGTTTCGCCTGCCAGGCTTCCGCCTGCTGATGATCCAGCTGACTGCGAATGACTACCGTCCTGCCACTGAACAACTGTTTGGCTTTACGCTCATCAAGCCCCAGTTCCCGGGCAAGATTTTCACGCACAGCATCAACACTTGCCTGCTTACTGACTTCTCCATTAAACAAGATTTGATAATTTGCCATGCTCAGCTCTTTCACAAAGTTTGCAAGGCTTATGTATCCGGGTCAGGAGTAGTCGCGACCGCGTTTGGCACCAAGACGGAGACGCAGCGCATTCAATTTAATGAAACCGCCGGCATCTGCCTGGTTGTACGCCCCCTGGTCATCTTCAAACGTGACGACATCGGCATCGTACAAGCTGTCACTTTGAGAACTACGTCCCACAACGGAAACTGAGCCTTTGTAGAGCTTGAGGCTAACGTTTCCGTTTACCGGAATCTGTGACTCATCAATCAAAGCTTGCAAAACCTTGCGCTCAGGCGACCACCAGTAGCCGTTGTAAATCATATTGGCGTAACGAGGCATCATTTCGTCTTTGAGATGTGCAACTTCCCGGTCCAGCGTGATTGACTCGATCGCGCGATGGGATTTGAGCAGAATTGTGCCGCCGGGTGTTTCGTAACAACCGCGGGACTTCATGCCCACATAGCGGTTCTCAACCAGATCACTGCGTCCCACGCCGTGTTTGCCACCCAGCTCATTCAATGTGCGTAACATGGCACCGGGGGTCAGAGCCTGCCCGTTTAGGGCTATCGGGTCACCCCGTTCGTATTCGATTTCCAGCCATTCAGGTTCATCCGGCGCATCTTCCGGTGCCACCGTCCAACGCCACATATCCTCATCTGCTGGAGCGGCAGGATCTTCCAGACCACCTCCTTCATAAGAGATGTGCAGCAGATTGGCGTCCATGGAATAGGGGGACTTGTTTGCGCCACGCTGGTAGTCCACTGGAATCTGATGCTTTTCACAGAAATCCATCAAGGCCTCACGGGAATTCAGATCCCAGTCCCGCCAGGGGGCAATAACTTTTATGTCCGGATCAAGTGCATAGGCACCCATTTCAAAACGCACCTGGTCATTACCTTTCCCGGTTGCGCCATGGGCAACCGCCTGAGCACCTGTCTGACGCGCAATTTCAACCAGACGGCGAGTGATCAATGGACGCGCAATGCTGGTGCCCAGCAGATATTCACCTTCATAAACCGTATTGGCACGGAACATCGGGTAAACATAGTTGGCGACAAAATCTTCGGTCAGATCTTCGATGAAGATTTCTTTCACACCCATGGCCTTGGCTTTAGCCCGCGCGGGCTCAACTTCTTCACCCTGACCGATGTCCGCGGTAAAGGTCACCACTTCGGCGTTGTAGGTTTCCTGCAGCCAGCGACAGATCACTGACGTATCCAGACCACCGGAGTAAGCCAGAACAATTTTCATTTTATCCGCCACGTGCACATACCCGTTGAAAATGGGAGCGCAATCTTAGTGCAGTCGAGAGAGTTTGCAAGGCCAGTTGTTGCCGGGAAAGGGTCTTGAGCTGTTCAGTTCGACGCCAGCTGTGCAGAGGACTGTCGCTCCAGACGCACCGTGGTGCGACGATTCTGCGCGCGTCCCTGGGCGGTTTTGTTATCCGCTACAGGATAAGCTGCGCCGTGAAAGCGGACCACAACCTGTTCTGCGCGAAGGCCCTGGTTCTGCAGATAGGTAGCCACTTCGGTAGCTCGAGCTTCAGCAAGTTTCAGGTTAGCCAGATCGCTGCCGTTATTATCGGTATGCCCATCTACAAAAACCTTATCCACCGCTGGATCCTGCAGGACATACTGGGCCAGCGCTCGAAGTTGACGCCGTCCATTGTCATTGAGTTGATGCTGTGCGACGTCGTAGGTAATCCGCGTACGGGACAGCGTATGCCACGCCACTTTGATGTTCGTCTGGGCGCAGGCCAGAAAAGATGCAAATTCAGACCGCATGTTTATAGCGGCAAGCTCAATCGACACTTCAGAGCCATCGTTAAACCATGCGGTACCCGCCAACTCGAGATGCAATCCCTGTTGCAGAGCCAGCAGCATGTCAGAGGCCAAAGCGGTACGCGCAACCGCACCACCACCTTCAATATGGGTCATGCGACCCAGGGCTTGCCGCGCCGGCGCTTCCGGATGCCAGGATGGCGCATAGCTGCGGACAGATAATGCTCCTGCTTTGTGCATATCTTTATTTGCCTGCAATTCAAAGCCTGTTGGCTCAATGCCATCTGCAACAAATCGAGCTTCGCCATAGGCCACAATGGGAAGCGCAAGAATACAGGTACCTTGACGCTCGCTGTGCTGCCAGCCCTCGTCCCAGGCCGGTGCGAAGCGAATAACCTCTGCAGCAGCGATGGACGTGCTCAGGCAGGCCAGGACTGCAACGGCGCACCATTTGTGCAGACGCGGGGTCAGGGCGCCAGAGACCCGTGGCCTGGCGCTTAAACATGTTCGATGTGGTAATTGAAAGTTCACACCTTGGTTTATCGGCCAACAGCGGAATAGCTTGAGCCCCGGTGGCAAGTTGCTAAGGTGGAGGGATGAATCTAAATGAGCGTTTTCGAGGGTATCTGCCGGTTGTGGTGGATCTGGAGACAGGTGGCTTCGACAACGCGGTCAACCCGCTGTTGGAGCTCGCCTGCACATTCCTGAACTGGGAATCCGACACATTGTCTGTCGCCAGCCAGACGCGCTGGCATGTTGAACCCTTTGCCGGCTCAGAAGTTAATCCGGCAAGCTTACGCGTCACCGGTATTAACCTGGATGATCCACACCGTCAGGCACTGGATGAACGTGCTGCCATCAAAGAATTCTTCAAGCTGGTGCGCACGGCGATGAAAACACACGGCTGCCATCGGGCCATCATGGTTGCGCACAACGCTTCCTTCGATCAGGGGTTTCTGAAAGCCGCGTGCGAACGCAATAATCTGAAGCGAAATCCTTTTCACCCGTTCACCAGTCTGGACACGGCAAGTTTAGCTGCGGTGGCTTATGGGCATACGGTCTTAAGTGAAGCCTGCCAGCGCGCGGGCCTCAGCTTCGATCAAAGCCTGGCCCACGACGCCGCCTATGATGCTGAGCGCACCGCGCAGTTATTCTGTCAAATGGTCAATGGCTGGCCTTTCGACCCCGTGGTGATGAACGGTCAGCCAACCTCTCCAGCCAATTGAAGCGCGCTTTATTCAGGCGCTGGATCAGCGGCACCGTTCTCTTCAAGCAGAGTCTGTAATTCGCCGGATTCAAACATTTCAGTGATGATGTCACAGCCACCAACAAGTTCTCCGCCAACCCACAATTGCGGGAAAGTAGGCCAGTTGGCGTAACCGGGTAAGGTCGCGCGGATTTCCGGATTGCTCAATATGTCGACGTAGGCAAACCGCTGACCGCACGCCACCATGCACTGCACCGTCTGGGCTGAGAATCCGCATTGCGGCGCCTGGGGTGACCCTTTCATGTACAAAAGGATGGGGTTATCTGCAATTTGCGCCTTGATCGCGCTCACAACTTCTTCAGACATGGCAAACACTCGTTGAAAAAAATTGGGTCTATTGTAGCGATTTGCGACGAAATTGCTTATACCTTTGCTTCCTAGAAAGACCAGTTCGGACACAATCCGCTTAATCACTCATGCCCTACACTTTTGATCAGGTTATCGACCGACGCAACACTCAAAGTACCAAATGGGAAAAATTTGCGCCGGATGTGCTGCCGTTCTGGGTCGCAGATATGGATTTTGCTGCACCGGAACTGATTCTCGAGGCCCTGCGTCGACGGCTAGATCACCCGATTCTGGGGTACACCACAGAGCCAGACAGTTTGACCGAAGCGTTTCAGCGATGGCTTGTCCATCATTATAACTGGGACGTACCTGCTGGCTGGGTATGCTGGGTGCCTGGCGTGGTACCGGCGCTGAATCTCAGCGCACGCACGTTGCCCGCCGACAGCGAGATTCTCATACCTACCCCCGTCTACCATCCTTTTCTGGCCGTAGCCAGCAACGCGGGCCTGGGTGAAATTCAAGTGCCCATGCAGGTTACAAACGGCAAGTGGCACATGGATTTTGATGCTCTGACTGATGCGCTTACACCACAAACGCGCATGCTGATGATCTGCAATCCACAGAACCCTACCGGGCGTTGTTATGATACCGACGAACTGAACCTGCTTGCAGATTTCATCGAAAAACACGACCTGTTGCTGGTCAGCGATGAAATTCACTGCAATATCCTGCTCGACCCGAGCACCACCCACCAACCGTTAGGCAAGCTCCACCCCGCTCTGGCTCCGCGGATCATCCATTTATATGCCGCGACCAAAATTTATAACATCCCGGGTATCAGCTGCGCCGCCGCAGTGATTCCGGACGACACACTACGGCGTCAGTTCATGCGTGCACGGGCAGGTTTATTACCCGGCATTGGGCCGTTGGGTTTTCTGAGTTCAGAAGTTGCGTTCAACGATCGTTCGAGCTGGGTACCGGACCTGCTGACATACCTGCGAGGTAATCTGGCAGCGGTGCAGGCGTGTGTGGGTGATCGACTGACGCCATTGGAAGCCACATACCTTGCCTGGATAAATGTCGCAGACCTCGGTCTGGAAGATACAGAAGCCTATTTTGCTCAGCACGGTATTGGTATTTCTCCCGGCGCGCAGTTTGGTAATGCAGACTACATTCGTTTTAATTTTGCCTGCCCGCGCGCCACTCTGGATCAGGGCCTGAACCGTTTAAGCCACGCGATAAGCCTGGCACAGGCAAAACAGTAACGCGTTGTAACCCTTGAACCAGCCATGCGGCTGGAGTATCGTCCCACGCTTGGATGAGGCGGCATACGTGCCGCCTTTTGTATTTCTGACGTGTGCGTTCAGACTTTAAAACACATGCAGATCACTTTAATCATGCCCAGGACTGTGCTGTTGTGAATCATTTAATGAACACCTACGCTCGTTTGCCGGTTGCCTTTGCCAGTGGCGAAGGCACCTACCTGCTGGATACGCAAGGCAATCGTTATCTGGACGGGTTGTCAGGCATTGCCGTTGTTGGTGTCGGCCACGCTAACCCGCGTGTTGCGGACGCTATTGCACAACAGGCTAAAACACTGACGCATACGTCAAATCTTTACGAGATACCCCTGCAGGAAAAGCTCGCCGACCGCTTATGCGCGCTGTCAGGCATGGAGAAAGTTTTCTTTTCGAATTCTGGCGCAGAGGCCAATGAAGCAGCCATCAAACTGGCGCGCATAAAAGGCAATCGCCAAGGCATCAAGAAACCCACCACCATCGTCATGGATGGCAGCTTTCACGGGCGCACCATGGCGACGCTGACCGCTACGGGAAATCGTAAAGTACATGCTGGTTTCGAGCCGCTTTTGTCTGGTTTTGTGCGTGCGCCGTACGATGATATCGACGCGGTTGCGCTGATTGCCGCAAACAATCCCGACGTGGTTGCTGTATTTGTTGAGCCGGTCCTGGGTGAAGGCGGCATTCATATTCCAGACGCTAACTATCTTTCTGAGCTGCGCAAAATATGTGACGAGCATAACTGGTTACTGATGCTCGACGAAGTTCAAACCGGCAATGGCCGTACCGGCAAATATTTTGCTTACCAGCACACCAACTGTTTACCCGATGTGGTCACTACCGCCAAAGGTCTGGGCAACGGCATGCCCATAGGCGCCTGTCTTGCACGGGGTGAAGCGGCAGAATTGTTTGCGCCTGGCAATCACGGTTCTACTTTTGGTGGCAATCCGTTAGCGTGCGCGGCAGCCAATGCCGTGCTGGATGAAATTGAAGAGCACAATCTGTGCGCACGGGCTGAATCCCTCGGTGAACGCATTGTCAGCGGTCTGCAGGCAGGCCTGAACGGCAACAACCGGGTTGCCGAAGTCCGCGGACACGGTCTGATGATTGCTGTCGAACTCAATGAGGACGCGCCGGAACTGGTCAGTCAGGCCTTAGAGCAGCGAGTACTGATCAACGTCACACAGGGCAATATCATTCGGCTGTTACCGCCATTGACGATGTCTGATGCTGAGGCGGACGAACTCACCGCAAAAATCGTCGCGCTGGTACAATCTTAAACGCTCAGCGCGCTTTACTTTCCAAGACTCTACAGCTGAACAAGGTTTGTCATCATGGCTAAACAGGATTTTCTGTCTTTACTCGATTTACCCAGCGAAGATTTGCAGTACCTGATCCAGCGTGGCCGTGAGATGCGTAAGATGCATGAGAGCCAGGTGGTTTACCAGCCGCTGGTCGGTAAAACCGGCGCATTGATTCTGGAAATGAGCAGCACCCGCACCCGGGTTGGTTTTCAGGCCGGATTCTCGCAACTGGGCGGCAACGCATTATTCCTGAATACAGCAGATACACAGATTGGCCGTGGCGAGCCCATTGAAGATCTCGCTCGGGTGTTATCCGAAATGGTCCATGTGGTCATGATACGTACGCTGGAACAGTCTCACATTGAACAACTGGCGAAGTTCGCATCAATTCCCGTGATTAACGCCATGAGCAGCCTGTTACACCCATGCCAGCTGTTAGCTGATATTCAGACATTCGAAGAACTTCGCGGCCCCATCAATGGGGCTACCGTTGCCTTCATCGGTGATGGCTACAATATGTGCCACTCATACATCAACGCAGCACGCCAATGGGGTTTCAATCTGAAAATCGCCTCACCTGAGGGGTTTTTACCGGACCCTGAGATCCTTGCGAGTACTAATAATGCACAACTGGTCGATAGCCCGGCAGAGGCCGTCGCCCAGGCTGATCTGGTAGTCACTGATGTTTGGTCGTCCATGGGCCATGAGGGTCAGGAAACTGATCGGCGCAGCACATTTGCTGATTACCAAGTTAACGAAAATCTACTCGATCAGGCCAACAAAGATGTGCTGTTCATGCACTGCCTGCCCGCTCACCGTGGCGAAGAAGTCAGTGAAACGCTACTCGACGACAAACGTTCAGTAGTTTTCCACGAAGCCGGCAACCGCCTGCACAGTCAGAAGGCTTTGCTCGAGTTTCTGCTGATCGGAAAAGTCAGCGACTGAACAGACGCTGACGCGCAGGCTAGGCGGTTACGCGCAGATCACTTAACAGGCGGGGTTTGCTGATCTCATAACCCTGGGCGAAGTCCACACCGATTTCTTTGAGGCTGTCGAGGATTTGTGTATTTTCGACATACTCAGCCACCGTACGCTTACCCATGTAGTGGCCAATCTCATTGATTGAACGCACAACAGCATAGTCAGCGGGGTTTTCTGCAATATCTTTCACAAAGACGCCGTCGATCTTAACGTAATCAACCGGCAGGTTGCGCAGATAGCTGTACGACGACAGTCCGGTGCCGAAATCATCTAACGAGAAACGACAGCCGATAATGCGCATGCGATTCATGAAATCCACCGCATTATCGAGGTTTGCGATCGCGGCCGTTTCAGTAATCTCAAAACAAACTTTCGCGGTTGGCGCCTGGGTTTTACCGAACTGCTCCAGAACAAAGTCCGGGAACGTTGAATCATTGACAGAGTGGCCAGACACGTTGATGGCAAAACCGCCAAAATCATCCAGCACACTGCGGTTGTCAGACATCCACTGCAATACATTACGTATCACCCAGCGATCGATGGTTGTCATTCTATTGTAGGTTTCTGCCGCATTAATCAGCTCGGTAGGCGCGACCACGTCACCCAGCTCATCCAACATCGTCAGCAGAATTTCGTAGTGAACATCGTTAACGTCGGTAGAGCCATTAATTGGCTGGATTTGCTGACAGTTGAGAATAAGACGATCGTCTTCCAATGCCGCATCCAACTGCGTCACCCACTCCATCGCACCATGACGTTTCATCATCTGCTTGTCGCCAAGCTCGTATTCCTGCACGCGGTTACGCCCGGCATCCTTCGCAGAGAAACAGGCTTCATCAGCATGCTGCATGATGGAATCAACACTGTCGGTGCTTTGATCAAGAAATACCAGACCCATACTGGCGGTCAGGTTGTAACTACGACCTTCCCATTCAAACGCAACATTGCGAATCGTCTCGAGCACAGACTCAGCCACTTCACGGGCACCAATGCTCTCAACGTTTTCTAACAGAAGACCGAATTCATCACCGCCGAGACGCGCAATGCGCTGATCATCTTTGCCGTGTTCGGTAGACAAAGCCTCACCAATGGTACGCAGCAGTTCATCACCGGCTTTGTGGCCACTGGTGTTGTTGACAATTTTGAACTGATCCAGATCCAGATACAGCAACGCATGCTGGTTACCTTTAGCTTTTGCCTGGGCCAGGCTGGCATCTATCACCCGCTCAAACTCTTTGCGATTCATGAGCTGGGTCAGATCATCATGGCTGGCCTGGAAAGCCAGCTGATTATGCATGTTTTCCAGCATGCGCTGGGAAGCCCGCTCCATCAGCGGCAGATCATAATCGTCAAGCAGCGTGATGCGCCCCTGATGCAGGTCATCCGCCATTTCTTTGAGATTGCGCTCAAGCGTTTTCACACCTTTGCGATTGACCAGCACAAACGATGCTGCATCATCACCAACAAAGGCCACTGACAGAATCAAAGGTCGGCCATCTCGATCAGAGGCGGCCAGCCACTCGCCAATCTGGATACGTCGAGCCCTCTCAACAGCGTGACTCCAGCTGTCACGTACACCTTCGTCGCTGGATTCAATCTGTGGATCAACTTCGGGTAACAGGCCATCCAGACCCAGGGCCTGCTCAACCTCTTGCGCCTTCACGGCTACGTTTTTGACCGGCGCCTTTTTCCCTGTGGTATCACCCACCAGCGCACTGGACATGTGCATGATCAGAGGCGTGCGTTTACTCGGATCAAAACTGATGCTGTTCAAGCCTTCAACTACCCGGCGCAACAACCTGTCAGGCTCGATGAACTCAGCGTCATCCTCTTTAATGCTGCCGTTCAACTGACCCATCAGCTGATCAACCATCGACAACTGATCACGCCATTCATTGCTGTCGGGGCCGTGCCGTAGATGGGTATGCACCATCAGGTTTCGCCAACCGGGGTTCAGCAGTTCCAGAATCAGCTCGGGGACATTTTTACCACCAATGCGCTGCTCCACTTCTTTCAAAACCGCGCGGCGAGCCCGTGCGAGTTTCTGCTGACCTTCGCTGGCACGAACGGTGCGCTCGACATTACCTCGGTAAGTGCGCGACTGCCGATCAATGAGTGGATGGAGTTCATCCACCGCGTCGGAAAATATCTGTGGGTTCGAGTCGTAGTCTTTGACAACCCGTTGCAGCACCTCGTCTACCTGGCGGCCAACTTCACGTTCGATACCCTGGCTGACGTCGTTACTGTTACCCAGACGAGCAAGCTGGTTCAGCATCTGCACCGCACTGTGGGGGTTGGCAGGGTCGCTGGCCAGAAAGCCGGGGTCGCGTGCAGCCAGTTTATTTAAAGTGACTTCCAGGCGCTGCACCCACTCACGCACGCCATCCGTGATGAGCTTGTCGTCTGTCAACGATCCAACCAAACCCTCCATGACCTGCAAGGTGTCAAAAATGTCTTCAGACAAACCTTTCTGATCGCCGTGCTGATGCTGCAGCACTTCCATTAATCGGGGTTTTAAGCGCGTATCAGACAGCGGCGCATCGCCAAGTTCGGATTGAATGACACCCAGCGCCTCAATAATGTCATCCGGGTTATAGGTTTCGTCTGCGCGAGCATCAGGGCGCGCCAGGGATGGCTCTCGCGGGCGCCCCAACAGTTCTTCGGTGCGGCGCTTCAGATTCAGAATGGTTCGTGCTGTATTATAAGCTGGACTGCCCGCACCACCGGTTTGTACAAAGGGATTTTCATCTACCCTGCCAGCGCCAACCCCATCCGCGGCCATAGCGACCTCGCGCATGGTCTGATCCATGTCCTGATAATCCTGGGGTGTGACATTGACTCCGGCGCGGTTACGCACCGTGTACTTTGGCTGCAGCGCTTCGCGTAATTCTTCCAACGCAGGCATTTGGCCACTGTCCGAGAACAACTTACCCAACGCTTCGTATAAGTTGCTTAGGTTTTTATGCAGCTCTGCTTCGTAGAGCCCATAGATTTCTTTGCGCAGATCATCACGAAAACCGAACTCTGCCTGGGCATCATCAAACGACCACCAGAACGCCGCGGGGCCCACCGGTATGACGTCTTTGTGGCTCCAGGGTTTGGCAATGAGGCCGAACTGAGCGCGCATGTCGAGGAGCGCATCTTTGAAACGATTTTCAGTTTTGGAAATTTCTTCAGCCACCAGCAGCCATTGTTCGAACTGCTGAGTGTCGACCAGCTCAAGCTTGCCGGGCTTCTGATTGCCTGTGTCACGTTTGCGACGGCGTTCCAACACCGCTTCGAGATCGGACACCTGATCAAGCTGCGCAAGCATGCCACCGACAAATTTTCCAACAAAAACTTCCTGGAACTTTTCTACCGCATCGAGGGCTTCAAAATAACGTGTCTGCACCGCATTGGTACCGGCATCCCGGGCTTTGACCAGCAGATCTTGAGCAAGTGATTTACAGAACCCTGCCGCAAGACGCGAAGAAGCCCGCTTGGTAACCGCTTGCACACGCAGAGTTAGTTTTGACGCAGCAGCTTCGGGCAGGCGCGGGTCGCGCAACGCTTCATCTTTTTTTCCTTTCGTTCCGGGCGCACTCGATCCTGCCGGCTGTTGCGCGGTCGGGCCGCGTCGAGCGCCTTCGGTCTTTGCTGAAGCACCTGGGGCCGACTGCCCCGGCTGGGCCACGTCAGGCAGATCATCTACACTGGCTTCATCAATTTCCGGCGCTGCCGTACCGGCAGCTACTGCAAAGTCGACCAGGTTTTTATACGCGCGGCTGCCCAGGCCACTTTCGAAACAAACGCCCAGACCGTTGCCACCCTGCAATACCCGAGCAACTTTTGCCTGGGTACGGAAGTGCTCCTGGCCTACCGGGGTTGCCACCGAAAAATGCAGTGCAACGCTGTCACCGGCGGCAATATCTGCACCAGTGGAATCCAGAGAACGAGAACCCGCACCACCGGTCAACAACATGCCTTCTTCACAGAAGTCACGTATGGAACAGAGCCAGGAGCGACCTTGTGCCGGGTGCACCAACGCAGAGAGCTGTATGGGTTGTCGGGAGAATTTGCGGCGATTCAAACTTGTGTCATCCGTTTACACTAACGCGTACGCGTTTTAGGCTCGGAAGATAACCGATCTGGTGCTTGAGCGAAACACGGAAGCGGCTGCGAAGCCCGCAGGTGCAGGGACAATTGGCGTTCCCGGCGTGATTTTGCGCACGTTTCGGCCACCCCGCTGCGACCTGGAACAGGTGCGGCGACAAAAATCCCGGATCAGCTGAGCCCTATACCACTAAAAGTGGCACAAAATTTCGACTCTGGTGGCCGCATTGTTTACCGCATCCTGACCTTGAGCCAGCAACAGCTCTCGCTTTGCTTCCTGGCACTCTGCGGCGCCATTCTGATGAAAATCGATAGGCTCGCGAAGGCTGGATGAGGCGGCACAGACCGCCCAAGAAAGCGCCACCAACACCACCAGCGAGCTGTCGACCGGGAGAGTTGCGCTGCGACAGCGCCAGCCCGGTAAAACCGCCTGTAACGGCGCCGGCAGGCGCCGCACTCGGTAATTTGACCCGCTCAACTGCAACAATCCCAGCGTATCGCAGATCAATCTCAGAACCTCCAACAGAATTTTTTCGTTGGCTTGCACAACCTGCTAGAAGAACAACCACCAGACTCAGACTCACAAATATTCTAGGCAAGGGGCTCTCGTTCTAAATGAAGAGAACCCAATAGTAACAAAGCGCATATTTTATCGCGGGCCATGCCAGCGGCGGCGCCTATGTGTAACGGCTAAAACAGTTAAGCCAGCACCACGCGATCGCGACCATTGCGTTTCGCCTGATAAAGGGCTTCATCGGCGCGACTGACTAAATCCTGCACACGTTCACCCACCTGATAGCTGGCAATACCGACAGAGACTGTCATCTTGAATGTGTTGTCCGTGCCGGGAATCCACATCTGGCGTGTGTGCTCGGCAAGTCGATCCGCTACCTGTTGCGCTGTTTCAACATCCGCATCGACCAACACCAACAAATATTCCTCTCCACCAAACCGCGCCACGTAATCGACATTGCGCACAACCGCGCTGGCCAGTTCGGCAAACTGTTTGAGCGCTACATCACCCACCGCGTGTCCATAGCGGTCGTTCACCAGCTTGAAGTGATCCAGATCGCAATAACACAAAGTGAACGTCTGCCCGCCACGATCCGCAAGCGCTTTCTGGCGCCCCAGCAACTCCATCACCGAGCGACGATTGTGCAGGCCGGTGAGATCATCTTTCAGCGCCATGTCCTGTAACCGCTCCATGGCATCACGTAGACCGCGATTACGCTCAAGGAGACCATCGCGCATACCCTGGAACTCTGCACCAATTAACAAAACGCCAGCCAGCAGAGCGGCAAATGCCAGGCCGGTAAGCAATTCAAAATTCAGATCAACCGCACCTGAAGCGGTCAGGTAAGACACACCCAGGATATAAACACCGGCGGTGACCATAGAGACCAGCATGACCTGGCTGCGCGCCAGGTGAATGGCTGCATACAGAACACTGTAAAGCGGCACGGCCAGTAACAGTAAACGCAACATGCTCGGCACCAGAATTGCCAGGCTGACAGCACCGACATTGCACCAGATCATTCGACACATAATCACAATATCGTCATCGAGGAACCCAAGGCGCACGGGCCGCAATACCAGAGCCACAAATCCACACAGCCAGAGAGGCACCCACAGCCAGTAGAGGACCGGGTCCATATGCAGTACGCCAGCCTGAAGCAATGACCAGGTCAGCGATACAAAAGCCGTCAGTCCAGCGATGACCAGGGCAGGTCGCACCAGACGCGGGTAGGTTTGAGCGTTAATTTCCACAGCGCCATTGTAGTTAAACGCTGTGGGACTCCCGTATGGAACTGTAATGACTGTGTAACTTACTTAACTAAAGACTCTCACAGAGCCGGGAGGTAAGTTCGCCGCCGATGATCCCGCTAGCCCTGGGTCAATGCCTGAGCCAGTGCGCGACGGTAGCCGGTTAGCAGTTGCTGGCGCCGCACCTCATCCATTCTCGGCAGGAATTCATGCTCCCCGTGCCAGGCATTAGCCGCCGCATCAAGATCTGCATAAAGCCCATGGCCTAAACCTGCCAGCAAGGCTGCGCCCAGGGCGGTGGTTTCCGCATCAGCCGGTCGATCCACCGGCACGTTCAGAATATCGGCGAGAAACTGGCATAAGGCATCGTTGACTACCATCCCGCCGTCTACCCGCAAGCGTTGCACTGACGCGCCATCATTCCCCATAGCTGACAGCAGCGCCTGGCTGAGGAAAACAACGCTTTGCAGGAAGGCTGTCAGCACATGGTCACGATCTGAATCCAGGGACAGGCCCGTGATCAGGCCGCGCGCATTGGGTTGCCAGTAGGGAGCGCCGAGACCGGTGAAGGCGGGCACAACATAGACACCCTGGGTATCACCACCGGTGCGTTCGAAAGCAGCCTGGGTGTCTTGCGGTGTGTCGATCAGCTTGAGTTTGTCACGCAGCCACTTAATTGCCACGCCGGCTACAAAAATGCTGCCTTCCAGCGCATAAGTTGTTTCACCGCCGATTCGGTAAGCCACCGTTGTCAGCAATTTCTCTTCCGAGCGCAGGGCTTTGTTGCCCGTATTAGTCATCAGGAAACAGCCGGTGCCGTAGGTGCTTTTGGTCATACCCTCGGTAAAACAACCCTGCCCTACCAATGCTGCCTGCTGGTCGCCAGCCACGCCTGTGATCGGTATCTCTGCACCAAACCACTGCTCATCCGCGAGGCCAAAAAAACCAGCGCTGTCGCACACCTGAGGCAGTACAGAGGATGGAATCTCAAAGTAGTCAAGCAGGTCCGCGCACCAGACCTGATGATGAATATCGAACAGCTGTGTGCGGCTGGCATTTGTGGCATCGGTAACATGGGCACCCCCATTGGTCAGCCGCCAGATGAGAAAACTGTCGACGGTGCCAAAACACAGCTCACCCTGTTCCGCTCGATGTCGCGCCTGTTCCACATTGTGCAGCAGCCAGGCCAGTTTGGTGGACGAAAAGTAAGGGTCGATGACCAGGCCTGTGCGCGCGACCAGAGCCTCCTCAAGTGGTTCTCCTGCCAGCGTATCCCGCAGCATATGTTCACACTGGTCTGCGGTGCGCCGATCCTGCCAGACTATCGCGTTATAGACGCAATCTCCGGTCTGACGGTCCCATAACAGACTGGTCTCTCGCTGGTTGGTGATGCCAATGCAGGCGATGTCCGCTGCCGCAAGTCCGCTTGCTTCTATCGCATCACGACCCGCGGCAAGCGTAGTCTGCCAGAGCAGCTCCGGATCCTGCTCCACCCAGCCATCCGCCGGGAAGTGCATATCAAAGTCATGCTGCGCCTGTGCGACAACCCGGGTAGCGCCTTGTGCATCATTTTCGTAGATGATTGCCCGGCTGCTTGAAGTGCCCTGGTCGAGTGCCATGATGTAGGTCAAACGAGTCTCCAGAAGATTAGAAAATATCTCTACCCTAATGCATTCAAACGGTGAGAATAAAGCCCAAAAGCGCCCTGTCGCGGCCTCAACGGCTACCACTCCAGGCTGCTCACAATTCATACCGAACTACTCACAGGTTATCCACAGACAAAACCTTGCAAACTGGGTTCTATCCCATTATCTTGTGCTTCTTCGCGCTTAAACCCCTACATATGGGGTCTAAAATTTTTGACGCAGTCAAATTTTTTTGGCGTTGCAGCCCCAAAACAGTGCGTATTGGGCGCCCAACCGGGTCACAACACGCACAATATTAGGGCTAGAGGGAGGCGGGTTAGCGTGTTGGTGAATCATCTACAACTCGCATCTATCTCTGGTAGATGTCGAGCACTGGTGATGAACTTCTTATCGCAAACCCACAACAGAATTTCTTCGTCGAATGTCATAAGAACGGTCTTATGTCTGCCGCCTTCGATGAAAACATAACAACAAACTAATGCACCTTGCCTGCGCAAGGCGTAAAGCATTCGTCAGGATCGATGACCGTAAAAGTCGATGAACATAAAACTAGGAGCACCAAACAAAGTCATGCAAACAGATAGGCAGGCTCAATCAGAATCATCCCCACAGTCACCCATTGCAGATGGTCTGGACACCGCTACAGCGTTGTCCCCGTCCATTACCGCCACTGCGCCAGGACAACTGAAGATCATTAAACGTAACGGTACTGTTGTCCCTTACACCGACGACAAAATTGCTGTTGCCCTGACAAAAGCGTTTCTGGCTGTTGAAGGTGGCACAGCCGCAGCGTCACCACGTATCCGTGAACTGGTAAAGACCTTAACAGGCCAGGTAACAGACACTTTCTTCCGGCGCCTGCCTTCTGGTGGCACCCTGCATATTGAAGATGTTCAAGATCAGGTAGAACTTGCCCTCATGCGCTCCGGCGAACACAAAGTAGCGCGCTCCTACGTACTCTATCGAGCTGAACGCGCACGCGCTCGCGATGAAAAGAAAGAGCAGGATATTGTTGTTGATGAAGCCCAGGCTTCGATCAACGTACTGCAGAGTGATGGCTCTGTCGCACCGCTGGACATCAATCGACTAAGTACGATCATCACCGAAGCCTGCACAGATCTCAGCGATGTTGACGCGCAACGCATCATCGACGAATCGATGAACAATATGTACGACGGCATCTCGGCCAAAGACGTAGCAACCTCAGTGCTGATTACCGCGCGCACACTTGTAGAAGAAGAGCCTAACTACATGTATGTTACTGCTCGCTTGTTACTTGATGAATTGCGCACGGAAGCCCTGACCTTCCTGGATGTGATGGGCACTGGTGTAGAACAGACCGCCACCCAATCACAAATGACCGAAATGTATCCGTTGGCGTTGCGCTCTTTTATCGAAAAGGGTATCGAACTGGAACTTCTGGCACCCAACCTGCTTGATTACGATTTCGATCGCCTGGGCGCAGCCATCCAGCCTGAACGCGACCTGCAATTCGCCTACCTGGGTCTGCAAACGCTTTACGACCGCTATTTCATCCACAGCAACGAAATACGTTTTGAGCTGCCGCAGGTATTTTTCATGCGTGTGGCGATGGGCCTGGCACGCGCCGAAGAAGACTGCAACGAACGTGCTATTGAGTTTTACAACCTGTTGTCTTCGTTTGACTACATGAGTTCAACACCAACGCTGTTTAACGCCGGCACACTACGACCACAGCTGTCTTCCTGCTTCCTGACCACAGTGCCAGATGCCCTCGACGGGATTTACGGCGCTATCCATGACAATGCAATGTTGTCCAAATGGGCTGGCGGCCTGGGCAACGACTGGACACCGGTTCGCGCCCTGGGTTCGTACATCAAAGGCACTAACGGTAAATCTCAGGGGGTTGTACCCTTCCTGAAAGTGGTCAATGACACCGCTGTTGCCGTGAATCAGGGTGGCAAGCGCAAAGGTGCGGTCTGTGCCTACCTGGAAACCTGGCACCTGGACATCGAAGAATTTCTGGAGCTGCGTAAAAACACCGGTGATGATCGACGTCGCACCCACGACATGAACACCGCCAACTGGATACCGGATCTGTTCATGAAGCGGGTCACCGAAGACGGCGACTGGACGCTTTTCTCACCCAGCGATACCCCTGATCTTCATGATCTGTACGGCCTGGCATTTGAGAAACGTTATACCGAGTACGAAGAGCAGACCCGCTCCGGCGAACTGAAACTGTACCGCCGCATTAAAGCCGCCGAGCTGTGGCGGAAAATGATCTCCATGCTGTTTGAAACAGGCCACCCATGGATCACTTTCAAAGACACCTGCAACCTGCGTTCTCCGCAGCAGCATGTCGGCGTGGTGCACTCATCTAACCTGTGTACTGAAATCACCCTCAACACATCACCTGAAGAGATTGCGGTATGTAATTTAGGTTCAGTCAACCTGGTACAACACATCGAGAACGGTCAGCTGAACATGAAGAAGCTGAAGAAAACCGTTCGTACCGCTGTACGTATGCTCGATAACGTCATCGACATCAACTACTACTCGGTACCCCAGGCACGCAACTCTAATATGCGCCACCGTCCGGTTGGCCTGGGCATTATGGGGTTCCAGGATGCGCTGTATAAAATGGGTTATTCCTACGCTTCTGATGAAGCTGTGGAATTCGCAGATCGATCCATGGAAGCATTGAGTTACTACGCCATTGAGTCTTCGAGCAAACTGGCTAAAGAACGCGGCGCTTACGCGACTTTCTCTGGATCACTGTGGAGTCGCGGCATTCTGCCCATCGACTCTCTGAAACTCCTGCGCCAGGAACGTGGTGCGGAGTATCTGGAAGTGAATTCTGACACCACCCTCGATTGGGAAAAGCTGCGCGGCAAAGTTCAGGTTAACGGCATGCGTAACTCAAACGTTATGGCCATAGCACCGACGGCAACTATTGCCAACATTACCGGTGTGTCACAGTCGATAGAGCCGACTTACCAGAACCTGTACGTGAAATCCAACCTGTCCGGCGAATTTACCGTCGTCAATCCTTATATGGTTCAGGATCTTAAAGCCCTGGGCTTGTGGGATAAGGTGATGGTTAATGATCTGAAGTATTACGACGGCAGCCTGCAGGCGATAGAGCGTATACCTGCAGAAATCAAACAGCGTTATGCCACGGCATTTGAAGTAGAACCACGCTGGCTGGTAGATGCCGCAAGCCGCAGACAGAAGTGGATTGACCAGGCGCAGTCGCTGAATCTTTACATGGCTGGCGCATCAGGCAAAAAACTCGATATAACCTATCGTATGGCCTGGCTCAGGGGTTTAAAAACCACTTATTACCTGCGCGCACTCAGTGCAACCAGCACTGAAAAATCTACGGTGGATCAAGGCACATTGAATGCAGTCTCTGCCCAGGGCAGCACGCAGAACAGCGCAGTGGAACCAGCCGCTAAAACAGTTTCGGCAGCACCTGCCGCAAATCATGCAGACATCGAATTGGGCGATGCAGCTGACGTACCGTTGGCCTGCTCGTTAGACGATCCAGATTGCGAAGCATGCCAATAGACGGCATGCCAAAAGGAGAATTAGGATAATGTTAAGTTGGGACGATTATAACGAAGACGATAGCGCGCGAGATGCCAAAAACGCAGCTGCAAATACTATCGCCGAGCCACAGACAGCAGTGGAAATACAGGTAGAAGTGCCTGTTGCCCCACCCACAGAAGAAGCGCCCGCTGTTGTACAGGCATCAGTTGCTACGCCAGCCCCCGCTGTGCCAGTAACCCCGCCTGCACCGGAGGTAATGATCCCCGAGGCTGCCGTTGCTGAACAGGCGCCCATGGCCCCGGCTGTGCCGCCGGCGTTACCCTCGGCGCACATAGAACCGGAAAACACAGAACGTGTGACCGTTGACCAGAAAGCGATGATCAACTGTCGTGCAGACCTTAATCAGCTGGTGCCGTTTAAGTACGACTGGGCCTGGCAGAAGTACCTCGACGGTTGTGCAAATCACTGGATGCCCCAGGAAGTGAACATGACCGCAGACATCGCGCTGTGGAAATCCGAAAGTGGGCTCAGCGATGACGAGCGCATCATCATCAAACGCAACCTTGGCTTTTTCTCGACTGCTGACTCCCTGGTTGCCAACAACCTGGTTCTGGCAATCTATCGTCTGATCACCAATCCTGAATGCCGCCAGTATCTGTTACGCCAGGCGTTCGAAGAGGCTATTCATACCCACGCTTATCAATACTGCATTGAATCTCTGGGCATGGACGAAGGTGAGATCTTCAACATGTACCACGAGATACCCTGCGTAGCGAAAAAAGCCAACTGGGCCTTAACTTACACGCGTGAAATCAATGACCCGACGTTTAATACAGGATCCGTTGAGACTGACAAGGCGCTGTTGAAAAACCTGATCGCCTACTACTGTGTATTGGAAGGAATCTTCTTCTATTGCGGGTTCACCCAGATTCTGTCGATGGGTCGGCGTAACAAAATGACGGGGACCTCGGAACAGTTCCAGTACATTCTGCGAGACGAGTCCATGCACGTGAACTTCGGTATCGACGTCATTAACCAGATCAAACTGGAAAACCCCCATTTGTGGGATGCCGAAATGCAGGCTCTGGCGCGGCAGATGATCCTGGAAGGCACTGACCTGGAAATTGCTTACGCACGGGACACCATGCCTCGTGGTGTTTTAGGCATGAACGCCAACATGATGGAAGAGTATCTGCAGTTTATTGCTAACCGTCGCCTGGCTCAGATTGGCCTCGGTGAGCAATACGCCGGCGTTAAGAACCCCTTCCCGTGGATGTCAGAAATCATGGATTTAAAGAAAGAGAAAAACTTTTTCGAAACCCGTGTGACTGATTATCAAACTGGTGGCGCATTGAGCTGGGACTGATCGCCGTCTACCATAAAGCCCCCACCGCTTCGGCGCTGGGGGTTTTTTAATGCCTGGAAAATATTTTCACCCGAAATCGGGGGAGCCTCTGCCTATGTCTATTGCGCGCTTTCTGATTATTCCCTTCAGCTTTTTTTCTTTTTTTGCATATGGGCTCGATAAAGACGCGACCTACCGTGTCGACGGGCTGCAGAAACCAGCTGAAATAATTGTCGACACCTACGGCGTCCCGCATATCTATGCGGCAGATCACTACGACGTATTTTTTGTACAGGGATTTAACGCCGCCCGCGATCGGCTCTGGCAGATCGACCTCTGGCGCAAAAGGGGCCTGGGCGAACTGGCCTCTGCGCTTGGCGAAGAATATGTCGCGCAGGACAGCGCCGCGCGGTTGTTTCTCTATCGCGATGATATGTATACCGAGTGGCTTGCTTACGGCAACGATGCAAAAAGAATTACTGAGGCATTTACCGCCGGCATCAACGCATTTGTGGCACTGACCGAAAAGCAGCCCGAGCTGCTGCCTCCGGAATTCAACCTGTTGGGATACAAACCTGACCGCTGGCAACCAGCCGATGTGGTGCGGATTCGCAGCAATGGGTTGTGGCGCAACGTCACCACAGAGGTATGGCGCGCGCAGCTGGCCTGTCAGAATCAGCTCGACCTGGCAGCGCAGTGGAAGCAACTGGAGCCAAGCTGGACCACCACAATCCCTCAAGGGTTAGATCCGTGTGTCATCCCGGACAACGTCCTGGAAAAATATACCCTGGCCAAAGCACCGGTAGTTTTTGATCAGGCGGTAACAACAGCAATCGCCCTGCAGGATGAAGGTGATCATTCTCTTGGCAGCAACAACTGGGTAGTGGCTCCAGAACGAACAGCCACCGGCCGACCCATACTGGCGGATGATCCGCATAGAGGGCATGCCACGCCATCACTACGATATATCGCGCATCTGGTGGGCCCGGGCATTGACGTCATCGGTGCGGGAGAACCCGCCTTACCCGGCATTTCCATTGGCCATAACCAGCAGATTGCATTCGGTTTAACCATTTTCCCCATTGACCAGGAAGATTTGTACGTCTACGAAAAAACAGCTGAAGGCTACCGCTATCAGGGCCGCAGCGAACCTTTCATAGAGGTGGTAGAGGCTATCCATGTCAGAGACAACCCCAGCCAGGAAGTCACACTTCGATTTACCCGCCACGGGCCGGTGGTTGCAGAGACGAAGACCCACGCCTTTGTTGTGCGTGCCGCCTGGCTGGAACCCGGCATGTCACCCTACTTCGGCAGCATCGAATACATGCGCGCGCAGAACTGGCGTGAGTTTGAAGCCGCACTGAACCGCTGGGGTGCACCTGCAGAAAACCAGGTTTATGCCGATACTGACGGCAATATCGGTTACAAACCCGCAGGGCGTTTCCCGGTAAGGGTCAACTGGGATGGCCTGATGCCGGTACCTGGTAACGGCCGATTTGAGTGGCAGGGATATTTCGATATGGATGTGCTGCCGGTTGAGTACAACCCGGCCCGCGGTTTCACCGGCACCGCCAACTCCATGAATCTGCCCCCTGACTATCCCATCAACGACTATAAAATCGGCTTCGAATGGTCGAGTCCCTGGCGCTACAAGCGTTTGTGGGAACTACTGGAAACCCAGGAAAAACACAGCATGGCCGACTCAATCAACCTGCAGCGCGACTACACCTCAGTGCTTGCCCGCCGCATCCTGGCATTGTTGCCAAAACTGGCTGATCAACCTCAGGGAAAACTTCTCAGCAAATGGGACCACGTTCTGAGCCCGGATTCTGCTGCCGCAGCCTTATGGAATGTCTGGTATACCCGCCACCTGGTACCCGCGCTGGCTGAAGCATTGGCCGGCAGTCGAGCAGTCCCCGACAATCCCCTGGACCCACTGACTGTGCTGGAAATGCTGAAAACACCCGCAGGTCAGAGTACTGCTTACGCCTCGCTGGCGGCGGCTGTTACGGAAACTCAAACATTGCTGGGAGATGAACCCCGCCAATGGCAATGGGGAGACCTGCATCGCATCAAGTTCCAGCACCCGCTGTATGACCAGGCCCCACCAGCATTACAGGCACAGATGAAAATCACCGACTATCCTCGCGGCGGCAACGCCAATACCACCAACAATACCGGCTACCGAGGGGCAGGTTTTGATGTCGCCTCTGGCGCTTCTTTCCGTATGGTGGTTGACGTCGGCAACTGGGACAACGCCTTCGCCACAAATGCGCCGGGACAGTCCGGAGACCCCCGATCACGCTTTTATGACAACTTATTAGACAATTGGGCCAGAGATGACAGTTTTCCGTTGCTCTATTCGAGAACTGCTGTCGAAAAAAATGTCGCTTTTTCCATTACCCTGCTGCCGGGAGAATAATCGAGATGTGCGATGTTGCAGATAAATTCACGTTCGGCGCGCCATTTATGGGCTGCGCTGGCGTTCCTGACTGGCGGTCTAGCTCATGCCCAGGTCAGCTATGAAACGCTGACCTTCATCGACAGTGATGGCTATTCCTATGTGAATTACGCCACCACCCGATCTGATGTAAACAGCTATACCGTGTTTCTTGATAAAGCCGAGAATCTCGGTGACTACCTGTACATCAACCCCAACCAATATCAGTTTGACGACTCCGAACCGTCATTCAATCAACTGAAGTTTGATCAGGGCAGCTACGCAACAATCAGTCAGGGTAGTTACATCAATACCCATCAACCAGAGAAGTCGGCGCTGCAGGTCGAGGCAGACGGCACTTATCGACTGCGCACCTGGGATGGCACCAAACAAACTAACGGACACTACGGCATCTGGAACACACCGGACCCGTTTGCGCGTTTTGCCGCGGCATGGGTTTTCCCAGCGCAGTTTGAGGTCACCGGATACCACAGTAATCGCGAAGGTGAATGGGTTCAGCGAGGCAATACACTCGCATTTTTCACCAATGATGCAAATAACCTGGCGTTTGAATTCACATACCGGCGCAGAAGCCAGCCCGCGTTCAGTGCGCTCATGGCTCAGCTCAAAGACAACCAGGCTGTTGCCGTCGAACAACAGGGTAACGGTCTCAAAGTGACGCTCACCAACGAAATCCTGTTTGCATCCGGTTCTGCTGATCTGTCCGATACAGGTCGGGAGCTCCTGAAAAACGTTGTCAGTAACCTCAGCCACCGCGAAGCTTACAGCTTTATTGTTGAAGGCCACACCGACAACGTACCCATCCGCGGCCAGTTGCAGCGTCTTTATCCAACCAATTGGGAGCTGTCAGCCAAACGTGCACTGAATGTGGTTCATGCGCTGGATGATGCGGGAATCGCACCTGAACGCCTGCAGGCGCGGGCTTTTGGTGCTTACAAACCACGTGTGCCGAATGATAATGATGGCAACCGTCGAGAAAACCGACGCATTGAGCTGTTGATCGAACCCCTGAGTTAGGCGCCGCTCACGACAACTGTTTGCACATGTCCCGCAGCGTCTCCACAAACGCCAACGGCTGATCCAGAAAGACATGGTGCTGAGCCTTTTCGATACCCACCGCCGGAAAATCCTGAGGCACCAGCTCGCGCATGTACGCCAGGGTGTTAAGGGAAAACAGCTCACTGTCTTCGCCGTAGATTAAACCGAGCTTTACCGTCAGGTTCTGATAATCCTCAGGCTGACGTTCGATATCTTTCATCGCGGTGTAAAAGTCTTCATCAAACTTCCAGGCATACCCGCCGCCTTCCACCGGCATCAGTGAATTGCGCGCTATGTACTGCAGGATGTACTCATTTTCACAGGACTGCGGGGGCTGCAGGCGAAAGCGCATAAGCGCGTTTTCTTTGTCCGGGTAAACCTTGGCGCGAACATTCATCATCGAATGATCCGGTGGTGGATCTTCCGGGCTGCGGATACCTGAATCGATGAGAATCAACGCCGCAAACCGATCAGGATATTGATTAGCCGCCCGCACAGCCATATAACCACCAAAACTGTGGGCAACCACAAAACACTGGTTATCAAAACCCGCATCGTCCAGCACGGCTTTAATTTCTTCGGCGTAAAGGTTGGCGTTGTACTCGTAGCGATAGTCGGAATCACCCATACCGGTGAGATCCATCGCTGCAATTTCATATTCGTCGAGCAGCTGTGGCGCAATGAAATCCCACCAATGCGAATGGGCATGCATACCGTGAATCAGTAACATGCCGCGCTTACCCGGATTGGGGTAGAAGCGGTAGACCACATCACATTCGTCTACCTCAACGCTTCTGGTTTCGGCCGGGGTTTCCACTGCCTCCCAGAACCAGTCTGGAATCGTGTTTGCGCTACCTTGTGAATCCCAACGAGCCATACCCTCTCCCCAATTTCACTAGAGCTGCACTAACGCACCCATTCTCGTGAATACGTGGTAAATGCGTGGCTACAGACGACCAAACCGTTTCAGGTGGAAATCTACATTGCCAAACAGCGTATCAATGATGGTCAGACGTTTGAAGTAGTGACCAATGTTCAACTCATCTGTCATACCCATACCACCGTGCAGCTGCACAGCACTCTGGCCGACAAATCGACCGGACTTACCTACCTGTACTTTGAACGCGCTGACGGCTTTCTGCGCTTCCGGCCCATAACCTTCATCCAGGCGCATAGCGGCCATGAACATCAGTGACTTGGATTGTTCGTGCTCCATGAACATATCCACCATGCGGTGCTGCAATACCTGGAATTTACCGATGGGCTGACCAAACTGCTCCCGGGTTTTGCAGTATTCAACTGTATCTTTATAAAGTACTTCCATCGCGCCAACCGCTTCAGCGCCAACCGTCAGAATACCGCCATCAATCACCTGCTCAAGCAGACCAAGACCGCTGCCTTCTTCGCCCAGCAATGCATCTGCGTCAACGGCAACATTTTCAAAGGTAATTTCTGAAGCGCGCAGGCCATCCACTGTAGGGTAGTCTCGTCGAGATACACCTGGGGCATTGGCATCCACCACAAACAACGATACGCCATCGGTGTCACGCTGCTCGCCGCTGGTGCGGGCAGACACCACGAGGATGTCTGCTGCTGGGCCGTTGAGCACCACGGCTTTATAACCGTTAATGACGTAGCCCCCATCTTTTTTACTGGCTGTTGTGGTGAGGTCGCTGAGATTAAAGCGACCCTGGGGTTCAGCATAAGCCAGCGCACCCTGCACTGACCCGTCGATGATGCCCGGCAGATACTTCTCTTTCTGCGCAGGGGTGCCGCCGTGTTTGATCGCGCCACCTGTCAGGACGATGGTTGCCAGGAAGGGTTCAACCACCAGAGACTTACCAAAAATTTCAGCCATCAGCATCGCTTCAATGGCACCACCACCAAAGCCACCGTCGGCTTCAGAAAACGAAACACCCAGCCAACCCAGTTCGGCAAACGTGGCCCAGTTTTCAGCGCTGTAACCCAATTCTGAGCGGGTAAGTTTCTGACGCGACTCAAAGTCGTAGTCATTCTGCATGTATTTGGTGACGCTTTCTTCTAACAGCGTTTGTTCTTCGGTAAACGAAAAATCCATTCCTAACCCCTATGTTCTGAGCCTTTCAGGCAGCCCTGTTTATTAATGTTCTGCAGATTTTCCTACAGTCTCTTCTGCGGTTATTTCCACCGCCTCTTTCTCAGGCAAAATTGCGATCTCTAAATGTTTCGCCGCGCGATCTTTCAGCGCCGTTATGCCAGCACCGGCATCCTGCTCAAAAAAGGCAGCCACCTGGTCAGCCAGCGCGTGTTGCATTACGCCAGCCGCCTCATCTGGACCAATAGGGCCTTCATTGTGCAACAACATTGGATTCGGGAACGCCGGATCCGGATAAGGAAGCGCATAATACCCGAAACAATCGATCTGTAATGCCCCAAGTTGCAAGAGGATTTCCCGACTATGCAACTGCATCAGCTCCAAGGGCACGGGCAGTGGCTGCGCCCTGGTCAACGCATCGACACAACGCAGCTCAAGGGCCTGCAGGCCAGCGAGATCCACCGCCAGAGCATCTCTCTTCGCCGCCAGATCCTCATCCTCCTGCAGGGTCTGCAGGACAGCATCGATACGTTCAAGTTGTGCTGTGGCTACCGCGCTCCTCGCGAGCGTGGTATGTACGCTGCTGAACTGCAGGTGCTGGTATTCTGCGGCAGGCGCAGGTCGAGTAAGGCAATATCGCTGCGGCAGCTCGACGGAATTAAGGGTCAGGTGCGCTATTTCAGTGACCCCATCGAGGGTGGTGGCATAACGTTTAATCAGACCCGGATGATCCGCAGGCACGGCAAGCAGGACAAAATTATCTGGCTCATCGGCGCAGCGCGCCAGCACAGCTATCCAATCGGCAGATCGCAAATCCCTGATCAGAGACTTCTCCCCGTTGAGACACAAATCTCCGCCAAGGCCACTGACCGTGGTGGTCATCTCCGCAACCTGAGCGTTGCAAGCCGGCTCAAACATGCCCAGACACCAACGTGCCCGCCATGCACGAATATCAGCAAGAAATTCAGTTTGCGCAGCCGAGCCGCCTGAAGCGATCAGCATTGGACCCACAACAGTGACACCTGTGCCTTCTGCAAAGGTCTGATCCACCTGATGTCTGGCGCAGGCCTGCTGCCAGATAAAGTGCTGCATTGCGCTCCAACCAGTGCCGCCAAACTGCGTCGGCCAGGCAGGCACAGACCAAGCTTCCGCCACTACCGCCGCCCGCCACGCCTCGATTTGCGCCGTCTGCACGTTACTCTGCCCAATCGGCCAGTGCTGAGACACAAATGCATCAACCTGGGCGGCAAACTTTTCCTCTTGTGTGGCTAAGGCGATCTGCACCGGGGGCGATCCGCTGAAATGACAGGCGCCTATTTTAGCACGTGGAAAATGCAACTTAAGCCAGGCAACATAGCGAGTCTTTTTTATCAGCGCGGAAACTGCAATGAGCTACAGCACCATTTTGTACGAAGTCGAAGAAGGCATTCTGACTCTGACCCTGAATCGGCCGGAAGCAATGAACGCCTTCACCCACACCATGATGGAGGAAATGATTGACGCCTGTGATCGTGCTGATGCAGACGACGATGTCAAAGCCATCATTGTGACCGGTGCCGGGCGCGCGTTCTGCGCTGGTGCTGATCTGTCCGGTGGCGGTGATACATTTGATGCAGACGCGCGCAGCGATCGCAACAGCGGCGTGCAACCCGACGGCGGTGGTCTCCTGACGCTGCGCTTATACGAACTGAACAAACCCATTATCGCTGCCATCAACGGTGCCGCAGTAGGCGTCGGGGTCACCATGACTCTGGCAATGGACATCCGCCTGGCCGCTGATGTTGCTAAATTCGGTTTTGTGTTCGCTCGACGCGGGATTGTCCCGGAAGCGTGTTCCAGCTACTTTCTGCCTCGGGTAGTCGGCATCAGCCAGGCGCTGGAATGGTGTTATTCCGGCCGTGTCTTCCCCGCTCAGGAAGCACTGGAAGGCGGTCTGGTGAAATCGCTGCATGCAAAAGACGACCTCCTGGCTGCGGCACGCGCCATAGCAGAAGATATCCGCGACAATACCGCACCGGTTTCGGTAGCCATGCTCAGACATATGATGTGGCGCATGCTCGGCGCTGATCACCCGATGGAGGCCCACAAGATTGATTCCCGGGGCATCTACTATCGCGGCCGCTCAGCGGACGCCAAAGAAGGGGTTCAGTCGTTCTTGGAGAAACGTCCGGCGGAATTTCCCGGCAAAGTGAGCTCGGACATGCCAGAATTCTTCCCATGGTGGGATGAGCGTGAATTTTCATAAACATTTGCGGACTAAACACAGTATAGAGGTTGATTAAAATGACAGAACCAACAGTTGCCCAGGCCGCGCCGTTTCCTGTAGACGTTGAAGAAGGGAAAAAGTACTTCTGGTGCGCTTGCGGTAAATCCGCTCGCCAGCCATTTTGCGACGGCTCCCACGAAGGTACAGATTTCACGCCTATGGCGTATCAGGCCCCGGCCAGCAAAACGCTGTACTTCTGTGGTTGCAAACACACCGCCAATGCACCTTTGTGTGATGGCGCCCATAACTCACTGGGATAAAGCTAACGATGTTGAGTCGATGGTTTAAAAGAAGTAATCGACTTGAACACGCAGACCCTGCGACACGGCTGGAAGCCGTCAAAGCGTTATCTGCGGAGCAAGCTGCCGAGAATCAGGAGATGCTGGCGACACTGGCCCGCACCGATGCGGATACAACCGTACGCCAGGCGGCTATCGCTCATCTGTCAGATGGTGATCTGCTCGCTGACCTGTTAGACGACAGTGCAGTGGCGAACACTGCAACCAAAAGAGTGTGTGAGCTGATCGCCCAAGGACAGGTGCCAGCCTGCGCGCAACATGAAAAAGTTATCGCTGCTCGCATAACGACGTGCTCAGCTGAAGAACTGGAAGGTCTCTGGCCATTACTGACCACACCCGATCAGTGCGCAGAACTGGCACTGCAGTTGCGCGATGAAGCCAGAGACACAGTGCTGATGCATCCGCTGTTACAGGCTGAAGAGGGTTTATCGACGCTGCAGAAAGCCGCTCGCGGACGAGACAAATACTGCCACCGTCATGCGCGGGAAAAGCTTGATCAGATCAAACAGGCTCGGGCCGCCATCAAAGCGCAGGACCAGCGCCTTGAAGAACTGGACAACGCCATCCACAAGGCGCTGAAACAGGCGCCCGCTGAACCCGAAGCGTTGTTGGCGCATCGACAAAAATTATTGCGGCTGCGGGATATGCGCGCAGAGCTGGTAACAACACTCACCGAGCTGAACACACAACTTCTTTCCGCAGGTGGTAAAAGCGAGTTAAGGGATACCAGCATCGACCCGCTGGCTGATGCCGACTTGAGTCTTCCGGACCCGACGGACAATCCGTTTATTCATCTGAGTGAGCAGTGGCGTGCCCTGCAACAAAGAATGATCGCTGGAGAAGACGCTGAAGAGCTGTACCAGGCAAAACAGGACCTGACCGGGCAGTGGCTGAGTCATGCCGACAAAATGCCGCCCAACGCTGAGCAACACAACTTATTCAGCAATGTCACCCGTGAGTTGCAGGTTTATCGAAAAACCTGGCAACGCAGTGAAACCCTGCGCAGCGAACCACTCACGGCGCCGGAGCCGCTGCCTGAGAAGCTGTCGTTCGATCAACAGACCGCTGGCCTCCTGAAGCAGCGCCGCAGCTGGATCAAACGCTGGAAGAAAACCATAACCTCAGTTGACTGGCCGGCCGAACAGCCTACCCCCACCTGGCTGACAGACGCACAGGCAAAGCTGGTACAAGTCGAAAAAGACATTGAAAAGCTGCAGGCTGCGACCGCTGACGCCGGTAAACAAATGACCAGTTTTGTCAAAGACGCGGATCAGGCTTTAAACGATGGCCACATCGAAGACGCAATTAAACATGTTCGTCAGGCCAGAGAGTTACAGAAAGCCGGCATCAGTGAAAGTGATGCTGCGCTTGCCAACCTGAGCGCCCGGCTTGCCGAGTTTCGCGACTGGCAGAAATTTGCCACAGAACCTAAACGTCAGGAACTTCTGAGTGCAATCGAACAGCTCGCGAACAACCCCATAGCGCCTGCGGATCAGGCAGCACGGCTTAAAGAGCTGCGTGAACAATGGCGTGCACTCGGTCGCCCGGTCAGTGCCGAACACATCGCTCAACAGCAGCAGTTCGATGATTTTGCCGACAAGGCTTTCGAGCCGTGTAAAGCCTACTTTGCGGAACAGGCTCAGATTCGCCAGGAGAATCTTGCAGCCCGCATCCAGCTCTGCGAACAATTGCAGACCTATCTGTCGCAAACCGACTGGCAGAACACCGACATCCAGGCAGCTGAAAACATTCTGCGCAGCGCGCGCCAGGAATGGCATCGCTACCGGCCCTGCGAACGCAAAGCGCTCAAGCCAGTAGAAAAAACTTTCGAGGCGCTGCAGGACACCCTGCATAACAAAATCAAAAGTGTGTGGAACGAAAACGTTGCCGCCAAGCAGGCTATTGTCGACGAGGCGCGGGCTCAAGCCGCCGCCATTGCCGAAAACCTCGATGACGAAACGGTCAACGCGGCAATTCAAAGTGCCAAAAACCTGCAGCAACAGTGGCGTACCATCGGACGTACCCCAAGGTCTGCTGACCAGAAGCTGTGGCGGGACTTTCGCGACGCATGTGACCAGATATTTGCCCAGCGAGACGCGGCCAATACTGCGTTCAAACAAGCCAGCGCGGAGCAGTTGCAACGCTTCGAAGTTGCCGTAACGGAATTCGAAAGTGCTGCCGCAGGCAGTGACCACAGCCGCGCAGCCCTCGATACATTTATCGACAACCTGAATAATCTGGCACAAGACATCAGCCTGTCTGCTCAACATCGTCAGCGGGTGGAAAGCGCAAGAGAAGCCTATCGTATCGCCCTTCAAAACCTGGCCAAGGCAGGTGTTGTTGAAGAATTAAAACAGTTCGAAACCTGGGATGCTGAGGTTTCCGCCGCTGAAGCAGGCAACACCCCCATCGAGGCACCACATCCTGTTTTTGCCCAGCGTCTGGCGGGAGATAGCAGCACGGAGGATTGGCTGGCGCTTACTCTCGAAGCTGAGATAGCCGCAGATCTACCCAGTCCTGATGCGGATCGCAGTGCGCGCATGGCGCTGCAGGTTGAACTGATGAATGCCGGCAGGCGCGATCTGGCCCAGGAAGACTGGAAAGCACTGCGCAATCGATGGTGCGCAGCGGGCCCAAAAGACACACAGGCTGAGCGGCTGCGCAGCCGATTTTTTGCAGCCCTCAAGACCAGGCTTTAAGTTTCACAGGCAACCAGACGCCGCACGCCGTTGCCTTCCTGGGTTCAGACAGGTAAATAAAGCCTGACACTGGCACCACCGGAGGCGCTCTTGTCTATTTCCAGTTCGCCGGCGTACAACTCAACCAGTTCCGCCACCATCGCCAGGCCGATACCCTGACCCGACTGAATTTCATCCAGGCGACGGCCACGGCGCAGGACTTCTGAGCGCATGGCCGCTGGAATGCCTTCGCCATCGTCTTCTATAACAATCTGACACCGCTTACCGTGTTCTGCATCCGCCACCAATGAAACAGTAATGGCAATCTGACTGTGGGTATATTTGAATGCGTTCTCCAGCAGATTACCAACCATCTCCATAAAATCACGCTCATCTCCACGTGCAATGACGTCAGGATCAGCGGTGACCTGCACGGCAATACCCCGGTCCAGATAAGCGGTTTGCAGGGCGCGTAACAGGCGTTCCACCATCTCGCCGATTGCCACACTCTGCCCCACGACCACAGGCCCGCTTGCTGAGGCTTTGGTAAGCTGATGCATGACCGTCGTTTCCATCCGATCAAGCTGCTCCGTCAGCAGCGGTTTATTCACCTGGGTATCGAGCAAGCTGTTGCGCACCACAGCCAACGGCGTTTTCAGACTGTGGGCCAGATCGTCTAACGCATTCCGATAGCGGCTGCGAGAACGTTGCTCATGATCTACAAAGCGATCGAGGTTCTGCGCCAGCCCCGCCAGTTCTTTAGGATAGTTGGCGCTGAGCGCCTGCCGATGTCCGGCTTCCAGCTGTTGAACTTCCTCCGCCATGGTACGCAACGGTAACAGACCCCAACGTAACGCCAGCAGCTGTGCAAAAATGAACAAGGCCGTAGCCGCCCCCAGGCCAATGCCCAAACTTCGTCGGAATTGATTGATGGCAATACGAAAGGGGCGCTGATCCGTAGCGGCACTGAAAATCACCTCTTCAGTATCTGCATTTTCCCAGATCACCGTATAGCTGAGGTGGTAACGTGGTGTTACGCCATTGTCGGGTGTAAACACAAAAGCGCCGGGCTCCGCATCAATGTTGGGAAACGATACCCCAGAGGTTACTGCGGAAGGCGAACGCCAGATAACTTCGCCAAGCTCGTTGCTGACTTTCGCATACAGACCGCTTTCAGGCTGAGTGAGCCGTGGTTCAGTAACCCCTTCGCTGAAGGTTAAACGGCCCTCTACCTCGTCGACTGAACCCATCAGGGAATAGATGACCAGGCGTAACTGCTCCTGAGCACCGCTGACGACGCTGGCAGTAAATGAGCGTTCGAGCACATAACCGGTGATGGTCAAAAACAGCGCCAGCACACAGGTCGTGGTGATGAGCAGCCGTTTTTGAATGGAGTTATTCAAACAGGATTATCCGCCAGAAAGCGATAACCCTGTCCGCGCACGGTGCGGATGAGATCTACTGGCGAGATTTTTTTACGCAAGCGCCCGACAAAAACTTCAATCACGTTGCTGTCACGATCAAAATCCTGTTCATACAGGTGATCTGTAAGCTCACTTTTACTGACAACTCGATTAGGGTTCAGCATCAGATATTCCAACACTTTATATTCGTAAGCAGTGAGTTCTATGGCCTGCTCAGAGACCCGCACTTCTTTTTTAGCCGTGTCTAACTGCAGGTCACCCTGGCTTAACACGGGCGAAGCGTAGCCTGCGGTTCTTCGGATCAGAGCGTTCAACCGCGCCACGAGCTCTTCCATCTGAAACGGCTTGGCCAGATAGTCATCCGCACCGGCTTCCAGACCCTGAACCTTGTCCTGCCAGTGACCACGCGCGGTCAGCACCAGGACGGGGAAACTACGGTCTTCGCTGCGGAAAGTTTTAATCAGTGACAGGCCATCAATTTTAGGTAAACCCAGGTCGATGACTGCCGCGTCGTACTCATATTCACGACCATAATACAGGCCTTCTTCACCGTCAGCGGCGAGGTCTACCGCGTAGCCTTCGCCTTTGAGATGGCTGCCCAGCTGCTCACGCAAGCTGGCTTCGTCTTCAACAATCAGTATTCGCATATCTGCCTATCAATCTAATGGATGCTTTGTTCAGGTGAGGCGTTTTTAACCTGTCAGCGACCGCCTTTCACTCGGCCCTGCTGATCAACTGTTACCGTGATCACGCGTTCTCCGTCTACCAGCATACGGACCCGATAAATCGTGTTGCCACCGCGCTGCTTCGGAGTCGCTGACAACACACGTCCGCCGACTTTCTGGCGCGCCAGCGAAGTGGCTTTATCAATTGAGATACCTGGCGCCGGCGCAAACGATTGGCCGTTGCTCAAACCGTTACGGGGTTGCTCAACGCTGCTCAGGCCATCACGTGGTTCTGCCGCATGCACAGGCAGAGCCAGCAGCGCAGACAGTAACAGCACACCCTTGAGCACCTGCCGGCGCCTCTTCGAGCGATTGTTGCTTGTATTGTCCATGACTGCTGACCTGACCTTGAAGGCGTTTATTGTACGCGTAAAAATTAGTGCGTTAACAGAGTTGCTCGCGGCGCTTCGTTAACCCGCCGGGCTCACATGAACCCGAACACGAATGGAATCACCTGGGTCTCTGGGCATACGTGTCTGGTAAGTTTGACCCGCGTACCGGTAGCGTACGTCATACCCGCTAAGCTGTTGTTCAGAGCGGTATTCGCTGACGGTTTCGCAGACTTCTTCGTTTCGATACTGCACAGGCGCACCACGATAATGGCGATTCTGACGAGCGATGTCCGCGCCAATAGAGCCACCCAGCACTGCACCTACTACTGTACCCACCTGCTTGTTGCGCTTCTTATGGCCCACTGCGTTACCCAGCGCACCACCGAGAATGGCGCCCAGGATGGGACCGGTAGCAGACGCACGATGTTCCGGCGCATGACGGTAAGCCACCTGCTCCATACGACACTCCTGCACCGGCACTTCGTAAGACACGGTTTCATAAACGGGTTGGGCACTGACCACGCGGGCCCGATCATAGGTAGTGGCTGACAGGGCTAAACCTGGCACTAATACCAGCGGCAATGCCGCAAATGTAGCTTTCCTGAACAGCGATTTTTTGTCTGTGTTGATCATTTTATTGCCTCGTGGTTGATCGATTCACAGGGCCTATATTAGGTACTGTCAACTGAACGCCATCTGAATAAATCAGGGGGTTTCAAGCACCTGTTAAGGCGTCAGCGAGACTGTGACATCGGTCACCCGATGCCTCTCGTCGAGAGCCAGCACAAAGCCCGGTGTGGCAGGCGTCTGCTGCCAGAGCGCCTTGGTGAGTCTTTCATAATGAGCTATAAATCGGGCTATCTGATCTGCACCCATACGCTGAGCAGGTGGAATCTGTTGTTCCTGCTGGCTACGCCAGGCGTGGACCTGAGCAAAACCGGGGACCCGCAGGTGCACCCACAAATCAACTTTCTGCCACAGGCTTTCATAGTGATGATGCAGCTGTTCATTGACCCAGGTACGCCACTTGCCCTCAGCATCCTCATCACGCTCCAGGGCGTTACAGGGTGTACGCAGCGCCGCCTCAGGCTGCGCTTTAACCCCTAAACACCAACCTTCAAACACCAGCACTTCCGCGTTAAGTTCGCGCTCAGCGACCCGGTCATCCATGCCTTTGTCGAAAGTAGGGACACGCAGGTGGGTTTGACCACGGTGCACGTCATCAAGCGTCCGATGCAGCCACTGCCAGTCGTGAGTACCCGGCACACCGCGCGTCTGCAACAGAGGATGTACCTGCTCAGCAAGTTCCAACCGTGCTTTTCGGGTGAGATAAAAATCGTCTATCGAGACCGCCGCGGCTTGTTGCCCCGCGGCTATCAGAGTGTCCTGGAGACTCTGTGCAAGCGTGGACTTGCCACTGCCTTGACTACCGCTGATCGCGATGACCCGAGCCCCGGTAGCCAGCGCAACCGCTGCAATCAGGGCACTGGCCTGACGCCAGTCCGCAAAACCTGGCGCGGCTTCGGGCAGTGTTAATTGCTGGGCCAGCTGCTGTGAAGCCTGAAGCTGTGCAGAGGGCCAATCAAACAAAGTCGTTGCAGTCATCAACGCGGTTTCCAAACAGTGAAAGACACCGGCGCTCGCTGACTCGAGCCAGCCGGGGAACCAAATTTAATTTGTGAGTCTAACCAATTCACACGAAGAGCGAATAACAATGAATAATATCGTCACATCTTATAACCGTTTGTATGATCGCGTGTTTGGCCTGATCAGCAATCACCTGGGTGGCGTGGTGTCTGTCACACTGCGTCTGGTTCTGGGTCCGGTGCTCATTGGCGCTGGCTGGGAAAAAATAAGTGGTGACAATTGGTTCAGCCAGGATCTTTTACCTTTCCCTTTTAACGTTATCCCGGTGGAATTATCCTGGTTTCTCGCCAGTTGGACGGAGTTCATCGGCGGCATCTGTTTGCTGCTCGGGTTGGCCACACGTTTGTGGGCCATTCCATTGGCGGTGACGATGCTGGTCGCCGCTGGTTCCGTACACTGGGACAATGGCTGGCCCGCTGTAGCGCCATCCAACCCCGCGCAGATCTGCGTCCCCGATACCGAAGCCCATGCTCAATCGAACATCCTGCAGCGTTATATCAAATGTTACAACGTCAACGAGCGCACCATTGAGGCCTCCAAGCGTTTGTCCCGCGCTAAATCCATTCTGCGTGAGCATGGTAACTACAGCTACCTGAACGGCAGTGGCAGCATTGTGAAACTCAACAACGGTATCGAATTTGCGATGATGTACTTTGCCATGATTATGGCGTTGCTGATCATCGGCGGTGGCCGCTATTTCAGCCTGGATTACTACCTTGCCTTACTGTTTAAACGTCAAGCGTAAGGCTATTCGCAATGGTGTAAACTGCGCGCCGCTAAACCAATGGCGCGCAAGCCAGCCATACGCTCAGCTTGCCTGCGGAACACGCCAACGTAATCATTCGCTTTAAGGAGTTATCTTGAAGTACTTACTTTCTTTCACCATATTGTTACTCACACTCAGCGGCTGTGGCGCCAATGCGCCGGTGCCTGCTGATGAGCTGAGCCAGTCAGCAGACGACAAAATTACCCTACGCAAGAGCCCCAATGACAGCCGTGAATACCGCTATCTGCAATTGCCCAATAAATTGCGTGTTGTCCTGGTCTCAGATCCAAGCACCGAAAAAGCCGCTGCTGCCATGGCCGTTTTCAGAGGCAGCAATCACGAGCCAGAGGCACACCCTGGGCTTGCCCACTTCCTGGAACATATGCTTTTCATCCAAACCGAAGCTTATCCAGAACCCAGCGCTTTTCAGGACTTTGTCAGCGCCAACGGCGGCAGCACCAACGCCTACACTGCCCTTGACCACACCAACTATTTTTTCGACGTAAAGGCTTCAGCTTTTCCGGAAGCATTGGATCGTTGGGGACACTTCTTTATCTCACCGATCATCAGCCCGGAGTATTCTCAGCGAGAAAAAAATGCCGTTGATTCCGAATATCAGATGCAGCTGAAGAACGATGGCTGGCGCGGGTATATGGTCGGCAAACAGGCCATCAATCCAGAACATCCAAACTCGCGCTTTACCATCGGTAGCCTGGAGGTGTTATCCGGCGATATTCACAACGAATTGGTCGAATTTTTTGAAACGCAATATTCCGCCGATCAAATGGGTCTGGTGATTGTTGCAGACCAATCTCTGGACGCGCTGGAGGCTCTGGTCACACCCCTGTTCACACAGATAGAAAATAAAGATATCGGACCCGCGTACCCGAGCGTTGAGCTGTTTAAAGATGGAATGTTGCCTGCAACCCTGAAAATACAGACCATCGAAGAGGGTGCCAGCATCAGCTACCTGTTCCCCTTGCCTGCAGCTCGCGAGCACTACAAAAACAAGCCAGAGCAGTATTTCTCCAATCTGCTTGGGCACGAGGGCGAAGGCAGCTTACACCAGTTGTTAACCCGTAAAGGCTGGATCCAGAGTTTAAGCGCAGGCGTCGGCGAAATGGACCGCAATACCAGTGCCATGATGGTCAACATCGACCTGACCCCGCTGGGAGAACAACACACTGACGAAATAACCAACATGGTCTTTCAGGCGATTGAACTGATCAAACAGAGTCCACCAGAGCTGTGGCGATTTGAAGAACAGGCGGTTGTGGCCGAAATGGCTTTCCGTTTTCAGGAAAAGTCTTCCGCAACCGGGCTGGTTTATCAGCTGGCACCGAGGATTGATGAATATCCTGCCGAAGATTTGTTGGTTGCACCGTACCTGATGGAAGATTTTGATGCCAAAGTCATCAAAGACCTTATGAATTATCTGCGCCCGGACAACGTACTGGTTGAAATCTCGGGGCCGAACATCGTCGGCGATCAGGTAGAACCCTGGTTCAAGGTACCCTTCAGTCTCGCTCGCGGAGATATAGAGCAAACCGTAGTTGCAGATGTAAATTTGTCCCTGCCTGAAGAAAACCCCTACCTGCCTGAAAATCTGGAGCTGGTTGCTGCAAACGATGAACCCTTGCAGGCATATGCCCAAACCCCGGAACTACAGCTCTGGCTGAACTCAGACGTTCAGTTTGGCAGCCCGCGTGCCAACATTTTTCTCGAGCTGGCGATTGAAGGTGGCCTGGTCAGCCCAGCCGATAGAGGCATCGCGCACCTCTACCGCCTGATTGTTCAGGATGCCCTCAGTAAAGATGTGTATCCGGCCTACCTTGCCGGTCTGAGCTATTCCATCAGCGTACCTGACTCAGGCTACGAAATTCGTATTGGTGGATATCAGGATCAACAACAGGCGCTGTTAGAGAGCGTATTAGATGCATTTCTTAATACCGAACTGGACCCTGAACGTTTCGCCACACTGAAAAATCAGCTGATCAAAGACTGGCGCAACGCAGTCAACGATCGACCTTACAGTCAGGCGTTCTCTGCGATTTCAGATACCCTGCGCAGCGGACGCTGGCCGCGCCCGATGTTAATCGATGCACTGGAGTCTGTTGAACTGGCAGACCTGCAGGCCTGGCGTAAAAGCAGGCTGGACAGTTTCACGGTCCGGGGCCTTATACACGGTAACGTCGTTAAACAGGACGCCCGGCAACTGGAGCAGTTACTTCGATCTTCTCTGACGCTGGATGCCCATAACTTCATCACGCCCGAAGTTAAAGATGTCGATAACGCCCTGCGCCTGCAGCTTGAGGTAGACCACGCTGATGCCGCCATGGTTCTGCACGTACAGAACGCCGATGAAAGTTTTGCCAGCCGGGCACGCAGTTCACTTGCGGCGCAGATCATGCATCCTTCGTATTTCCAGGAGCTGAGAACTGAACAACAGTTGGGCTACGTGGTGAGTGTGTCGAACCGGCCCGTGGCCAAGCGCGGTGGCGTTTCATTTATTGTGCAATCGCCAAACACCTCTGCTGCTGAGCTGGAACAGGCCACGCTGAAATTTGTTGATGACTTCGTCAGTGCATGGCCAGAAGTCAGCACGGCAGAGTTTGAGCAACAGAAATCCGGCCTGATCACGCGATTGCTGGAAAATCCGAAAAATCTGAACGAAGCTTCAAACCGATACTGGGCAGATCTGACCGAAAACGTCATGACCTTTGACAGTCGCGAACAGGTGGCCGATTTAGTCGCCGGTCTTTCTCAGGCGGATATGCAGAATTACTTTGTTCAGGTGCAGGAGAAACTGCAGAACCATCGACTGCTTGTGTTCACCCCGGGGCGATTTGCAGAGATTCCCCAGCGCGGTCAGCTCCTTGGTAACGCCGCAGAACCCTGGGAAGCAGACGCACCCGCCAGTTGAAGCTTATAGGGCGGCAAGGACTCGAGCAGCGCCTTGCCGTACCGTTTGGTGACAATACGTTTATCCAGCATGGTGATTGTGCCGTGGTCGTTTTCATGCCGTATGAGACGACCACATGCCTGCACCAGCTTCAATGCTGCATCCGGCACTGATATTTCGTAAAACGCGTTACGCCCCCGAGCTTCCGCCCATTCCGCCATTGCCTGATCGACAGGGTCGTCGGGTACCGCAAACGGCAACTTCACGATGATGACGTGGCGGCAATAGTCGTCCGGTAAATCCAGGCCTTCAGAAAAACTCGCCAGGCCAAATAGATAAGAGGGCAGACCAGCATCAACGCGTTTGCGGTGCTCTGCTAACAACACCTGTTTGGCGCCCTCTCCCTGCACAAACATTTTTTCGTCAAGATCCTTAGGCAGCGCTTTAACCACCGCATTTAGCTGACGCCAGGAAGTGAACAACACTAACGCGCTGACCTCCTGGGCTAACAGATCAGGTAACAAGGACACCACTTCGTCGGTATGGGCATCAAAATCCCGTGGCTCAGATTTCATCGGCGGCACCACAAAACGGGCAATTTCCGGGTAGTTGAACGGGCTGGGGATCCGCGCACGTAACACATCAGCGGTTAAACCGGTGCGCTCGAAAAAACGATCAAAACGCCCCATCGCGCTGAGGGTTGCTGAGGTACAGATTGCGCCAAACGCACGCTGCCACAGCACTTCCTGCAGGATATGGCCTGGCTCGATGGGCGCGCTGACCATCTCCACATCGTAGGGGGTTCGATTAATCCAGCGCGCATGTCGGTATTGCGACTGCAACGCATAGTCCTGCAGAAGCGAAAGGGTTGCCAGCGCTCGCGTCTGCAATTGCCCGACAGGCACCAGCCAATCTTCTGCTTCAAAGGCATTTGTCCAGTTCACATCTCCGGCAACCGCCCCCTGCACAAGGCCATGGGTACGTTCCAGATCGTCACAGATTTTAGAGATGAATGGCACTGCTGCCGATGCCAGATCCTGAATCGTGGGCGGTACTTCGCCCAAGGGAAAACGGCAGGTATCAAGATCGTCATCGCGGGCGATGTATTCCAGTTCATGCAGGCCCGCAGACAACGCCTCCAGCGCGCCGCGTAGCGCACCGCTTTCGCCGGCTACGCTGGTGGCAAGGCTCACCAGATCTGCTGGACGTGCAAAACGTTGGGTCAGACTGCCCAGCACCGAATTAACCTGCTCCAGCCAGTTCAGCGTTGCGTTCAGACGCGCGTTTGTCGAGAAATGAGTCTGGGTTTTTTCAGCCAGGTGATGAGCTTCATCAAGAATGAAAATACACTGTTCCGGCTCCGGCAACACCGCACCACCACCCAGGGCTAAATCGGACAGAACCAGGTCGTGATTCGCGACAATGACGTCACTGCCTTCCAGCGCTCCACGGGCTTTAAAAAAGGGACACTGTTTGAAAAAACTGCATCTATTATTGCTGCAGCCCCGGTGGTCTGTTGTGACACCGCGCCAGGCACCATCTGGAAGTTCCTCTGGCCAGCTGTCTAATTCGCCATCCCACTGGCCCTGCGCAAAGCGTTCCAGCATGCCCTGGTAGAGCGCCGAGTGCTCACCTGACTCGACTTCAAAAATAGGTATTTCCTGCTGCTCGGAATACTTCAGATGATCATCCAGACGCTTCAGACACAGATAACGCCCGCGACCCTTGGCAAGACTGACAGTAAACTTCAATTGCGCGTTATTCTTCAGATCCGGAATATCGTGCAGCGTCACCTGTTCCTGCAGGGCTACGGTTGCGGTGCTGAGAATGATGGTTTTACCCAGCGCCTGAGCGGTTGGTATTGCGGCAATACAATAGGCTGCTGTTTTACCGGTACCGGTGCCGGCTTCGATCACCGCGATGCGATTGTGTTCCTGTGTCAGCGTCCGCGCCACGTGGGCAATCATTTCCCGCTGACCTCGGCGTGCCTTAAAACCCCGAGCTTCAAGCCAGGCACGATAGGCGGACTGAATGTTGTTTTTCAGTTCGTCTGATAAATGGATGAGACCCGGGGCGGATGCGTTCATCCCACCAGCTTACTTGTCCGACCTGTGTGACACCACTCTTGAGTAGAGCATTTCTCTGTGCGAGATTGCGGTGTATGAAAAATCTAATCTTGTTTTTACTGTTATGTGGGGCCACCGCGCAGACGCTTCACGCAGAGACCTCAAAAGCACTTGTGGTACCTCCCGGATTCACTGTTGAAACCTTGAATTTCACAGCACCTAATGCCCGTCAGATGGCGCTCACAGAAAACGGCACGCTGATTCTGGGCACCCGCCGGGCCGGCAATGTGTACGCGATACCTGATGCGCTGACTGACCCCGACCCTGAAGTCATTACCCTGCTGGAAGACCTGCGCATGCCCAGTGGTGTGGCGGTTCACAATGGCGATTTGTACATTGGCGCGGTAGATCGGATTCTGAAAGTGACCGCCATTGATACGCAGCTGAAACCGAACGTGCCTTACCAGGTGATCACCGATCAGCTGCCGGGCGAATCTCATCATGGCTGGAAGTATCTGAAGTTTGGGCCTGACAACGCCCTTTATGTGCCTGTGGGTGCACCGTGCAACATCTGCCTGTCGCCAGACCCGCGCTTCGCCAGCCTTCTGAAGATGAACCCGGCCAACGGCGAGACAACCATCTATGCCCACGGCATCCGAAACACAGTCGGTTTTGCATGGCATCCAGAAGATGACAGTTTGTGGATCAGCGACAATGGCCGCGACATGATGGGTGACGATGTACCCCCTGAAGAGCTCAACATTGCCACCGGCCCAGGCCAGCACTTTGGCTACCCTTTCATCCATGGCGACGACATTGCTGACCCTGAATTTGGCGACCACAAAGACCGCGCAGCGCACGTCTTCACAGCCCCAGCCCTCAACATACAAGCACACAGTGCTGCCCTGGGCATTACCTTCTATAACGACACACAATTCCCGCAGGACTATAAAAATGCCGTCTTCATTGCTGAACATGGCTCCTGGAACAGAACCGAAAAAGTCGGCTACCAGGTCAGTGTGGTGCTGAAAAAGGCTGACGGTGTACTGTCTTATCAACCCTTTGTGACCGGCTGGCTGAAAGGCCAGGAGAACTGGGGGCGCCCCAACGATGTGCTGGTGGCACCCGATGGCAGCCTGCTGATTTCTGACGATCAAGGCGGCCTGGTTTACCGCGTACGTTATACCGGCGCATTCGCGACCCAGTAGGGCTCTACCCCTCCTTGACAGATCTGCGGCGGCACCTGATAGTCGGAACGCTTTAGATCCTTGGGGAGGGACAGTATGACCAGCAGCTATATCGGTGCTGATCTGATTGCAGACGGCCTGGCACAACTCGGCGTGGAACATGTATTTGCCATCGTCAGCATCCACAACATGCCGATCCTGGATGCCATCAACCGCCTGGGCAAAACCAGAATCATAGACGTTCGCCATGAGCAGGCGGGCACCCATGCCGCGGATGGGTATGCCCGCGCCAGCGGCAAACTGGGCGTCATGATCGCCTCTACCGGGCCAGGTACGTCCAACACGGTCACCGGTCTCTATGAGGCTCAATACGGATCTTCCCGGGTACTGGTGATTACCGGCCAGGCAGAAACCGGGTTCTATGGCAAAGGTCTGGCTTACGTCCACGAAGCTGAAAACCAGGTACCGATGCTGGCCAGCGTCTGTCGACGCGTTGAAAGCCCGCGCCATGTCTCACAGCTGGCTTCTGCATTTGCACAGGTGATCGACGATATGTTCACCGGTCGCCCGGCGCCAGGAGCGCTGGAAATCCCGATCGATCTGCAATATGCGACTGCTGAAGCCGCCACCTTCAGCTTCCCGGAGCAGAGCAGATTTGAACCTGATGAGCAGCTCATCGATCAGGCGGTTGCAAAAATAAAACAAAGCAGCCGACGGATTATTGTGGCTGGTGGCGGCGTGATTGCTGCCGGCGCCAGTGAAGCGCTGCAAAAACTCGCGCGTAAGCTTGATTGCCCGATACTGACCACCGTCGACGGACGCGGCGTGATTGCAGAGGATGACCCTCTGTGTGTCGGCAATTATTACAATAGCGCAGGTATTTACAATGCCATCCAGGGTGCCGATTTAACCATCGCCATCGGCACCAAGTTTGCCGTTGGGGTGGATGGCCAGTTTCAGGCACAAACCCCACCGGGGGAAATGATTCAGATCGATATCGACGGCAATATGATCGGCCGCACCCATCGGGCACATCTGGGTATTCTGGCGGACGCCAACCTTGCACTCACCGCCCTGAACGCAGGTCTGGATGACCTGTTGCCCAACGATGGCCAGTTCAACCAGACCATCTGGGAAGCGCGCGATGGCGTGCGCGGCGCCATGCGCAAGCGGTTAGGTGAAGACTGGCCCCAGGTGATGGACGCCATACGCGCCAAATTGCCACGTGACAGCGTCTTTGTGCGGGACCAGACCATATCCGCATACAACTGGGGTAATCAGCAGTTCCCTATCTACGAACCGCGCACGTCTATCAACCCAACCTCTGGCGCTATTGGCCCGGGTTTCCCAATGAGCGTGGGGGCTGCTGTGGCCACCGGGCGCAAAACCGTTGTCATCCACGGTGATGGTGGTTTCATGTTCCATGCCACTGAACTGGCCACCGCAGCGCAGTATCAACTGCCTTTGATCGTGTGTGTGTTTAACGATTCCGGCTACGGCGTGCTGCGCTGGCTGCAGGACAATCGCTTTGGACGCATCAATGAAACCGACCTGGGCAAGGTGGCATTTGCGCAGATGGCACAAAGCATGGGGGTGCCCGGTGAGCGGGTGGCCAGCGTCGAGGAATTTTCAAACGCCTTTGATAGCGCCATGGCTGCCAGCGGCCCTTATCTGATCGATGTTGATATGGAACACTTCGCGCCGATGGAAATTTCAGTCATGCCGAAACAGAAAAAAGAAGTCGACCTGCGTAGCTGATCAAGATGGCCATTCGCCTGAACAAACCCTGGATACCACTGGAAGAAGGGATCACGCGTCTGCACGGACACCTCGGTGTGTTTCAGTTGGCCGACGCTGAACAACAGATCATCTACATCGGATACGCCGGCGGCAACAGCTTGTTTGGACTGCGAGGCGAAGTCACAACCATGAGCGAAAAACTGGCCGGGAGCATCTTTGTGCGCGTGGAAATCACTACCGCTTATTTGAGCCGTTATCGTGAGCTGATGATGGTACACATTGCCGACCACGGTAGCCTGCCCTCTGCCAATACCTCAATTAACCGACCTATTACCTTAGGCAAACTGAGTCCCGCAGGATGAATTTAAATCTGACGCCCGAACAGGACCTGATTATTGGCATGGTGCGTAAATTTGTGCGTGAAGAGATCATCCCGTTGGAGATGCACCTCGATCCCGACGCAGATGAATTAGCTCCAGACGACAAAGCCCGACTGATCGAAAAAACCAAAGAAATGGGATTATATGGCCTGGACATTCCGCCTGCTTATGGTGGCCCGGAAATTGATCTGGTAACCCGCACATTAATTGCAGTGGAAATGTCGCAACATCGCGCCGGCCTGTACGCGCCCTGTTATGGCACGTTCGGTGGCGCAGGACTTGCGCAGCTGTTCGAGGCCACAGAGGATCAGAAGGAACGTTACCTCTATCCCACTCTGCGCGGCGAAAAGCGCGGTTTTTTCGGGCTGTCGGAACCCTCCGGAGGCTCAGACCCAGCCCGCGCAATACAGACTAAAGCTGTGCAGGATGGTGAAGACTGGGTCATCAACGGCGGCAAGTTATGGATCAGCGGCGCTGACCGCGCTGACTTTGGCCTGGTATTCGCCCGCACTGACAGCGATCAGGGGCGCAACGGCGTCACCTGTTTCATCGTCGATACGGATACTCCAGGGTTCCATGTGCGGCGCATCGTGCACACCCTGCGCTCTGCACATTACGCCACGGAACTGCAGTTCGAAGATATGCGCGTACCTGCCAGCAACATTCTGGGCAAACTCAATCGCGGCTTTGCCATCGCCAACGACCGTCTGACCCGACAACGCATTCCTTATGCGGCGGGTTGTATTGGGGTTGCCATCAAAGCACAGGAAATGGCGTTGGAATACGTGCCACAGCGGGAGACTTTTGGCGCGCCGCTGTCTTCTCGACAGGCCATTCAGTGGATGCTGGTCGACAACGATATCGACATCAAACAGTCACTCTGGTTGACCCTGGAAGCCGCCAACAAAGCTGAACAGGGCGAAGTGTTCCGCAAAGAAGCCGCCATAGCCAAACTGGTGGCCACCGAAGCGGGTGGTCGGGTTGTTGACCGGTGTATGCAGATGTTTGGTGGCTTAGGGGTCGCTAAAGATCTGCCGTTTGAACGCTGGTTTCGCGAAATGCGCATTCGACGTATTGGTGAAGGCCCCTCGGAGGTGCAGCGTCATGTCATTGCCCGGGAGCTGCTGGGTGCTTCGCTGCGCTGAATACAGGGGGCAGGCCCTCAATTCACCCTTTAAATTAAGGGCTTCGTATATAACGCGTCTGGCCGCCAACAATCGTGCGGTCAACCTGGGTGTTGGGAATATCTGCTGCAGGCACTTGTAGAATATTCTGAGACAGCACCACAAAATCAGCCAGCTTACCCGGCGAGATAGAGCCTTTCAGCGATTCTTCAAACGCCGCATACGCATTATCCAACGTGTAACTTTTCAATGCCTCCATGGGCGTCATGGCCTGGTCTGCATAAAACGCTTCACCAGTATTCATCATCCTGGCCACAGAGGCGTAATAGGACGCTATCGGGTTGATGTTTTCCACCGGCACATCGGTGCCATTGCCAATACGCGCACCACTGTCGAGCAGATCACGCCAGCGGTACGAGGTCTGCTCGGTGCGCGGCTCTCCGAGTCGACTGGCGATCCAGGGCCCATCAGAGGTGCAATGCACGCCTTGCACAGCAGCTATGACCCCCAGCTGTCCGAACCTGGGTATGTCCTGCGGATGAATGTGTTGAGCGTGTTCGATGCGCCAGCGCAGTTGATCACCGGCAATGTCATGTTCAGCCCATACACGCTCATACAGATCTAACGTTTCTCTATTGGCGCGAGTGCCTATCGCATGTGTGTTGATCTGAAATCCATGTTTAATCGCGATGCGCGCAGTTTCTTCGATGTCTTCAATGGGCTCCAGCACCAGGCCAGAGGACACCGACAAATCAACATACGGCTCCAGAAGCCAGGCGCCATGCGCACCAAGAGCGCCGTCAATCTGGCGTTTTATCGAACGGACGGCGAGGAAATCATTGCCGTTGGCAGGAGAAAGATAGCCAGGCAGCCGTTCCTGCATAGCTTCGTTCGTTTCACCCCGCACCATGACATAAAGGCGCACGGGCAGCTCACCCGCGTCTTCTAATGCCTGAAAGAAGTCGATGTGAGCAAAAGAGGCGCCTGCATCGTGAAAAGAAGTAATACCATTAGCCAGAGCTTGAGCCCCGGCAAGTTGAACTCGTTCGCGCAGGTCTGCTTGAACCTGCTCAGGTGTGCGTCGCGATTCGTACTCTGCAATGGCCACCTCTACCAGGCTTTTTGCCTTCTCCCGCAGCAGTCCCGTTGCCACGCCCTGTGCGGTTCGCACAATGGTGCCACCTGGCGGGTCTTGTGTTTGATCGCCGATTCCTGCCGCCTGCAGGGCAGTATTGTTTGCAAATGCGGCATGACCACTGGCATGAGACAGATAAACCGGGTTATCCGGCGCAGCTTCATTCAGCGCGGTATTGAGCGGGACACCATCAACGGAACCAGGTTCCTGCCTGCCCCATTTATCCTGGTGCCAACCCATACCAAAAATCCAGGCGCCAGCCGGCGCCGCATCTGCCGCGGCGGCAACCTGACCAACAATATCACTGTATCTTTGCGCCTGGCTCAGATCTAACACCTGTTGCGCTCTGCCAAGGCTTAAAAAGTGACCATGGCCCTCGATAAACCCGGGGGTCAGAACTCGACCGTTGAGTTCAACAACCTCAGTATCCGGGCCAATGTAGGGGTTGATTTCTGCTTCGCTACCTACCGCAACGATGACGGCGTCACGCACCGCAACCGCGGATTGATTGCCCAACTGTGGGTCCACAGTGATAACTGCACCCCCTCGAACCACCAGATCGGCTGAGGAAGGTACATGTTGTTGAATGGCGTCAGACGTTTCGCTTTCTTGTGGCGGCGGCGCACAGCCGCAGACCAGAACAAATAGAACGACAGAAAAATAACGCTTCACGTAGAGAGTCTTAGCGCTCACCCACAACTGGATTGCTGAGCGTGCCAATCGGTTTAACTTCAATTTCGATCAGATCACCATCGTCCATAAACACGGGTGGTTTGCGCGCCGCGCCGACACCGCCGGGGGTACCTGTGACAATGACATCACCTGGTTCCAGCTCGATGAAGGTTGAACAGTATTCGATGAGTTCTGCAAAACCATGCACCAAAAGGTCTGACGTTGCGTTCTGCATCACTTCACCATTCAGGCGTGTGGTGATTTCCATTTTAGCCAGATCACCAATTTCGTCAGGGGTCATCATCCAGGGGCCGAAGCCACCCGTCGCGGTAAAGTTTTTACCCGGTGTGAACTGACTGGTCTGGCGCTGGTATTCGCGCACACTGCCATCGTTGTAGATACCAAAGCCGGCGACATGATCCATCGCCTGGGATTGTGAGATACGTCGCCCGCCCGTACCGATGATCATGGCAATTTCCCCTTCAAAATCCAGCGTGTTGGATTCGCGAGGACGGATCATCGGTTGGTTGTGTGCAACTTGTGCCGCTGCGAAGCGCACAAACACCGTGGGGTAACCTTCACCACCACGGCCGGTCTCTTCCTGATGTGCTTTGTAATTCAAACCCACACAAAGGATTTTTTTCGGATCGGTGATGGTAGGTGCAAACGTGATGTCTGCCAGGGCAAGATCTGCTGTATCACCACAGGCTTGTGGCAAGGACTGCAAAGCATCAGCAGCAATCGCTTCACGCAGCGAGGTGAACTCGCTGCGCTTACCGGCATCAACTACACCGAGACCATCGCTGGTGACATACCCAAAAGACGTTGTGTCGTTGCTAACAAACGATAACCAGCGCATATCGACTCCTTAACAGGGTTGTTAGTCGAACATAATTACGCTACGCGCAATTTCGCCGGTTTCCAGTGCTGCCATACCTTCGTTAATGTCAGAAAGGGCGATGCGCTTGGAGACAAGGTCGTCCAGATGCAGCCGTCCCTGCAGGTAGAAATCCACAAACCGAGGCATATCTACGCGGAAGCGGTTCGATCCCATCATGGAACCCTGAATCTTTTTCTCAAATAGAAAGTCAACACCGTGTAGAGAAACCATGTCGCCGGGTGGGATCATGCCGATAACAGTCGCCGTGCCGCCGTTGCGCAACATCTGGAACGCCTGTTCAGCGGTGGATTTCAAGCCAATGGCTTCAAAAGAGTAATGTACGCCACCGCCGGTCATTTCAATAACCTTCTGGACCGCTTCGCCGTCGCTGGCATCAACGACATCGGTCGCACCAAATTTACGTGCAAGGTCTAACTTAGACGCCACCATATCGACCGCAATAATACGCGCCGCACCTGCGATAGCCGCGCCGTTGATACACGACAAACCGATACCACCACAGCCGATCACAGCAACCGTTGAACCCGGCTCTACCGCGGCGGTATGAATCACCGCGCCAACACCCGTGGTGACGCCACAGCCGATCAGCGCAGCGCGATCCATGGGCATGTCTTCGCGAATTTTAACCAGGGCATGTTCATGCACCAGCATCATTTCGGCAAATGAACCCAGTTGGGCAAATTGTGTGAGAGAGGTGTCCGCCTGATGCAGGCGTGGCGGTTCGTCCGCAGAGCGGTTCACCTCTGGTTCCTGGCATAGAGACAGGTGACCGGTTAGGCACTGTTCGCAGTGACCGCAGAACACAGACAGGCAGGTAATGACATGATCGCCAGGCTTCACGTAGTGCACATCACTGCCGACCTGTTCAACGATACCCGCACTTTCATGACCTAAGATCATCGGCACCTGGCCTGGATACGTGCCATTGAAGAAATGCATGTCACTGTGGCAAATACCTGCCGCTTTGGTGCGAATCAGAACTTCCCGTGGCCCGGGTTTGGAAACTTCGACTTCTTCAATTTCCATGGGCACATTGACTTCACGAAATACGGCTGCTTTCACTGACTTCCCCTCAAACAAATATGGAATAAATACCGGCCCAAGTGTGCCACACTTTTTTGCTCTAGCTAAGTTCTCCGGCAACGATTTCTTGTGCAATCTCAATCGCTGCCAGCAGACCCTGAGGATTGGCTATGCCCTGGCCGGCAATATCAAAAGCGGTGCCATGATCCACCGACGTGCGGACAAACGGGATGCCGAGAGTTGCCGTGGTTGATCTGTGGAAGTTATGCACTTTGATCGCGATGTGGCCCTGATCATGATAAAGCGCCAGCACGACATCAAATTCACCGGCAATGGCGCGATTAAAAACGGAATCAGCAGGAATTGGCCCCGCAACCTGAATTCCCAGCTGCTGGGCATCTTCCACCGCAGGCGCAATCTCTTCAATTTCCTCGCGGCCTAAAAGCCCGCCTTCACCCCCGTGCGGATTCAGTGCCGCTACAGCAATGCGCGGCTGCGCAATACCCCACTGAGCAAGCGTATCGGCAACCAGGCGCAGCTTTTCCAGCACCGTGGCACGCGTAACGTACCGGGCCGCTTCAATCAAAGACTTATGGGTCGACAAATGCGCCACGCGCAGGCCCGGCGTCATCAACATGGTGGCGGTCCAGCTGGCCCCGGACAGGCGCGACAGAATTTCCTGATGGCCAATGTCGTCAACATACCCCGCCGCATGAATAGCTTCTTTGTTGATCGGACAGGTCACCATGGCAGCCACCTCAGCGGCCAGCGCGGCGCGGGCTGCCCATTCAACAGACGCAACCGCAATCTTTCCGCAGGCGGCGTTGACCTTGCCAAACTCGAACGGCACCGGGGCTGGTGCGTCCACCTCATACAAACCCAGACTTCCGGTAAGCTCCCGTGCTGAATCAACCGTTTTGATCGACGGCAGGGTAACGCCCGCCGCCTCTGCACCTTTTTCCAGCGCCCAGCGGCTCCCCACCAGCAACCAGGGCACAGATGGATGTGTCTCTGACACGACTTTGGCGGCCACTTCCGGACCGATGCCTGCCGGATCACCGAGCGTAATTGCAAGTGGCTTCATAATTGGGTCTCAATAAAGTACTGTATATATAAACAGTATCTGAACGATTGGGCGAGCAGAGAAGATGCAGACTTTACAGGATTTGATCACAACATTTCGCTTATACGGTGTGTGTGAACCCTGCCAGCGGGTAAAAGCGGTCGACCTGGCCGCACTGCTGCAAAAAGAAGGTAAAGACTATCCGGTTGATCGGATCAGGATGCGGCTGTGGTGTACCCAATGCCGTGAACGCAGTCGCGCCATGCGTATTGTTTACGTAGGGCCGGAAGGTCGCACAGCAACCTTCCGGTATAGCCGCTAGCGACTATCTGCGTTAAAGGATTTCCGTAGATTCAAGCGTGAGACCAAAGCCACTGACACCCACGTATTCCACTTCGCGACCCGCTATCAGGCGAATTCGACTGATCCCAAGATCACGTATGATCTGCGCACCCACACCGACTTCAAGCCACTGGCTGCGACGCTCTTCTTCTTTCGATTGACCCGCCAGGTTTTCATGGGGCACACCCACAAATCCTGTACGCAGATAGATCAGCACACCGGCACCCAGCGACTGGATTCGATCAAGTGAAGCATCCAACAGATTCTTGTCGTGATCGGTCTGAGGACCAAAAACGTCATCGATCAGCTTTTCCCGGTGGATTCGCACAGCAACAGAGGGTTCGCTTTTAATATCTCCAAATACCAGTGCCAGATGCTCCGCATCTTCGAACTTGGTGCGGTAGGCAAAAGCTGTTGCCGGCCCGATGCGGGTCTTAACTTCAAACTGATTGGTGCGCTCCACCAACTGCTCGCGGGTCTGGCGGTAGGCAATCAGGTCCGCGATGGCAATGAATTTGAGGTTGTGTTTGGCAGCAAACTCCACCAGCTGAGGCATCCGCTGCACGGTGCCATCATCATTGACCAGCTCAGCCAGCAGGCTGACGGGCTGCAAGCCGGCCAGCACAGACAGGTCTACTCCGGCTTCAGTGTGGCCTGAACGCACCAACACCCCGCCTTGACGGGCAACCAGCGGGAAAATGTGACCCGGCCGCACAAAATCTGACGCACTGACGTTACTGTTAGTCAAAGCCTGCACCGTTGCCGCACGCTCTTCTGCTGAAATACCCGTGGTCAGGCCCTGCTTATAATCTATGGAGACTGTAAACGCGGTACTCATAGGCGCGTCGTTGCGAGCAACCATCGGATCAAGGTGCAGCTTGGTGGCGTGATCTTCAAATAATGGCGCACACAAAATACCGCTGGTATGACGAATCATAAATGCCACCGATTCCGGCGTGGCTTTGCTCGCGGCCATGATCAGATCGCCTTCGTTTTCACGATCGTCATCATCAACCACCACCACCATTTCTCCGCGGCGAATGGCTTCTATGGCATCTTCTATGGAATCAAACTTCACGCCCGTGTCGCTCATGGGTATCTCTAAAGTGATGAAAATAGGGCGCGGGAGGTTAACACATTGACAAAAAAAGTTTCATTGACGTACAGAACCATCGGTGTATTTTTGGTTTCAGTACGCGGCTAAGCCCGTACCTTAACCCGCTGGCGGCTTATGCCCCGGCGAAGAAACCCCCACGAGGCGATCGCGTTTTAAACCGATCAACACCTCGCAGCAGGAGGAAACATTATGTTTCATCGTTGTAATCGATGGTCCCCGCGCTACGCGTATGGCCACTCAGGCTCGCAAGAGCCAGTTCAATCCAATGTTTATCAGGCACGCGGCCGACGCGGCGGCCACCATGGCGGTGGCAGCTATTTTGGCGTGCGCAGACCCATCCGTTACCTGGCTTATCAGCTGGACCTGGATGATGCCCAGACCCGCAAGATCGCAGCTGTTCTGGACCGTCTGAAGGTAGAGAGAGAGCAGGCAAAACTGGATGAAGCGCGCACCGTCATCGAGGTGGCCAGCTTAGTGACTCAACCGGAACTCAGTGTTGAGCGACTCAAAGAGGCGCTAGCGCCACGGGTCACCAGCGCCGAACATCTGCAGATAGCCGTGGCTAAAGCGATGCACGACATTGTTTGTGAGCTTGATCCGGAACAGCGGGAAGACTTTGCTTACCTGTTGAATTCAAAGGCTTTTGTGCTGTAATCCAGGTTGTAAGCTGACTCAACTCGATGTTTGAGTGTTGAGTCAGCATCCTGATCAATCTTCAATAGCCACTTCATCCGCCACTGAAGATGTACTGCTGAACACATCCCAACGAGCAGAGACAACATCGCCCACGGCCAGCAGGTTAAAAAACTCAATCTGGCTCAAAACGTTATCATCATCTTCGAATGCAGTAATGCCATCCTGCACCGAAATTGTCACACCTTGAATATCGAAGCTGCTGTCAGCTTCGTTGATTGTTGAGACCAGGCCTCTAAGTCGAGCACGGTCTTCAGGATCCACGCGCTCGAGGCTGGTGGCCACCACAACAGAGCCGTCCAGATAACCGCGAATCTCAACTTCATCCCCTATACCCAGGTCAACAAGTCCAAAGGGATCCACCTCTGCACTGCTGTCGTCTTCCAGCTCTGTAAGAGCTCTGATCTGAAAGGTGATACCCAATACTGAAACGGTTTGTGCAACGACGTCTATCGACTCGATATTGCCTTCAGTACGAATAGTGCCCGTCGGTTGCAGGGTGATTTCCTGCGCAAGAATAGCGCCATTACCATTGGCAATACCTTCAATCTGAACCTTGACGCCCAACGCCAGATTCGACTCTTCGCCATTTTCAAATTCGGTTTCGTCGTCAATGGTTATTGGTGTGGTCTGAACATCAAAATCCTGGATTGAATCAAAGCGATCGATAAAACCTTCAACGCGAACAACGGCATCGCCACCTAAAGTCAGAATGGGCAA